TAGTTAAAATCTAGATCCGTTTTTAATTAAATAATATCTATTTTACTAGGCTTAAGGAAAGATATTCTAAGAAGAATATTATATTAGAACTCTTTAATAATATATATCTTAGCTATAAACTCAATTATATCTCCTTCTATTATTAGGAATTATATAGGAATATATATAAATAGTATTATAGCCGAACTATTACTAATACTAGATAGATTAATAATATCTTTATTTATTTATTATAGAATATTAGGAAAATAAGTATCTATAATATAGTAGTTAATAAGGCAGATACCGGTACTAGTATTGAAATAATAGGATACTAGATCTTTTTCTGAATTATAAGTTATAATTTGTATATTTATATAAAACTTATAGGCTTTACTATTAATAAAGTATATTTCTCCGGTTATTACTACTTTCTTTGAATTTCTTTAATTATATAATTAAGGAATAGATTTTATAGGCTGCGGCTTACTCTTTATAGGTAATAGCTCGGGTTTTTATAATAATACTACTCGTGGCTTTACTAGTAAAGAAGTAAATCTTAATTCCTATAAAACAGAACCGAAACTATCTAATAGTTTAATAATTGAGATATTACTACTAGAAGTATTAAGAATATAAGGTAATTATATAGGATTACTATTCTATAATAAAGAAGATACGAGATCGAAAAGTATTTCTGAATGAGAAATAGAATAAGAAATAGCTAGTAACTTTTATATAGTAAGTAGTACTAAATTTATAATTATAAGGTTAGGATTAAGGATAAGGGGCCCTCTTATTTAATTTAGGAGTAGTAGTTTACTAGCCCTATATAGCTGCTATTCTCGTTTTCCTATAGGATATTAGGATCTATAAATATTAATAAGAGATAGTTACTAGGTAAATCGTTATTAAATAAGCCTTAATATATAATATATATATTATAAAAGGTTTAGTAAACTAATTTGGGAACTTGAACTAAGTCTAAATATTTATTATTATAGTTATTATATAAATAGTAGGCTAGTACCTATAGGTTATTATTACAGAAATTGAAATTACTATTATGGTTATTATAGCTTCCTTAGTAAAATCCGTTTCTATAATTATAGTAGCCTCTATAATAGTTGTCTTAATATCTATATCTACTATAATATCCTCTATAGCTATTATATCTATTGCGATTCTTATATCCTCTATAATAGTTAAACCGATTTTAATTACTATATAGGCCTTATTTACCTCTATAATTATTATATACTTTCCGGTTATAGCCTTTATTATCTTTCTTTTAATTTGGATATTATTAATTAGGCTATATAATAACTAGGGCATTTGGCTATTATTAGTATAGACTACTAAGAATTTATATTATAGCTTCTTATAGAATATAGTAAGAAGAGTTAATAGAATAAGGGTTTTTCTAGTTTTAATAGCCCTAGTTTCTATTATTTTAATGGTTCTAGTATGAATTATATTAGTTATACTAGCTATACTAGTCGGAATTATTAGTAGAGCTCTTTATATTCGATTCCTTAACTATCTTATAGATAGAGATATACTAGTTTCTAGCTAATACTTCCTATATATAGATACTAGCCATAAATTACTTAATAGTATTAGTACTATTAAGCTTAACTACTAGTCTAAAAGTAAAGTCGAGTTCTTTATAGAGATATCGGATAATTAGGTCCTTATTAACCTTTCTAGCTTTAATATATAAAGCCTACTTCTTATATAAATAGTCTTATATAGGAAGTTCGAATTCCTTATTAAAAGAATACTATATATAATTAGCTTCTTATAGTATAATTAATATATTTGTTCGGAACTATATAGTAAGCTTAGTTATCTATATTTCTAGAGAGTTATTTATAGCTAGTTAAGTAATAGTAAAAAGACTATTAAACTATAACTAAGCTACTTTCTTTATAGCTCTAGGAAGTAAGCTAAGAATTGTCTTCTTACTATATAGCTCTATTATATATTCCAAGTAATTAATATATAATATAACTTAAGTAGTACTATTATACTAGAGATTATTAGCTTTAAGCTTATTAGTATACTAGGTTCCGGATTATTTTACGGGAGTACCTTAGTACTATTATTACTAATACTTTCCTTAGCTAGGTAAATCGAAATATATAGGACTATTTCGGAATTATTTCATAAAGGCTATAAACTAGCCAATATTAGTAATATAGCTATTTCTATTTATAAGATCCTATATAGCTCTAGTATAGTTCAGAGTATAGATCTTTGGCTTAATAATACAGGTAGTAGCTATAGCTATTGTCTTATTAGTATTATTAAAGACTCTTGCTACCTTAAGGTTTAAATAATCCATATAGACCCGTTCCCAAGCCATTTTAATAAAGGCTATATTCTTAGCCCATTATTCTATAGTATATTCTGTACTTCTTATAAGAGTAGCTATATTATCTAATATCTCCGAAGCAAGTATCTCTAGCAGATCTTTTTCTTAGTATCTTTAGAAGATTTCAGAGAAAAAAATAGACTTAAGAGGGCTTTTGAGATCTAGATTTAGGCAGACCGGTAATAATTATTAGAAGCGGATAGGTAATAAGTATATAGGGTTTTAGTAAGATAGAGAATACTATCTAAGTAGCGGGTTCTCGGAAATAGGAGATTCGTCTTATATAGGCTCTCGGTAGTCCCAAGGAGCCGGACGAGGTATAGCTAGGTAAGGGGCAGCTTAAGGAGGAGGTATAGCGGTTCGAGGTCTCGTTCTTATAGGTTAAGGAGCTCTCGGAGGGGAAATAGGAACGGTTAAGGTAGGTTTCGGAGTAATAGGGAGAGCTAAAAAGGGTTCTGCTTAAGAGGGTCCTGCTAGGGAAGGTTCTAAAGGCTCCTTCCGGAACCGGCCGTCTGCTTTTCGAGCTCTGTACTTTCGATTCTTTTGATTTCCAGTCGGCATCTAGCTAATCTATAGGAGACGTTATAGTACAGTGCATATAGTGTAACTACTAAAGACTATGTGATTCTTCGATTAGCGATTTGGATTCGAATCGGTGGCGGATTAAGAGGTGTATAGGGGTTGGTTGGAATCGCGAGTCTGGTTATATATACGGAAATTGAGCTTTTTTCTTGAAAAAAGGAGGTCAAATCAAGAATCTTGGGGCATTGCTACCATATTACGACCCGTGGCTGGTGTTCTGGTAACAGAATCAGCTGTATTGGGTGTATATGTAAAACGTCTAAAGAGAGAAAAGAAGAGAGGAGCGGGGAGCTCGAGCTAAGTACAGGGTGCCACGCTAGGGCCAGGTCATGTGACGCTGACGTCACAACAGGGTCTGATATGTTAAGCCTGAAGCATTCTGCAGATTATGTGCCAACCTTCACCCTGGCTCGGATTATTCGAGATGGCAAAGTGTTGGGAAGGCTAAGGTACGAAGGAGGCATTTCAAGACCTTAGGAGAGTTAATTGAAGAATATGGTTGGAAATTGGGGAGCATAATCAAAAGCAAGGGTGGTGGAGGACGGCGGGGGTTTGGTAATTACTTACAAAAGGCTACCTTCCACGGCTACAAGACAGAGGCTAAGAGCTAATTTGAGACGCATGATGACTCGGTGGTGGGTAAGTGTGATATTGGACTTTGATGCTAGTATGCAATCCTATAAGCAAGGGTTCGGTGTGAAGAGTAGCTCATTGTGGGAGGGTTGGGAATGGAACCGGTTGAGCCGATCGATCTTGATATGTAGACAAAATCGGAGCTGTGGTGTGATAACGGTCAACGTAATATCGCGAAGTACATAGGTGCGATTGCATACAAATTCGTCAAAAAGTGCCTTTGAGGCAATTTTACTGATTTTCACTAAGCGTGGGGTGCTATCAGCCTCACCGCATATGGCCACAGTCGATCATTCAGATAAATAACCTCAGCGAGTGTCAAAAATTTGTGGAAAGCGAGTATACAGGTGTTACTTTTAGACGTAGGGGTGTAAAGGGGGAGGGGGAGCGGTGTAGAGGCTTTTTGGGTGGGTTCAATCCTATTATAAAACGCTCGTCTCAATATCGGCTGGCCTAAAGACCCACTATGGGCCATATTCGAAAGACGAAGGGTCTGAACTAGTTTGGCAACTGTTGGTCTATAGGTAAGATTATGTTAAGCTACAACTCGGTTTGTGTACTGTGCTTAAGGAGCGTTTATATAGTATTTGGCAAGCAAGCGTACGCCTTACTAAGAAACCAGAAGGCAGAATGAAATATTCCCGAAGCAACGCTATCGTTAGGCTGTAGTCATGCCCAGATTAAGCACTGTGGCAACTACGCGGCCCGCTCCTACTTCAAAAGGTTTGTCTGACGCCTGTATGTATTGAATACTCAAGCCCTGCCAATTGGTCTGTGCAAGGGGACTCGAGATATGGAGTGCCATGTGGTAAATTCGGTGAAGGAAAGGCAAACAATAAAGATTTTGGCTGCTCCGACACCATGCATACGATATAGTGCATACAACACTATGCGTAATTAGGTATTTACATGCGTTTTGCGGGAAGTCAAAAATAGTACATGGCAAAAGCTTACGATGATGCAGTCCGCACACCTTTTTAAACTAAACTAGACTCCAAGCAAGTTGAGATTTAGGTTCTATACTAGGCTGTTATACCTAGTTTTAAGAGCCAAACCTTTATTTAGCGTCGAGCCCCTAGCTAACGATAAAGACCGAAGATTAACAGAAAAGCGGTGTTATGAAACGGCAGCTTAGAAATATACAGACGCATCACAAGGTACGAGAAATGAAAAACTAGATTTCGAGGCTGGCACTGGGAGTGCTCCAGTTCCTATCGCATGTATTGGGAGTATCGCAGAACATCATTTCAAAACAAGCTCAAAAACTTCTGAGCGAGAAGGAGTTGGAAATCATTAATTCTATCTCTATATACGCCATCCCCTAAACATTTCACACATGGGTATAAATCTATCATCACAAATTCCAACTACGCCTATCGCATCCCACCATAGTACCCCCAAACACCGTAAATGCATGTCAACCCGGTCCTTAACTCAACTCATCCAACACAGATTGGAAGAACCCCTCTTCCTCATAAACCTTCACCCTGTCCGCATAAGTTTTAATATCACTCACGACATTCTCCCCGATCTCGTCACCCTTCCCCGCCGCGACCTTCAAAATCAGATCATTCAAACTGCTCCTCCCAAGGATATCAACGTGATCGCCTGTATTCGGTCCTCCTCGAGGACTAAATCTCTCTGGCTCATGCGGCATCTCGAAGACCTTGATCTTCACACCAGCGGGATTGTACCGCTTCATATTCCACCCCTTATTACACATATAACCCACGGAAAGTAAGTTGACGGTCCCGTCGCCTTCGCCTAAGATTACCCCGTGGTCAATGTTACCCGTTGTCAGTGTTGTGTCGATGGTTATATTAAGGGATGAGAGCGGGTTGTCGGGTTTGCGGTAGAAGTAGGAGCGTTCCGTTGGTTTGCCGATTCCTGCTTTCATCAGTACACAATGTCCATACAAAATGGTTAGCAGAAGGGAATTTACCGTAGAAGCAATAAATTTTCAAGTTCGGAGCAAGCGGTAACCTCGTCTCGAGCGGATTAATCCACTTCCTCGAATCCTTCTCATTTGCTTCCACTTCAGCGGTGGTATGTGCTACTCCCCGCGAGTAACTGCCTTTTACTTGGTCATTGTACCAATCTTCTGAGACGTCCATGAGGTAGTTAAAACTTTGCTCCACTGTCAAGTTGCGGTAATGGGCAGAGCCGTTGTTCTCTTTGAAGTTGAGGAAAGTACCAAAGCTGACATTTTGCTCTGGAAGATCGTCGGGCGCCCAGGTTGCGTTGCCCCAGACCGCATTTCCGCCGATGGGAAGCATGGAGCTGATTCCTGGCATTCCTCTGAAGATCTCAGCGCGCTCTTCCCTGCTGAGGAACTTCTCGAGTCCGTAGACTGCGAATGCGTTGAGTTGGGCTGTGTCCTTCATCTCTCCCGACAAGACCGCCGGAAGCCCTTTCAAGGCACCCAACATGCACCCCGAGATGTTGATCCAAGAATCAACATTCTTCTCAACCCAGTCGTCACCACCATTTCCTCCATTTTTCGAAGCAACCCAATGGAAGAAGTAAAACAATACTTGGCTTCCCATCGAATGCGACACAATAACCACCTTCTTCTTCAACACCTCATTCGACATCTCAATATACATCTTCAGTCTCGAAAAATACTGATCCCTGACCTCCAGATTTGCATACGAGAGCCGCCAATCATAAGCAGCCGTAAAGCTATTCGTAGGATCATATCCAATCGTGGCCAAGTTCTCCAAAATCTTATTCCAGATCCAATATCCCGTGATAAAGAAATCTGCAGCATCGAAACCCTGCGCAGCGCGGAGTTTAATTCCACCTGGGGGGTCAAGGCCCGTTTTTTTGTCGAGCATTATGTGCCTTTTCCAGCCTTCTTTGTCGAGGACTAGGGCACGCATCATGCTCCAACTGCCCCAAAGTCGTTTCCTGAAGTACTGCCGGGAGGCATTGGTTGTGCCCCATGATTCGAGCCCTGTGGATATAACGCCTGGAACCATGACTACGGGGTGGTTTGCTCGGACGCCTTGTGCGACGAGATTCAATCCTACCTGGAAAGAATCATAGTTCACCGCTTCCCTCTCTCCCCTCTATCCAGAAGTCAGCCCTATTCATTGCCCAACTTCCTCTTCTTTCCAAGAAACGATAATACATACCGCCAGGTCTCGCGCATCGCTCACAAACCCGGCAGGCAACACGTCGAGCAAATTATCCATACTCAGTTCCCCAAACTCGGGGAAATCAATGAGATCACTTCTTCCTGCAAAGAATCCTGCGACCACGATCCCGAACACTCCACCGAGGAAGAAGATGAATCCATTCCGCCGTTTCCGCGTCTTGCCGTGGTGCACTTTCGATTTGGGAGCGAGGATGACCTCTTCGGCTGTGGCGGGGGATTCTTCGCGGGAGTCAGAGGGAAGGGGATTGGAGGAGAGCCCGGGGATGCGTTTGCGGAGGTGGTGGGACATGATAGCGTGAGTATGTACACAAAGATAAGGGAGAGAGGAAGAGGATGAGGTTATTGCAAGATCATGTTGAGGCAGCAAAACTCGGTGCTGACAGTGCCTCGCATGGGGTTTTCTGTTATATTCACATGCATGCACGGTCATTACGTAGCCATCTTTAAGCTTTAATAGCCGGAGTTATCCCCTGGCGCTAGCCGATTAGGGGTTCATACCGAAACGCGGCCGCTGCAAAGTAAAAATTCAGCCTTGTGTTTCATCACATGTGAAAGCCGTGATGTCTTGTCAAACTTTACACAACCCCAGCCTCACCCGTTCTCTCCCCCAAGAAACAATACAAACGATAAGCACAAATGGCAGATTCAGAATCCAAAGATAAGGGGAAAGCGGCAGAGCTCCCTGCAGAGCTACGGTACATTCAATACGAGCACGCGCTCGAAAAGCAATACCTCCCCTCAATCCGAGCCCTGATCTCGAAGGATCTGAGCGAGCCGTATAGTATCTATGTGTACCGGTACTTTCTGTACCAATGGGGGGATTTATGTTTCATGGTATTGCCCTTTCCCTCTTGCTCCTTTGTCATAAATTCCAAATCCTAAACTAATGCTAAATAGGCACAAGGCTCCAACTCCTCCCTTCTCGGCGTCATAATCTGCAAACTCGAAACTCACCAGTCTCACTCTCCTCCTACGCTACGTGGATATATTGCTATGCTAGCTGTATCAGAAGGATGGCGGAATCACGGCATAGCAACGACGCTGGTGAGGAAGGCGATTGACGTTATGATTGAGCGGGGCGCGGATGAGGTTGTGCTGGAGACTGAGGAGACGAATGTCCCTGCCATGAAGCTGTATGAGAGGCTGGGATTCATTAGGAGTAAGAAGTTGCACAGGTATTATTTGAATGGCAACAGTGCGTATAGGCTGGTGTTGCATTTGAAAAAGATGGTTGAGATGTCAGGGCAAGAATTGGTTTGACGACCCGGTAAAGGCGTCCGGCCACCTGGATACGGATGAAGTTGTGAGGAAGCGATAAATTTGAGAAGGAGATCTTGCAAGTTGGGTATTGTACTGTAGTAGCAGATGTCCGCCCACGCTAAAAGAGACAAGATATCCAGTAAATGGGTATCTACAAAGCAACTATTCCCACCTCATCTGACGCCAATCGCCTGAGTCGTTCTTCGGTTTGTTGAAGAATCCGGATACTTTACCATCTTGTGCTTGTCCGGGCTGCAATTTAAGGATCTCATTCGAGCTGTACAGCGAAGCTTTGATGTTGTACTCGTTGCCCGATCCAAGTCTCAAGTATGTGTACGCATCTAGTATTTATGAGTTGTTTGCAGTAAGGACGGAGGCAAAATTAGCTTACCGCACTTGTAATAGATCGGTTTACCTCGGGAGTCAACAACGCCAAGGTCTTTCAATTTATGGACCGTGCGGGAAACATCCTTCATATCCGTGAAGTCTCTTGTGTAGATACAGATCACTCGAGATTGCCTATCATCTCCGTCGTCAGGAGAAACTTTCGCGGCGATGCCAAGCTCATTGTTGGCAGTGGCTCGAGCAACGACAGCCCAGACAGCATTCACTTCACTGGCTTGACAGAATATCATCCACTGGATATGGATTAGGGGAGATCTTACAAGTGGTCAGGAAAGCTTACCTTGCCGGAAGTACAATGCAACTCCACAGCCGTATCCAACAACTTCTTGACAATCTTCTCTTTCTCGGGGTTGACGGCTCTTGTGATGATCGCTTTTGCTTTCCCTGCCTTCTGTTTCTCAATAGTGTGTCGTATGGTAGTCAACTCCTCAAGAAGGTTTCCCCCAAGCACAACAAACCGAGCCCAGTCACTCTCTTCGTCCGGTGGTGCCTCGTCACTTTCGTTCTGCTCATGTTCGTCCCGCTTTGGAGCTTTTCGATACGGATTTGCGATGTAAATCCAGTGGACGATATCAGTGATCGGAGTCGTAGCAGGCGGAAGCCTCTCCAGGAACTCATCCACAGTTTCCCCAAGCTGCCTTCCCGAGAAGGCACCCTCGTAGGGATTGTAAAGCGTGGCAGCCTTGGTAACTGTGGCATTCTCCAGATTTGCGTTGGCGATCTCTGTGAGAGAAGGGATTTTGTGTTTCCAGTATTCAGCAGGGTCGAAAGACTGAGCCCGGACTCCGTATTCTTGCTTGACAGCCTCGTCTCCTGATTCTGTCAGCCTTGTCAGCCAGGGGAGGTAAATGGGATGTGGGTACCATAAAAGTCGGACTCGTCTGATAAGTATCCAGTATCTTCAAGCTTGATCCCCTTTCCTCCTTTCCCTATCGCCATATTGAAATCACATGAAGGATGACGAGTAGTGATGCAAGATCAGTCCGCTTCCACCTTGTGAATCGCGCCGCAGAGGACCTTGAACCAAGAGCGCAATTGAAGCTTGGAAACACTAGGAATATTCAAACAAAACAGTGCATCATATTTGAATATCGATACACAAAGAATCTTGGCCCCTCGAGGGATCAACTTCGTGTGGACATCCGTGGACGAGGAAGGAGCGAAAGTTGGTTGTGAGGAGGAAGTCACGCTACGCTCGGACCTTTAAAATGCTCCTCCTTCCTTCTCTCGCCATCCTTCTAACAACATTCAACTTCAACTTCGCATTTCTATTCTTCGCTCCAACAATCCTATCAGAGGTTTTACTTCTTCGAAACATTCTTTTCGAGATCAACTTTCGTTAAATTAGCACCTTTCAGGTCTTCTTTCCAATTGTCTCTCAAACCGTCCGTCGGATCCGTTCATCTTTCTCATCGAGTCATTTTCACAACATTCCCCACACCCATCACAATCAGTCTTCCTGTAGGCAAGATGTCTGTCCAGAAATGGAGCAAAGCTGTGAATCCCGTTCTTTCAACCACTTTGGACCTCCCTCCCAGTTGCATCGAGTTCGTCCCACGATCCCGCGACAAGCTTCCATGTTTCCAGACTGGAGAGTACTTTGTCGTTGGAACGTACCACCTACAGAAAGAAGCAGAAACACCTTTGACACCGGATGTTGGTACAAAGGACAGTAAGCAGCCCGAGGCTACTGGGTCATCTCCTCAATCGTATCAGGATTCGAAGCTGCAATCTAGGAATGGCAGCTTGAATCTCTTCAAGCTCACAGGGCATAAATTCAGAGCTCATGGGCAGAAGCTGTAAGATCTCATTTATTCTGATGGCATTCACATTTCATTCTTTCCTCACTCAAGCTACCTAGCTAATCTGGAAATCAGGCGTCTCATCCAAAGAGTGCCTTGCCCATCTGCAGTCCTTGATCTTCACTTCCACCCGGTGTTTGCTAGCACACTCGGAGTTGTCACGAGCACGGGCGCTATCTTAATCTACAATCTGGCCGAGGAGTTGGTCACCGCATCTCACGGAGATGTTGGCGACAGCCCCTTCATCTATACGCTGAAGCATCGGGCCACACTACAAGTATTCTCTCCCAACACAATCATCACCTCTTTCGCTTGGTATCGGGCCACCGGTGAATCAAATTTCAAACAGTCTTCGTCGGACTTGATGGCATGTACGACATCCGACAATTCTGTCTATCTTGTGAGGCTGAACTGGGTCATTGAGGACGAGGACTGTCCAGACGCAGAACAAGATTACCATTACCACTTCGATATTCTCAACAATGGCCAGCCAATCAACAAGCATGACCTGGAAGCCTGGTGTTGTACTTTCAGCCCCGAAGGCACCGTCTATTCTGGAGGTGACGATGGCAAAATACGGGCTACTCCACTGTACCGCGATCCCTTCAACAGGGCGAAGGATGTCGAACTTCAGGAAGTCTCAAGACAAACTGTATTTTCTGGTCACGAAGCGGGCGTGACTGCTATCCTGGTCCTGCCATTGCCCAGCTCACCCTTGGGATCCATACTTCTCACCGGTAGCTATGACGACTCCGTCCGAGTCTATGCCGAACACGATTTCCGACCATACGTTGCGAATACTAAACCAAAGGTCCTCGCAGAACTGAAGATTGGGGGTGGTGTCTGGCGTCTGAAGTTCCTTCAAGATTACCCCCTGTCAACTAAGAGCGACGTCAACGTCAAGTACCGAGTTCTGGCATCGTGCATGCATGAAGGGGCCCGAATTCTCGAGGTTTCTGGGAGTCAAACGGGAGATTGGAAGATCGAAGTAATCGCAACCATGAAGATCCACGAGAGTATGTGCTACGCTGCTGATGTCAAGCCTCTGGCTATGAATCCTCCTTTGGGATGGGGTGAGACACGCCTCTGTGTTAGTGCCAGCTTTTACGATAAGTTGCTGTGTGCTTGGGTTTTCAATCCGGATGATGTTGAGAAGCCAAATTAGGATACGGAGGCTACTCTCTAGCTTCGAGGAGTGTCGAGTCACCGGCCAAAGATTGTGAATATGGTCAGAACAGCAGATTGCATCGTATGGGGTTTTTTCGGCATGATTGTGAGCGTGTTTGAAGGAAAAGTATGCATTCGATGAGGTTTAAAGACGGAAGTGATTCTGCATCAGACGGCGTTATGAATGATAAATGAACAACAAGATTGGCTTCCTGTACTAGCTAGATATCCGAGGAGAGCTTTCTGCAGAAAGCTTAATACATCACCCTTACAACAACAGATTTTGCGTTCGGAAACCAGTCTTTATTTCCTTTTTGTTTCCCAGTATTATTTTGAAGTACAGTACAGACTCCAAACCCATGCCCGAAAATACCACCCTTCACGCCTTGTCCTCCCAAGTTAGGTATCCAACCAAAATGCTCAAGGGTATCATGCACTTATTGCCATTTCATTTCACTGCTTGCTCCTCCAAATCTATTTCCCGAAGATACGGTCCTCATTAATTGATCATCGCCCAAATTCCTTCCTTCCATTGATCACCACAACGCTTGCAACTCCTTTCCATTCCCTTTCTCAACATCCAAGCACTTACGAATTCCCAATACTCCACAACTCAACCCCCACAACCCAGAATTTACCCCCCTCTTCACTAAGCGGCTCATTCCCGAACGTCAGACAATGGCTGCTAACCCCCTTCTCAAATGTATCGTCGAGCCACAGCCCGTAATGTCCATCTCCTCCCCCCACCGAGAGGAAAGAATGGTCGCAGAGCATTAGATAGTCGTTTACGCCGCTGTAGGGGAAGGCTTTGAATCGTATTCTTTCGGGGGTGCTGGCTCCCGATTGGAAGGAGGGGGAGGGCGGTGCGAGAGAGGAAGTCGAGTGGGTGGGGGAGGGGATGGTCGTGAATGAGGGTTGGTGCGTTGGGGAGAGGAGGGTGGACGAGGTTTGTGAGGTTTGAGGGAGGGAGGATACGGAGGATCCGATTGTGGTGCTTCGTTGCAGGTGGGTTGTGTCGGTTGAGGGGGGGGGAGGTAGGTGGTTTGCCATCGTCTGTGGGGAGAGGATGGAGGCCCGCCAGAGGAAACATTCGCCTGTGCCGAAGTAGTGGGCGGATGGGTGGGGGGCGTCTGTTAGGTAGGCGCCGAAGAGCTGCGTAGAGATTGTTTGTTAGTAGATGGTTTAGGCATAGGGAGGGGAGGAAAGGGAGAGGAAAGAAGACATACACCGCCCTCTCCATCTCTAACAATCAACACGAACCCGTTCCTCAGTCCTCTTAAATCATCACACTTCTTGTACAGCGTCCCAAGACTAACCCCGTTCTCCTCAAGGCTGTAGACGAGGTTCCAATCCTCGCAAAGTTGTAGTCTTGCAGGGACCAGCAACCGTATCTCCTCCGCCAACGCTCGTGTCAACAACCTCGCAGACTCAGGCGTACTCTCGTTCCACCCCTTGAGACTGACCGGATACAAAGGAGGGGGTTGAAAAGGTGAGGCAGTCCGATAGGGAGGGGTATAAACGCCATTCGTACCGTCGTTGACTTTCGATGGAGGGAAGCCAGGAGAGTTATTGTCGCTATTGCTCTTCGGCGGATCTGTGCTGAATCTCCTCAAGAGGCCCCCCAGAGCTCCGGCAGCATGTGAGACTGTAGCAGGTACGCTCCAGCTGGCGGACAAGGTGGGTGGGGGGCTTGTATTTCTGGAGGCATTCCTCGAACCTGAAGAGGACGCGCTGGGCGTCTCGTGGAAATAGTTGCGGTTCGACATTTTGTATGCTGCATTCAGGTGAAGTTGAGGTCGCGGGCAGGGGCGGCCAGGGGGGCGTCTTTATGGAGTGTTTGTGGCAAGTTTTGTGCCTGTGAGATGCTTGGTCATGGGGTTGTGACAATGGCATGATGCCACAACACGACTTTTTAGTGGGCGTGTATGCACGCCTAACGCCCACTAAAAAGTAATTATTTCTATTCTCAATTGGGCAAATTATTCAACGAGTTATTCTAGAGAGTGTGTTTATATTCATTCTTGGACTCAAATCGTGACGTGGGCATGTGGATGCCGGGTGGTGGGGTCAACCCACTACAGTTATTCGGATGGAGCCTCAAAGCTTGTTTTCTTGGTATGAGATGATTTCGCAAGTTTAAATATGTTCAATGGATGAGATAGGAAAATTCGAACTCCCTCTGAATAGCTTTTGCTTTTACCCCATTCAACGCTGAAAGGACACAAGACTGCCAGAAGCACAAATGAGCCCCTTCACTGAAACATGTTGCCCACTATTTCAAACCAGCAAACACCTCCTCCACACCAACATCACATCCCGTGAGCACTGCAAACATCTTCCTCGCCTCCCCTTCGCACCTACTCGAGAGTTCCACCTTCCCAACAGCCAGATACGCCTCCGCCGCATACCGCAAAGCGTTGAAGCCCTTGCTGTTCACTATCCTCTTCTCATAGTCCAATTCTAGAATGCCATATTTTACCGCGTCGACGAACCCGAAATTCCTCAGGACTTCGAAGGCGTACTTGAGGGTTTTCGACGGGTTGCGGGGAGAGCGGTACTGTTCTGTGAGCTAAATGGTTGGGTGGACCGGAAGTAGACCAGGGAGTGAGGCGTAGACGGAGGTTTCATGCAAGTCTTCGAGTGTCTTCGTCAGGCGCTCGATGTGCTTGATTATCCGTTGCGCTGCGGCCAGCCTTGGGTTTTGCTTATAATTTTTCTCTCAACTTCAACTTCAAATACCTTTCCACAAACAAATAACGGGTATAAATATTCCTATACACTTTTAGAAACTTTTTAAAACTATATATAGAGCAAGCTTTGCTTAAATTTTATTAATATTCTAGAGATTAGAAGGAGTTGAAAAAGTAGGACTTTTGATGTTCCTTTAATTTAAGCGAAACCCAAGGCTGGCCGCAGCGTAACGGATAGCGCAAGAAATTTTCCTATTGACCGGTGACTTAAAAACCTCAACTTTAATCTTCGCCACCAGCTCACGACGTTTCTGATGCATGGGCTCAGGGGATCGTTTCTCGGTGCAGAGATGGAAATCGTATTCGAAACCCCGGCCACTCTGGAAGAATTCTCGTCGGAATGTGGGATGCGCTTCGGGAGAGGAGTATTGTTGGACGAGTTCTGTACCGGCTGGAATGGCGCAGGTGGCGCGAATAAGCATCATATCACCGATAAAGGCGCGTGAACAGTTGGGGATGCAGGAGTGGTGGATGTAGGCAGCTCTTCTCCATAAGCCGGTTGAGAGCTCTACGTCGCTCGCGGCCAAGCGTGCTTTGAGGAGTTCGAGGGAGGGCCGAGGGCCGCTGAAGCAATTCGTGAGTCGAATGGATTCGACTAGGAACCTATGGGTTCGTTAGCACACATGTTGTAAGGCGTCTTGTATGAAACTTACGTATCAATTGTTGGCACTCCATCGACCAGCTCTCCTTCCTTCCCAGACCGCAGGTATCGGCGCCCTCCACCCAGGTCACAGAAACTCTTGTTGAGATGGGGGTTGTTATACAGCTTTTGGACTAATGCAAGAAACAGAGCTGCCTGTGCTGGCCTTTGAGTTCGGGAAGTGGTGTCCAGATTGTACATAATCAGGCCGCTGCCTTCCTCGTCATGATAAAGGTTTGGGCGACATAGAGCCTTCTCACACAAGACCATCTTGCCAGCTTCGATGTCTCGTGCAGCAAACAAATCACGGCCGTGAGTAGCAGTGGACTTGACAATAGTGCTCTTAGTCCAGTCCGCATGATTCAGATGGATATTTCTGATCGGTACCGATGCCACCGTTGAATGGAAATTATAGTGTCCTTCCTCCTGTTATCGAAGGCGTTTGCTCGGCTGGGCTATTTCTTGTACCTTGAATCCTTTGGGTTGAGCGTCAAAGCGTTCTCAAAATACCCCTTGCTCTTTGCGTAATCCCCAAGTTCGTAGGTAGGCCGTCCCGCGCAATAGTATTCTTTCTCATCCATGGCCTCTTCCGCGCATGAGGCTAAAGCGTCGCCTTTCGCAGCCTTGAAGAATTTGGCTGTCAGATTTGCAAAGGCACGCTTGCGATGCACGTCTTGATAGAAGGCCCTGTGTTCTTGAGAGCTGGTGTCTATTACTTGAGTATAGCTAGGAGTCAGTTGGTCTTTCAACAGACTTCAAGATCAGACAGTTGATAACACAAAGCGGTGCTTACCACTCGATTGCCGAGGCATAGTTCTTCTCCAAGTAGGCTTTGTTTCCTGCACCTTTCCATTACGTGGCCGTGACTTCTTTCCTTTCAGTCACGAATTGCATTATCAGTATCACGGCAGGACCATCTCCTCTTAAATTTGCAATATCAGAAGGATGGTCAAGACGGATGATATAGTCGCCCTCTCCAGAAAACTTGCAATATGGTTCCTTGATTGCCACAGTTGAGTTGATTGGAAGAGTAGGCCCCGAAATAGAGAGCGAATCATCTTGAAAGCCAAGGACAAGCCTTGCCACAGTTCCATTTTCTTCTTCTATGATTGTGACTACATCGGTAGATTGGTAGGGAGGAGTGATGGTCTTGGCGGTCACAACACAGCTACGGTGATGAGTTTCAACTTTCAATTCATTGAGTGAGATCCAGAATCGGTCAACATTATCCGGTAGAGCCTTATAGTTGTTCTCATACTTTCTGGAGAGTGCTCAATGAGGCGCTTGAGGGTGAATATGTAGTTGGTAGTATTAGTTCCTTGGTTGCAGGTTTCGAATTCTTTAATAACTCGAGGTTTTTGAACCGTGCCTTGACAAGTTCTTCTTTCGAATGCTTTTGAGAGGCAACTTGGCCTTGGAAAGCAGGTGATGCATCATAAAATGCCTTTTCCTGGTCCGGTGACGTTCGGTATGTGTCAATCGATTCAGTCATAGCAGAAGAGACTTGTTGGTCAGAATTGACGATAGAGGGGGTAATGCACGGCATCTTCTGAATCTTCAAAACCATTGCATCAATTTCTCCCAAGCCCCGAGCAATCGCATGCATTATATTAAAAACCGCTGATAACATGAGCCTTCGGGAAAGAATATAAATGAAATTGGGGTAAATTAGCGACTGTAAAACATGAGGCCGCATGGCAATTGGTTTTCGGATAAACGTTGAGCACCTTATGACAGGCACTTGCGTAATTTATAAAGTGATGACACTTGGGGATACGATATACTTCGACTGGCATGAGAAGTATTCAAACTGGTGGTTTCAAAACTGTGGAAATCATAGCCACCAGACGTTTGGCAAACACTCTCTGGATCGGAACGAGACTTCCTCTCTTGTAAAGCCTGCAGACATTCTCTTCTATTACGACAGCACCGTGCAACCAGTTGCGAACCTGGCGCCATGGAACCTCGATTGGACTTGAATAGTTCTAGCATTTATCTTTGAGATATTGTCGGATACCTTCTTCCACGCCTGCTGGACTGGGCTTACTAGCACAGACATCGGGCTCGAAGCCAAATTTTGACCGTAAGAAGTCTCGAGTGGTAGGGCCAATGGTGGCAATGTAAGTGTTCCTCTTCGTCGAATTTTGGCTTGCCTTTGCTTTGCCAGTCTCAGGATCCAATAGATCCAGTGACCTTAGCATGGCTTCGCAGCCGGTGGGTGAAAATACGACCACCCACCTCATGGCTTTGTCTTTCGTCTCGAGTAAAATTCTTGTGAAATCTTCCTCGAAGGACTCCATCACTCCAGTGCCATAAACGACCAACTCATCCACTTGTATCCGCCGGTCGTCCGGCAAGGTATGGTCCATCAAAGTCTTAGGAATAATGTCCCGCCTTTGCTCTCCCACCAAGAATAGTAGAGGGGGCTTGGTATTCCTATCGTGATACCATTCGCCATAGTGCTCCAACATATAGTGTGCCAATGCTTCTCCGTTTCCAGTATCGGAACCAAATATTTTGAGTGGCGGCTCGTGAGGAATTGCTCGCAAAGCTCGAGATGTAGCAGGCCCAACTGTGTATACCGGAATATCCTGTATAAATGGCCATTTGTCGTTACCTGCAGTCGTCAGATGCTGTTGAAGTCGACTGCTGGACGTAATTTCGCACCTTTGCCTTCTTCAACAAGCTTTGCAAATGCTTCCACTGCACGCTGTGATGTAAATATCAAGCCGCCATATTTCGAACTGGGCCCTTTTCCAATCTGCTTCTTCCATAGCAAAGCCCTCACGATATCGAGACCCTCGTCTAGGAATTTGTGCTCTAGCACAGGCACGAATGATGGCTGGAAGAGAAGGCAATCCTTTTCACCGGAAAACTGGTCCTGGTAGCCATCATCTGGCTTCGACTTCGTCTTCAATAGCAATATCGGAGTCGGCCCTTCACCTCCACTGCCAATTGAGTTCATCGTTGTCGCATTGTGTCTGATTGAAAATCATTGGCCGACCTTTAAGGTAAAAGTGACAACTCCTCGGGTAAAACACGGCGAGAAGAGATTCTGCCGGCCGGGCGGTGAACCCAAAGTTACAAATCAGGAACCCCACCTCGATTCTCGAGCTTCGCTCAATACAGTATACACTCTTTTCGACTCTTTAAATATTCGTGGAAGACATGGCGGACGATACACGAGACAGCAATCAAAATGGAACAGCTTCTACAGTCGTGGATTCTGGAGCACCGCCTAAGAAACTCCGGAGAGGCGTGGTATTAGGGAAAGATGGCAAACCGTGAGCTCGAATATCCTTCGGACGCTCTCAAATGCAAATCTGACGTCTTTCCAAGCTGTCGATCGTGTAACTCCTTCGTAGACTTTACTTCGCAGACCAAAACTATTACCAAATCGACTATAGGGCACTCTCTTGTTGCCACCGGCCCACCACTAGCTTGCCCACCAGACGTCGAGGAGCTAGGACGTTCCTCTTGGACTCTCCTCCACTCCATAACGGCCTCATACCCTATTTCTCCTACGCTTACCGAGCAAAGTCAGGTCAGGCAATTTATGGGGCTTTTCTCAAAGCTGTATCCGTGTTGGGTCTGCGCCGAGGACTTCCAGGATTTCATGGCCAAGAATAGAGTCAGGGCGGAGAGCAGGGAGGAGTTTGGACAGTGGATGTGTGAGGCACATAACGATGTGAATAGGAAGCTTGGGAAGAAGGAGTTCGACTGCTCGAAGTGGGAAGAGAGGTGGAGGACTGGTTGGAAGGACGGCAGGTGCGACTAGTTGCCGACTGTCGCATTCCTGTACCATATGTACGATGGATGTTTGTATCATTATGGTGGGTCATTCTGTCTTGCATAGCGGGTTGGGCATATGGGTTTTGCGTTTAGAGGTCTTTTGAAAACCTCAACTCAGAAATCTTACTTTCCTCTCCTCGCCCTCAAACCTTGCACATTTGGATAATTATGGCGACTTCTGCGCCCTTGATTCTTTTTGAACAAACTTGGAGACTTCCTTTTTTGTGCACTCTCTGCGCTTCATTTTTGGTTTTCAGTGTCCTTTCCTGTTTTGGGATGATCTGTCGCCTATCCAGTTGCTATTACAGCAAGCCGCGCCTTCTCCAGAACGGCGAACTGGTAAATCATTCTTCATTTTCACCTTCAATCAATCATCACTGAATATTTAACTAGGTAGCTGCCGGAGGCTTAAGGGGGGGTTTTGGGGGTCTCCCCCCAAGATTAAAGACCCCTCTTGCCTTCTTCTACTTCCTCCTTCCCTTGGGGGGCTTTGGGGGCCCTCCTCCAAGAATAATCACTCTGCTCTTTAAACTAAGCCCTCTTTTAAAAGAATACTTTCTCTTGAATAGCTTTGTTACCCGGGGGACCCCCCAAGATTACAATATAATCTCTTAAAGTGGGTGAATCTGGGTTTCACTCTTCGCATTTGCACTTGCTAATGCGGCCCCTTGTAACGAGACGATTGTAAATCAAAGAGACAGGGGGGAAGTTCTTCGAGAATTAAAGACCGTGATCTCACGTGACCTTGATGTTGCAGGAGGTTCCTGAGGGGTTTTATGGAAGGCATTTATACCAGCTCTGCAGAGCGGAGCTTTTTTTGATTTTTAAAGTCGGCATATGAAGTGTGTAGAGATTGATTTTGAACGTGGGAGGGTGAATTCGGAATCGGCCCTTGACGAACCCCCTTTCCCATGCCGCCCGCACTCGCTCAAAGAGGAAAGGTCGAACAGGCGCCAAAGAACTCTAAATCGACCTCTTATTCGCAACAACTCGTCTTTTCAATCTCCTTTTGAAAGAAGGCGCAGTGCACGAAGGTGAAAGTGCTTGTGAACGATGCGATGCGTGGCAACTCTGTGGCATGGTTGTTCTGCACCGCGTCGGATATTGCAACTGAGCAGGGATGAAATCCAAATGCGTCGGACAGCGGGTTTCTTTTCGCGCGGAAAATATCCAGTCAGCGTGGAGCTTATTTCGTCCAAAGACTCGTGTTACCGTGATGAAGGAGGTTGGCGTTTGTGGCAGACAGGCAAAACGTTCAGCTCCTTTTCGGGGAAGTACAAGATGGCCTGTGCAAGATGCGGCGCGGAGGCGCATAATTGGCTCAGCCCTACCCCTTTTCGCACGGGCCGTCTGTGATAGGTTGTGTAACCCGGATCCTTCAGCCTCCCTCCCCTTTTAGAAGCTGACAGGGTCAACGGTGCAGCGAGCTCCATGGGCCCCTGCTGTTGAATCCTTGGCCTGCAATGATCGGACTTTTATTCTCAACGAGATATATGGTCTTGGCCCCCTCTTCATTTTAATCTTTGTCATTCAGCGTTCTGGCTGTCCAAGATGCCAAAAAGTGTTTTCGAAATGGCCACGCAGGCCCTGCCTCAAACCTGCCTGAGTACCGAGAAGCACGATGACCGCGTTCTGGACGTGACCCTCCACTATTTTGGCTGTCTGAAGGCCTCAGAGCACGAAGCATATTTCACCAGCCTGCCCCAGAAATCCAAACGTCGCATTGTGGAAGAAAAGTTACGAGTTCGACGCCTTAGAACGCATTTCGAAGCTCGGCCAAAAACAGAGAATGGCGTGGTGTTGAAGAAGTTCGAGAACAGTCTCAGCGACTGGCGAAAATTGAATCTAAGACGAGACCCGGAACCAGAGAGATCACAGCGCTTGGAAGACCTCCCTGATATGAGTGTTGATTATGATATCAAAGCGTCGATGATATATTTCAAGAACTCGAGGCCATTCGACGTTCCTGGAGTGGACAATAATTTTCCGAATCAGAAGATCTCTGTCAAGGACTTGCTGTGCGATGAAGAGAACAATCCTCTGATGCAGTCATGCAACGATAACATGATTCGATATTTTCATTTTCCAGCAAACAACATGATATGGGTCGAGGTGAGTGGGGCAGTCATGCACGGTGTCGGCTTTAAGTGACTTCTTACAGGAAGCCATCGCGCGATATTACCACGAGCAAAGACCTAAGCCCGATGACTTCATTGCTCGATTCAGACCCCAAGATAGAACTAAAACTCAAATGCTGCTTTCTCCCGAATTTTGGAAGGGACAGCAGCAGGGCGACCGGGACTGTGAGGTGCATGCTCGATCCATGAAACCACTTTGCGAAGCAATCTCGATCGGTAAGTGCGTGAAGAAGCTTTAGTAGTTGAATCATGCTCATTGTGATAGACCCCATCTCAACTGAACCATCACCCAACAATCTTGCACTATTTGTAAGACTCCTTGAATTATTATATCAGCCCTCAGCTGATAATTCCAGATGCCATACCTTCACTGGGAAACTGACCGGGGGAGAATGAAAGCCGCAAGCGTCGTGAAAGAAGCAGGCAAGATCCGATTCTCCAACATGGCAGAAGTCGTAGACCAAGCAACAGCAAACGAACAGAATATTAAAACCGGTCACGTCAACGTGACGCCAGGTTCGAAAGGTTCAGACAGCAATCTTTCGCTTCCAAGTTACAACGTTACCAAAGCCCCACTGAATCTGCGGCGTGCTGCGTTAGGTCACCTTCTTCGTTTGGCTGCGAATGTTTCAGAGGCTATGAATTCTCATGTGGATGAGAAATTGATGTATGAGTATCTGCATGCCGATCCCCCACTCCAGCCTCGGAGAACGTTGGATCAGTCGTATTATGGCGCTTTGAAGAACACCGGGGCAAGAGACAGAGATCAGGTAGTGTATAGGGCAACGACTACGATGCCACATGAGTGTGATATGATACACCCAAAGGATAAATGTGCAGGTTGCCATGATGGAATCCGGAAGGTTCCTCGACTGATAATGGTGGACCAACTGTGGCTTTGGATTTTGGATGAGAGTTCGTGGAATCAAGATGAAATGCTTGCAGAGTACACATACTGACCAAAGCTCAGAAACTATAATAAGCTGCTTCCCAAAAAGATGGGGCAAGAATCGAGCCGACTCATCAGCAATCCACAAAAGTATTCGAACCCGGCTCAAAGCCGCTAGAAAGGACGAGATCAGGACTGCTTTCGATCTCGCCCTAATAATCGTGGACCAGTGCTCTCGAGTCTTCTTCGACCGATCGCGAATGTTTGAACGGCAACCAAACTTGGTAGATCTCTTTGCTGACGCAATTCGCGGAGTGGTGAGCACCTTGACTGAGACTAGAACATAGAGCTGATAGAAACTTAGACATATAAACAAACAGCTGCGTTCGATCAATTTCTGACATATACTCATCTCGCGTCAAAAGAATACAACTCCCGCGACAAAACCGGCAACTCAGCCACGCAAAACACGCTGCTAAACATCAACCCAGAAGGCAACCTGCTCAAAGAAACGAAAGACATTCTTGACGAGCTAAATATTATGAGCAGAATCAAGATCCAGCAGCAGGAAGTAGCCGAGGCATTCGTCAAGCACATTCGACACATCTTACTCCCTAAAGTCAATGATGCTAGGGATCCCAACTTCGCTTTGCTGAGCGAAGATCAGCTCCTGAGACCTGAGAAAAATGAGGCTCTGAGGAGAGAGCAGTTGGAGAGTGCCAAGTGGACGTTGGTGAGGGCGAATAATCTTTTGGCTGGGATCCAGAGCAGGATTTCGGAGCTGAACACGCTGCAGGATGCAGCTCGAAATACATCTGCTGCTTTGAAGGACTTGTTGACTTTGAAGTATGCACCCCAAAAATAGATACTCTGAACTTGAGATGGCTGACTCGGAATTATAGACAACAGCAAGCAGGCGTGGTAGAAGCTCGCGAAGCCGTCAAGCAAGCTACCGAAACGCTAAAGCAAGGACGATCGATCATGCTGTTCACGGTTGTGACGATCGTCTTCGTAAGTTTCCCTATTCTGGCCACCCGAATGCATTGCTAAGGTGACCAGCTCCCCTTGTCGTTCTGTGCTAGCTTGTTCGGAATGAACACCAAGGAGTTTAACGGTGGTGTGATGACATTGCGTGAAGAGTTCTACTACATGTGTAAGTGAAACGGAAACTTATTCAACACTATAAGATTACTAACCTCATCCAAGTCCCCATCTCCGTCGCCATAATCGGCACCTCCTTCATCCTCGCCTTCAGCCGCAGCGAATTCCTAGCACCCTTCTTCTCTCTCCTCTGGGCAATCATTTCCCACCCAGCCCATGTAGCCATAACCTGGGTACTAACCAAGACGGGTCTGTATACACTATCTCGAGACTTGAAGGCCAAAGCGAATGCGTTGAAGGATAGGGACCACAAGGTGACGGGGATAATGAAGGCGAATGCCATGCGGGAGAAGATGGAGCTGAAGGCCATGAAGAAGCTTTGGATGGAGGATGCCGTGGAGATGCGGGAGATGGAGCAGATCCCAACCCGGCCGAAGGATCTTGAGAGGGGAGAAAGCACTGGATCGGAAGTGAATCTGAACCAGTTGTATTATAGTCCGAGAACGTAGTCGCGTAATCTGTAAAGTAATCTAACTGAAGTGCTCAGTACCAAGTTTCGAGCATTCGGACTACTACAAAAGCGCGCGGCATTGAAATCCGTCCAACTCGATAAGCGAGGACGGGCGTAATTTTAATGCTCGCATTACAAAAATTCTCATATTCCGCATTATATTATATTATTATAAAAATTTCGCCAAAATTAGATCTGCTTCTTTTCTATTACGTAAGGCACCTCTGAAGAGTTTCGGGCGTTCCATTGAGATTTGGTGTGATTTTCTGAACGTAGCGATTTTGGTGTTCCTCGCATTTTGCCAGATGGACGGTTTTCAACGCCGCGCGCTTTGGTAAATCGTTTGCTGTGCGTCCGATTTGCCCACAAGAAGTAGTATAGGCCACTCCAGCTCATCTGATCCAGAATGTCTGCTTTTTTGCCCTCCATTCCGGCGCAACAACTTCGTTGTCCATGAAGCCATGAACATAGCATTCTCCAATCAACTCGTATTGCTCGTCCAGAGAGAATCGTCCCTCGGTGTTTTCTTCCATGTTCGGATCCACGGTATGCTTGTCAGACTTGATTTGTCTAAGCACGGAAGGTGTTTTACTGCCATCAAAAACGACCAACACGTCTCCCAGTTTGGTATAGCGAGGTCCCATTCCAAAGTAGCCACTTTCTGTGATGAAAAAGTTTCGATTCATAGAAATTAAGCGAGCAGCAAAGCGAAAATTATCCGCCCCTGAAGACCCAAATCTAGTAATGGGCTCCTTGCTGTTTATAGAATGCTCGGCCTCTGTCCAATGGACCTGACTCTCATTTTCTCGCGGTTTCCCAACCAACGTCTCAGTACTTGTTAGGCGGTAATCTAGCACCAGAGTCCTGGAAAAGGCATCGCCTGTAACCTCTCCGGTGGGATACAGTTTTTTCGATTTGGTTACCTGTCGCTTGATACTCATTATCTGTTCTGGGTAATCTTCCCAAATATCTTGTAATGACTCCGATTCGGAAGCCAGAGTAGAAATGTCGCCCACCACCACACCAATCTGCACACCTGCCACACCGATGAGGGGCAAGGTAATTTGATCCACCTGAAGCCGTGGTGTGAAGGTTGTGCCGGCATTGAAAACGCAGTTATAGCTAAAGCGGTTTGGTATCCTTGATCTCCAATCAGTCGCCCATGTCGGAAGTTTGCCAGATCGATGGCCGTGAAGGGGATCACAATAGCCTATTCCGGCATATTGAAGAATGAAGATCTTGTTCTTCTGAAGATACGCCAAAGCGAAGGCCTGATACACCTCCTCGGTACTTCTACCATAGTCGACGACGACTTCGATAAGCTCATCGGCTTTTTTCAAGCCTAACAGTCCGTAAATTTTGTCCACAGGATTAGAGCATGCCCTGTCCCGGTGCAAATGCACCATCGCATGCAAATCCCCGGATTTTGCATTTGTTCTTCTTCCAGACTTGGCCAAGGCAAACTCTTGCCGAGTTGCAGCAAGTAGAGCAACTCCTTCAAAATTGGGATCAAACTCTCCCCCCAGGAAAGACTTAGTGCTGGTCACGCATTTTAAAATAATGGTGCTAGTAGCCAAGAGATCGTTCCAATCCAGCGTGTTTGATCCATTGCATAGTATCATCTTAGATGGAAGGCAAGCTTCTTGCACAACCCAGAGGCGTGAAAACCAAGGCTGGCTTAAAAAAGCGTTGAGGGCCTGGACGTCAAGTTGGTCTGTAACCTCTCTCAGAGCTTTCTTGACCCCTGCGCCAGCGATCTTGAGACCAACTAGACCTAGGCTTATTTTGGATTCATAAATCCCGAATCGCCACGCTTTTGATGCGAGTTCCTTGATAATGTCGATTGCGGCTTCCGTTTCAGCATTTCCCTCACCCAACCACCCAACTGCGCGAGTCGTCGCACTGAATATTTGCGCCATGAGCATCACTTGATGGCCTTTCTCATTGTCGTCTATCTGATTGATACACACAGCATCAACCCAGAGCCTCCGTGGCCGGTTCGGAAGCCAAGGCTGCCGTAAGGCTGCCGCAAGGTTGCTCGTGATCGCAAGGTAGCCCGTGGGCAGGTAGATTTCCTCAGGGAAGATAGGATCTCCCCATGCGTATGATAAAGCTTCGTATGAGGGCTCGTCTGCTAGTCTCGCCGTCGTTAAGTTGCAATGGATTTCTGTGGGGTCGGGCGAGGCTGGCGGAAGTAGTTCGAGGATCCGAATTTCTAACTTTGGGTCGATTGGCAATTCCGAGTAGGATGCTGCACTTGAGACACGGTCTTCTTCGTTGGAGCTAGTTTCTGATGACATTTTGAAGAGATAGGTATTGTGATACTGAGGAATAACACCGTTCCTTTTCTGAGACAACATGACTGGGATGAGGTTGAGCTCTCCCACGTGACATGAATAGACTCGAATAAACGCCACGAGAGCCAGTCATTGGACTGTAGTGAAAACATCCCAAGCACAAACCTCAACTTTGATGTGGATACTGCGAACTGGGAGCACATGGCATACCAATATTCTCAGCTGGAAGGACCTTCGTCAGTAAGGCTTCTGAGGCTGCAGCCTGGCGACTCTGATCAGTCGATTCGATGTGAAATCTACACCGTGCCCTCGACGACAATCCTTCGTATACTGCTGTCTCATATTGTTGGGGCAGCAGTGAGAAGCCACGAGAAATCCTTTACAGTCAATACTGATTGCCCATCACCGAGAGTCTCCATCGCATGCTTTGGAGGCTGCGCTTGGATGAGGCGAAGCCGAGTCTGCTCTAGGGGGAATGTGCAAAACGACACCCCCCCGGGCGTCGATTGGGGTGTCGATTGGGGGCCACTAACCCAAAGTAGAGGCGCTCAGACAGGAACACCAAAAATCTAGCTTTCTCTTTAGTTTAATTTAACTTTATAAAAAATTAATATAATTTAATACTTGTTTCATTTACTTATAGCGCTAATTAAGGGCTATTCGAATATAAGCTTTTTATTAAATTTGGATTAGTAATAGTCCTTTAAATTAAAAAGGTTAAAGATTTCATATTTTATAGCCTAAAGGTAAGCTTAAGAAAGCCTAGAAATTTAGCGAGTAAGTCCCTAAAACTGGACCTGAGAGCCCTATAGGTACCTAATTTACAAGCCCTTATAGGGCCTAAAAATTTAGAACTTAATTAATTAGTATATAAAGTTCTTTTAATTAAAATTCTATTTTAAAGAATTATTTTATTATAAACTGAGAAGCACCTAATTTTATTATAAGCCTTATATTATACTAGCTTATACTTATATTTGAAAATCTAACTTAAGGTCCGAAAATACTCTGCCCCCCAATCGACACCCCAATCGACACCCGGGGGGGTGTCGTTTTACACATTCCCCTTGGAGGGGGGCTTCTTTTTGGTGGCGTTTCTTTTGTTGTTGTTTGGTGCGCTTGGATCGAAGAGGGAGAGGTGCAGTGGTGTCGACCAAAGGTTCGTCGTCTGCCGTATTATCCTTACGCATTATGCCTTCGTTCGGGACTTTGTTAATAGCCGAGCTGAGGTAGAAGGAATATAATGGTGGGAAACAGAAACCAGAGTCGAGAAATTTGGCGGGTTTAGCGGGGTTACCAACTGCAAGCACTAGCAGGGCACCCCGCACTTGCCCCACTTCAATAACACTCAAAAGCAGATCTCAACCTCGAGCTTCAGCCAATTTTCTAGTTATGCAAAGAAGAAATCCTATCCCGATTTAAAGGAGAAGAGCAGCAAGGCATAGCGAGTTCTCTGCGATTTTGTAGCATTTCCCTATAAAACTGGACATTTCAATGTTTTGCCTTGCCAGCCCAAAGTTGAGCTATACGTAACAATTGCATAAATTTCTTGCGAAAACCCTTCATTTTCAATGGTTGGTATTATTACGGATACCATAAAATTCGATCTTCCCAATCTAAAAGCCGTGTATATTCAGCAAAACCTAACTGTGGATGTTTATTATCAATCAGTCGTCTTTCCATACAGCTCAAGGTCTATGTCCAAAGTTAGAAGGCCTTCTCCCACTTGGGAATGTTTTCTGAGTCTCTTCTTCCCCATGCTCCTTTTAGCCCCAGTTTGAGTTTGACCGTCATCTCGAATTGACTGCCGACCTCCCAGAGCCGACGGCTGAGAGTTAATGTCTCTTATCCAATACGGAAGCTGCATCTGCGAGGAACAACTGCAAACGCGACTGGAGCAATGGGATTTGCCGCACCCTGATAAGAGCTTGACACCGTGTCTCAGACTCAATTGGCAGCGGTTCAGCGACAGGAAAATATGAGGCTGCTGAAAAAGTAATTATGGTTGCCATGTTTCTGCGATTGCCACTCTACTCGCTCGATGCTGGATGGCTTTCTATTGAGACAAGCAACGCCTGCTTTTGGAGTAGCGCAAGCTACCCATATATTGCACAAGGCAATCCCCGCGTCCTTGGCAACGCTGATGCTTGTCCCACTTCTCATAACCGTCAGTCTCGCTCTTAAAGTTCTGAATATGAACTATCCATTCCGCTTTCTGTTGGCTGTATGGCTCTTATGCGACGCCACACTCAACACGAATGTCTCCATTGCAGGTTCTAACGGCTACCTCTCCCTCCGCGAATGCGCAGCTTTATGTCTCAACGATGCCGAGACCTACGTCGACGTGCGGTCCTTCATCGGCTGTCCCGCTCAGCCATATGGGCAGAATGAATGCTATTGCCGCGAAGATCTTCACATTTCTGCGTCTTCGTATATCACTCACTGCGTTACATCTGCTTGCGGGCCAGGAACTGTTGATGTAGATGGTGCTGTCTCGGTCTATGATAACTACTGCTTCACTGCTGTAGGGGCAACGCCGGTCATTGGTGCTGTCGCCGCGACTACCACCAACCCTGCTGGGACCACTGCTGGCCAGACTTTTACGCCGACAAGTAACGGAGCAGTAGAGACTGGGGAAAATAGTAAGCGGGTTTCAACATGATTCATCTCCTCCAATTCTCGATCTTCCTCAACTGATACTCTTCTCTGCAATGGCAGCCCAATCGACAGGAGACCCTGGTTCAAGCAGCACGAACGGGAAAGAGTTGACCGAATCGAATAAGATAGCACTTGGAGTGGGTATTGGCTTTGGTATACCCTCTGTGATTGGGGTTATAATTGCATGTGTTAATTGTATGCATCGGTACTGAATTGGGAATGAGCCCTATTATTTGACTATCAACTTGATGTTCTAACCACTCTTTTGCAAATCAAGTGCATCCCATCTTTTTCATGCTCACTTCAGCGCCAAGTCAAGTCTGGCTCTCATCCTTGAGTTGTTTTCCATTCGCTGTCCAAGGCCCCGTACCTTGAGTCAACATGTTGAACGACTTTACGAACATCTCGTTGAATTGTCTGTCTTTGAAGTTATCTATCGATGCCCAGCTACAGTTCTCATAAGCCGAATATGTCGATCCAGTCATATAGAGCGCGATTGGTGACATGACGGAGTTGGTGGTAGTTATCTTTGTTCCTCAAATGTCATCTAACATAGGCAAATAATCATTCCTGGGAAGAACACGGCAAGTAGCAAGAACGGAAGCTGTTTGTAATTGTGTATCACCAACCACTTATAGCTCTGCTTTTAGTCAACTACAAAGCGTGAGCACCGCGCGTCGACGGATCATATCACGACCCGGGGCTGGTGTCTTCAAGAGAAAACAGCTCTGTTGGGTGTGTAATGTACGTCTAAAGAGGGAAGAAGAAGGAGCGGGGAGCTCGAGAACTAAGATACAGGGTGTCGCGCTAAGCTAAGTCACGTGCGACACAGCAGATCACGAACTCCACAACTGGCAGGCAGGCTTATTTGGGGACCATAATTGCCACGTTTGTGGTAGCCTCAACCTCGCCATTCAATATCGAGTCGAAACTCTGGCCTCTTGGTTGCTGAGCTAGCTTTATTCTCGCGTATAAATTCCACCATACCTTCCCAGATATAGTCAAACGTCTCTTCATCAAGAGAAGACTCCAGTGGTTCGGATGCATTTTCTTTCAGAGGGGTTATCTTTATCTCATGGATGGAACGGTCTAGTCGTTTACCACCGCTCATCTTGGAGTTGTGCATCTCAAGATATGGTATTATTTCGTCTCTATTCTTGGTTGCTGTTGCTTCTCTCAATTTCGATCACTGGATTGTGCTTTCGCACATGAAAGACCACGAGATTCGCAATGGCTCAACCGTCTGAAAGATATAGTGCTTTAGAGGAAAACAGGAGACAACATTCATCGTACAGAGCACTCGCTTGAGACGATGGGCTTCAGAATGCGGTAGCTGACAGGTCAGGGCCACGTTCGATGGAGATTCCTAGCTGTGGCGTTAAACAGACAAAGTAGAAGAGTATCGTCAGCTTTCAATGAAATGAAACATAAGGAAATAGCAGCTTAAAGACAAATTCATGTTTTGCTTGTAAAAAAGGACGGGGGTGAAGCTGGGAAGCAGGGGATGATGCGCACAGATTCGGCTACCGTAGCCGGCTAAATTACGCGACTTCAACCTCCGCGAAAACTCGAGTCTCCACGCGACGCGCCTTCCAAATCATTAGCCTCGCGATTGTCAACAAAAACATTCCTCCAATTGACCTTCCAACTCGTCATTATGGCGCCATCCGAGAAACAGATCATCGCTGAGATCCATACGGTCATTGAACGGATCTATGCTGATCCTTCAAGCCGCGAGAACCTCACGGTACGAGTTGTTCGAGAAACTGTGGAGCCGAAACTCGGCCTCGAAAAGGGATTCCTCACACAAGCAGAATGGAAAGAAAAGAGCAAGAAGATTATTAAAGAATACGCGGTATGATTCTCGGCATCACCTCTTCTTCATTTGCTGACTTTTCTGTTTCGTAGGAAGAATTGATTGACAAGCAAGAAGCTGAATCAGACGCTGCTTCAAAGACGATCCAGGTCAACCCAAAAGCCGAGAAGAAACCTACCCCAACTCCTACGCCTACGAAAGAAGCTCCCACGAAGAAAATTACAAAACGAGGTGCTCAAGAATCGAAGGCCCCACCGCGGAAACGACAGAAGAAAGAAGCAACCCCATCCGAAGAGGAATTGAGTGATCTCAGCGAACCCTCTCCAGAAGAGAGCGAAGTATCCGAGTCCGAGTTTGATGAAGATAGCGATGAGCCGAAGCGCAAGAGAAATTCGAAATCCAAATCAAAGACTCCTGTCAAACGCGGAAGCAAGAAGAAGGCGGATACAGAGTCGGACGAGGAGGAAGAAGATGAGGACCCCAGCGACGAGACTGAGCTGAGTGACAGCGATGACTCAACCGCCAAGAGGAAATCTAGACCTAATCCCAATGCGAAGGCAAAGGCTCCTGCGACGCGTCAAGCGCCTGCCAAACGCCAATCGAAGAGTAAAACCAAAGTAGAATCCTCAGATGAAGAGAAGGAGGAAGATAATTCTCCAAAGAAGAAAGCTCCCGCCAAACGGCAATCGAAAAGCAAGGCCAAATTAGAATCATCTGAGGACGAGGAGGAAGAAGAAGCCTCCCCCAAGAAAGCAACACCCAGGAAAGCGCCCACTAAAAAGGAAACTCCAAAGAAAGCTACCCCGTTCAAAGGGGAGCCCTCTCCTGCCGTCTCTCCACCCAAGAAAGCAGTAACCAAGAAAGTCGGTTCAGACTCGGAAGACATACCCAAGCCCGCACCAGACGCAGGCTCCGAGTCAGAAATGTCCATCGTTCTCGACGAGGAACCCAAACCCAAACGCAAGCGTCGCTCGAAATCCGACATGGCGGCGGATCCCAAGGAGGCCAAGATAAAATCCTCTTCCAATAAACCCGGCCGCCCCAAATCCTCATCCGGCTCGGCCAAAGCCCCCAAAGACCTTACGGCCGACGAAGCCAGCATAAAAACCCTCCAATCGCAACTCAAAAAGTGCGGCGTGAACAAAATCTGGCAGTTTGAGCTGAAGCAATATGGCGACGATAGCAAAGAGAAGATTAAGCATCTGCAGAGGGTGCTGAAGGAGATTGGGATGAGCGGGCGCTTTAGCGAGGCGAGGGCGAGGGAGATCAAGGAGATGAGGGAGCTGCAGGCGGATTTGGAGGCTGTGAAGGAGGGGGAGAAGAGCTGGGGCTTGGGTGGGGGGAAGAGGGCTAGTCGGGCGGCGGTGAAGGCGAAGAGTTTTAGGGAGAGTAGTGGGAGTGGGGTGGATGATGGGGACCAGGGTATGGTGAAGAAAGGCAAGAAGGAGGAGAGTGCGGATGAGGGGAAGAAATCAGAGAGCGAGGACGAGCAGCCTGTCCTGCGGAGACCTAGCGCTCGCGCAGATTTGGCGTTCTTGGATGATGAAGAGGAGAGTGATTGAGTACGAGTGAAGTGTGTCCTGGATATGAGGTGACGTGTGTATCAGTATAACAGACTTGGAGCAACGAAAAGTCACGAGATTTACGCAAATACTCTTAATGGAACGTACTTAATCATCACACTTCAGTTCGATTGACGATGCAAAGTTCTTTTCCTCACCGTCTGCAATTTATCTAAAACATGCCCAGCAAATCCTCGTTGGTCTTCTTCAGCGCTCCACCATGTAACTGCGTTTGAGGCGGAGGCGGCGCACTACTCAGATCCAGCCCTGCAAACCCATTCATCATATCGTTTTGCATGGCCCCTGAACTCGAACTGCCTCCGTTCATATCAAACAAGCCCATCATATCGTCCAAGCCACTAGCTGCTGCCGGTGCACCTGCTGGTGGACTCGCGACTCTCTGAGGCGTGCCTGCTAGACCTTCAAGGCCAGACGCACCACCGCTTGGAGGAAGGTCAGCTGATGCAGGAGCAGCCCCATCGAAGTCGATGTCGAGGAGATTTTCGGCGTTTTGGGTGCCGCCGTTTTGAGCGGCGGCAACTGCTGCGGCGATGGGGTTGTCGACGGCGTTTTGCCTTTGCTCTTGGATTGCGGCGTGTTGGATGGCATCAGCGCCATAGCGGCCGTGACCGACGAATGTCTCTGGTAGTTTGTGGTAGACGGAGGCGAGAGTTGAGAGTTCGTTTAGAAGTTGGTCGAGGAGGACTGGGGGAAGGGAGGACATTGTTGTAGTGATAGGAGGTTTGTCAGAAAGGATGATGTTCTATAAAGTGTTAGCCTTGTTCGTGTTAGAAGAAAATTCAAATTACCTTAGCAACTGAAAGATCGCCTGATAGTAATCGCCAGTAGACGTATGCCCGATCCCTGATATCAGGGTTGTCATTATCAGCTGTTGCCGCCTGTAACACTTTCTGTACCAGGCCTTGATTGTTGTCTGGTTTCTTCAAGAACAGTTTGACAACTGCGGTCAGTATTTGCAGTTGAACTTGCGTGAACTCTTCCATGAAGCCTTCCACAAAACTTGACAGGATCTCGTCGGCATTGCTGATCTTCTCAGCATACTCGCCGACAATCCAGATCAAAGCTCCTCTTGCATTTGGCTCATCCAGCTCATCGATATACTTGCAAAGGGTTGGAATGATTCCCTCGTATCCCGGATATTTTCGGAAGATATCTTTGATAACGACAATCGCCTCCTGGACAACGTAGTTGACCTTGGTAGCAATGAGGTCAAGGAGAGTATTGACACACTTCTCACTTGCGCTCTCAATCTTGATAGCTACTTGCCCAATAGCCTTCACTGATCTTCGGACAAAATCCATGTCGACTTCCAAAGCATATTCTTTCAGCTCTGCCAAGAGTTGATCCACATTCTTGTCGTTTGCTATCCGAACCATGATCTCTAGCTTTTGTAGCTTGACGTACGGAGGATCATTGTATTTGCAGAAGAAAACTCGAAGCTCTTTGCTGAGAATGTCTGGCTTGGCTTGGAGCAACAGATCAATATTCCTTAAAGCAACATATTGGACTTCTGGAGCTGATGCGACGAGAGTCACTGGAAATGTTAGCAGAGCTCGACAAGTATTACGGGAGGTATATATACCTAGAGGAGGAGCCATTTTCTTCAAGTATTGCTTGGAAAGCTCATGACTGATATGTTTCATGTGCAAGAACACCACCTTCACCGCCGCTAACACCACACTGGGGTTGACGTGTTGGAATTGGGGTGATACTCTTTCGCAGATATGCTCGGACTCCTTCACATCTTGCGCTTTGTAGTCGGCCAGCGTTGTCAGGATCGTTACTCGCCCCCACTCCGTACACTCATTTAGAGCCATCAGCATCTTCTTCAGCATCGCAGGTGTCACTCGTAGAGCTTTCGTTTCTGGAGCTGCTTCATTGATCTCCACCAACGCAGTCACCGAGTTGGCCACCACCATCGGATTCGAGTCCCCAATCATCTCTTGTAATGTCTCCAGGAACCCATTCTCTATACACATAGTAGGATTTAAGTCGAAGAGCTTGGCAACACATATCGCCGCCGTTTTTCGCACGTATGGCGACTCGTCACGTAGTGTTTTCCGTAATGGTTCCTCCATATAGTCTACCATCTTGTCTACCCTGATACAGCCCATCGTCCTTATTGCCAGAGCTCGAACTAAAGGATTTGGGTCCTCGGAGTCTTGAACAAATGTATTGACCGCCAAAATACAGAGGTCTGGATGCGATTTGGCATAGTTCCTGTAAGCACACATTAGCTGAGCATTCTCTGCTACACTAACGAAGGTAGAAATACATCAAATACAGATACACAAGCTTCTTCTGATCCAGGTCTGGCGTTGCAATGTTCTTCAGCACATCCGGGAAGAGAGCTGACACATCCTTGCCCAAGGTCATGGACATGATGGTTTTCTGAATCGCCTCCTTGCGCTCGTAGGCATATTGCGAGACCAGCCCTGCTCTCAGCTCGAACGTTTCTCCTTTCTTGGGTACCGCAAAGGCTCCTCTGATTCTGTTCACCGCCATCGTTCACACAGATGGCGAGAGGTTGTACCCCTCATACGCCGGCGGCTTCGATGATTTGTCTGGTAATGTAGCAGCTTTGTGCAAATCGCTAGATCCGAATCGATGATATCAGGCTGGCAGAGTCTGCTGCAGGTTCGAGAAGGTACGTTCGAATATTGTTCTGGGAGAAGTGGCGTATAATGATGTCGAGCTGGCTATCTTAAAGTTGCCAGCTTCAGCCTTCTGTGGGTGATATTCTGAAAAGGACGCTAGTGAAGTTGAGGGCAGGGGGGTTCATCCTCTCGTCCTCCAACCTTCACGAGGATTCCCTGCAAATTTATGGGAACATGAAACAATCGTGTTTGCGGGAACTGGTCCATAAGTGAAATGGTAAGGGGCATCTTCTCTTCTTCAACTGAATATCATGGGTCTGATCAAGTTCTCACAGGCAAATCTACCAAATCTTCGCCGACTGTTCGTCGAAGCTAGAACTGAAGCAGAAGAAAGTCAATATTCAAGAAATGCGGTCAGTCATGTTGTTTCATAAGTTATCCAATTAGGCTTATATGTTGCAGTTCTACAACATTGTCCTCTTCATGTCTTCTGTGGCCGTGTTCAGTCTCGTTGCACAACGTATCAACAAGGCAAATTCCTGATGAAAGCTGCCAACGAAGACTGTCCTCGAGTTATTTACGAGTCTGGATGGAAGAGCTCTACCATTTGGCATCCTCAAGGTCTCCCGATGCTGGGTGAGGCGTAGGTTCTGGTGCTGTGCAGATATGGTTACGCAACGTAAGTGGTTGGATGACCGCATTGCGAAAGAAGTGGCACGATTATCGACAGAGGGTCTGAAGACTGCAAGTCTTGGCGAAGCTTGAAATGGACAGCCTTGCCAAGAGGGGATGTCAGTGGATGATTTGTCCTATTCAGCATACAGCTCAACTCTAATACACGCCAAAACCGTCTTCATAATCGGTTACATTGCCGTCGAAGTTCCCACCATTGATCCTCCGACCTCATCATGGCCTTCCTCCATCAATACAAACAAGCCTGCATCCTGTCCCAAAGTCCTTGGCTGGTGCCTCAATATGTTCATCGAATCCAGCTTCGTCCCCTCAGTCCTTGGTCCCCGTCACAACCTCCCCCGTTGTATCTTTGCCCGGTGCCACCGCTTGATTCCCCTCCTGCCTTTGCTTCTCCCATTGTTCAGGTGTAAAACATTTCGGGGTCCAGGCGTGAATAGCCGCAATTTCGGTCTTCAGTGCAGTATTAACCAGCCGATGTCTTGCCAGTGTTGTCTTCTTCTCAAATTGAGGCGATACTATGATTGCAGAAAATGCTTGACCACAGCCACCTGCAATTCTGATCAGTAAGTGTCCGTATCAAGTTTGGGACAATGGAGGGGCATAGTGGGGCAGAAATACCAGACATATCCTCGATTTCGACATGCGTAGCCTGAAGTTGCTCTGTAATTTTGGCCCTCAGACCAACCTCCGTGACTCCAGGCTCTCCCACCATTGTAAAATGCAGGTTGGCACCAGACAAAATTGTCGTTGTTCTCCCAAGAAAGTTGATGCGAAATCAAGCCCGGTCTCACGAGCAAACCTCGCAAACAATGCCTTCAAGGCGGCCGCTTCCCAATTCGGCCAACGTGACTTCCCAAAAACATGTAAATGTAAAAATGCCATGATTTATAGATCTGTGCTTCGAAATTCTATTCACTCCTTTCGAGCATCGATGTCAACAATGCCTGCGTCAATCCCAAGGGTGTCACCCTTTACCCAGGCGGTTGTACAGGCAATGCGGAAGCTGTAAGTCACGTTTCTTGTGGGCTTCACTGGAGACTAACTGTTGATAGGTACCCCGAGAAGCTCGCAGACAGCAGCTTTGACAATACCGGACGTACGTAGCTATCTCTCTGTACCATTTGAAGAGACTAAACATTTTAAAGTCCTTCTCGAAGCACCGTATCGACAGCAACATCTCAAGAACTCAGTCCTTCTCACGGTGGACCTCACAAAAGCCGTAGCAGATGAAGCAATCAACAGAGGAGACTCGGTGATTATTGCATATCGTGGGTTCTATCCTTCTTGAATTGTGCTGGATTATCACAAAGTAACAAATGCAAAGATCCAATCATCTTCCGGCCTCTGAAGTCCCTCACTCAAGCAAATTCTCAGCAACACTCCCTTCTACGGCTCGCTCAAGAAGGCATCAGCGTGTACAGCCCTCATACGGCAGTAGATGCTGTGGGTTTGAATGAATGGCTAGCAGACATCGTGACTTGCAGTAACGAGTTTGGAAATCCTGGGTAAGTCTCAAGCCCAGCCACCATTCTTCTCTGACGGTATTCAGAGCAAGTAAAACCACTGTCCATGAGAGATCCGTGATCACTCCCATCAAAGATGCCGTAGAAGGATTCGAAGGTGCCGGATATGGCAAAATCGTGCGTTTCCGCACCCCGCAAAAGCTTGGAGATATCATCGGTCGAATTACCTCTGGGCTTGTACTCCCCAGTCTCCACGTTGCCGTTCCACAATCTGTCACAGCCGACAAGTCTCAGATCAAGATCTCTTCCATTGGACTCTGTGCAGGATCCGGTAGCATGCTCAATGGACTGGATGTCGACTTGCTCTTCACGGGAGAACTAAGCCATCACGAAGCACTGGCTGCGATTGAACAAGGGAAGTGTGTCATCACCACTTTTCACAGCAATACCGAGAGGCTATACTTGATGACGACCATGCAAAATAAGCTGTTTCCGGAGATTCGAAAACAGATCGATGCCTCGATTAAAGCAGGTACTTGGGAACAAGGCCTGACGATGGACTTTCAAATCGACGCGAGCCATGTTGATAGAGATCCTTTCGAGATGGTTGCTAGTCATCGAAAGGAATGGTGATTGTAGACAAAATTGGGAGTGTTGGCGTCTGAAAAGTATTTGCCTCTTGGGGTATCATTGTTAAGACTGTATTGTACCCGAACCTATGATGATGTTGATTCTCCCGACTCTTTCACGTTTTCCCAACTCCTCTCACTTGGCGCTTCACCCCTTATCGCGGCCTCTCCATCCTCAATGCAATCCACAACATCCGGACCCCCAACGCCTCTCTCCTTCCACCGCTCCAATAACGTCAACGCCGGCTCCCACATCGTCCTGGCCTCCTCCTCCTTCCCCTGCTTCACCAACGCCCTCATCTTCTCCGGCGTCCCCAAAACCCTAATCACCACCTCCTTCATCTTCTCTCTCCTACTCTCCTTTTCCCTTTCTTCTTCATCCCCTCCCTCTCCTCCACCTTTCTCCACCTGCCCCCTCATCTCCTCTCTAACCTTCTCCGCCATCTCATAAATCCTCGCAATAGCGGGATCAAGCGTACTAGCCATCGGATTCAACGGGCCCATATTCTCTCTCATCCTGCGTATCGTATCCGTCGCCGCAATCAACTTGCTATAATTATCATACACCAACGCCTTCTTCTCCGCATCCAGGGCTCTGATATCCGTTAATATGCCATTATACGTCCGCAACAACTCCCCTAAACTCTGGGTTTCGAGGACATGTTTGGTGTATTGTGGGGCAGAGAAGTTCGGTGCGTCGAGCTCGGAGTCGAGAACGTCGGAGGCGGAGTCGTGGATCGATGAGATGGAGCTGGAGTCGTCTGCTAGTTTTGGGGATGCGGAAGGGTTCGGAGAGCCGGTGGATTGGGATTGCAGGTTGTAGTACTCGCGCAACGCGGCGCGGTTGCGTTTTGGGGGGGCTTGGAGGGGAGCCCGTGAGGGAGAGCCGTCTGTTGAGCGGGTTTGTTCGAGAGAGGGCCGCGAGGAGGTGGTCGGGGTGGAGATCTGAGGGATTCGGCGGCCGTTCACGGAGGTGTCGCGGGGGCTGGCTATGGTTGACATTCTGGTTGCGGGAGCGGATATGCTGTTATCGAGAATGCATTGGAGGTGATGTTGTGGTGGGGTTTGTGTTGATGTAAGGTGTGGTGTTGAACAGAGGTGACCTCAAAAAAGGAGGCGAGGCTCGCTTGCAGCCTTGCGTTCATAACCTCCTCTCTTCTACCAACCTACAACATCCCTGGGGCAATCTTCAACCCTCCCCTCAAAACTTAACGATGAGTGTATCGCTCTCTCAACCCAGTCCTACCTAACACAAGATGGCCAACCCTCCAACCCTGGCCCAACTAACGGCGTCCCTGACCTCCCTCGGCCTCCCCACACCCCACCCCTCTTTCCTATCTCCAATCCTCGCCAACGGCCTCCAAAAGAAGACCCCCCTGCCCGGCCTCATCGCAACCGCTAAGCTCCGTCTCCTCTGCGCCGACTTCTCCTCACCTCTCATCCTCGCATCAAACCCTGCACCCCCAGCATTCCCACCAAACATCACCGACGTCAAGATTCCAGCACGGAAACTGGACAGAGATGTGGTTGTTCAGGTGCTAGATGTAGAGGATATAGGGAAGAGCAAATGGTCGCAGATTGAGTTGCTTGAGAGTGTGAGGAAGGGAGAGACGACCAAGGGGAGGGAGGTTATTCGTGTTGTTCCGAATGAGGAGAATCGGCTGCCTTCTTCTGCTTCTACTCAAGCGATAGGAACCCAGGCGGCGGGTAGGCAAGGAGAGGGAGGGAAAGAGGGACCGTTCAAATTGCTGATGCAGGATTGTAAAGGGAATAGGGTGTATGGATTTGAGTTGCACAAGGTACAGAAGGTGGAGTATCCGCCGGGGATGGGCATTGGCTGTAAGATTTTGTTGAAGAGGGGGAGTCAGATCGCTAGGGGGATGGTGCTGTTAGAGCCGGAGAGGACGGTGGTGTTGGGGGGTAGGATTGACGGGTTGGACAAAGCTTGGAGGGAGGGGTGGGAGCAGAGACTTAGGGAGCTAGTTGAGAGAGAGACAAGGGGGAGGGGTGGAGGTGAGGATTTGATGGACGAGGATTGAGTGTTGCGAGAGTGTGGAGTAGTGTGTGTAAAGAAATGGAGTGTTGGACTTGCATGATTTTCATTACAGGTGTTAGGACTGGGGACGCAAGGGAGCATTTAGAAGGTTCATGATACCATAGAAGATTCGGAAGGCTGATCAACAAGAAGTCACACAAATACAATTAGCTGTTTGAAAGTGAAACATTGCGATCTATGAGTTTTATAGCCCAATCCTAGGGAAGACCGGACCGCACCAGACATAGTTGACGCATCCTTTCATGAAAACGCAGCTCGAAGCGTGAATGAACATGATCTCGTGCCAGTCGTAACTCTTTGTACTTGCCGTATGAAAGGGAGATCCACCAACACCACAATTGCTGCCCAATATCCTCTCCGCTTTAAAGCGATCATGAAACTACACACGCCATTTACGACCAGCCTCTCGATATCCTCGCAAGCAATGTGTGGAGATGATGAACCGTACCCAATCAAGCTAAAGACCACAATTCAAATGCTCCATGTCCAAATGGTACATTTTCCAGCAGGATCCATAAGCAAAGTTATGCACCCGATGCACCATTTATCGCATGATCTCCTGGTAGATGAGTTCCTTCAGCTGCTCCTTGCTGAGGTTATCCTTGTTCTTATCGAAGTCGAAGAACTCCTCTGGGATCGGGCTGGCAGTTGGCTCGTCGTCGGGATCATGGTATGGCTCGAGATAGGGGTGTTGGAGTGCCTCATCAACGGTGATACGCTTAACCGGGTTGAAAGCAAGGAGTTTCTCAAGGAGGTCAAGAGCGAGGTCGGAGGTCTTGGGGAACATTTGCTTGAATGGGACCTTCTTCTTGAATGGGAGGGAGCGGATGTACTCGCGGGCACGGCGTGACTTGATTCCATAGTAGTCCTCCATGGTGGGCGTACCAAGAACATCAAGGATAAGAGTCAGTTGGTGGTGGTCTGAAGCGCTGTTAGAAAGGGAAGATTTTCAGCACACAGAATTCACCTACAATCCTTTCCGGGGAACAGAGGCTTGCCACTCAACATCTCAGCCAAGATACAGCCAACGGACCAAACATCAATGGCCTTGGTGTACTCCTTGAAGGTCAACATAATCTCCGGGGCTCTGTACCAGCGGGTTGCGACGTATTCAGTCATGAAACCGGAGTTGTCTTCTTGAGAGGCGGCAGAGCGAGCGAGGCCGAAATCGCAAACCTTGAGGTCGCAATTGGCATTGAGGAGCAAGTTGGATGGCTTGAGATCTCGGTGGAGAACGTTTGCGGAGTGCATAGCCTTGAGGGCGCGGAGGGTTTGGTAGATGAAGTATTGGCAGTGGTCGTCAGACAAATCTTGTGTGCGAATAACACGGTGCATATCGGTCTCCATAAGCTCCTATGTGATGTTAGAAAAGTGAACCCGGGCTATCCACACACCAATGTGGGGGAAACCCGAAAAAGCGTACCTGGATGAGATAGACTTCGGTGAAGGTCTCATAGCTGCGGGGTTTTTGGATGTCGAGGATAGATATAATGTTCTCATGGTTGAAGTATCTCAACAGCTTCATCTCACGCAAGGTTCGAAGGCAGAACATGGAGTGATCAAAGGGCGTAATCTTCTTGATAGCGACTTTTTGACCCGAAGGCTTGTGAAGAGCAGAGCTGTGCAGAAATTGTCTTAGCAGAATTCGAAATCTGGGTAGCTACTATGCGGCTTGAGTGAAAACTGGGGAAGCTGCATCTACAATGTAGAAGAGTGAACAATTGTAGGCGGTCTTCGAGGACCAGATCGCGGGGTGGATAGAGACTCTGCGACTTACCAGACAACACCATAAGCACCCTCTCCTACAACATCCTGAATATCGTATTGCTCAGAGACGTTGAAGGAGATCTTACGCGATCCCGTCGAGGGATTTGGCGCACGGGAAGACATCTTGGAGAAGATATATCCCGCAGTCTTTATCTAGACGATAGAGCAAGCAGCTTTGCAATGATTGCTTTCGTCTGGCTGCAATCGGTGTTGCAGACAGCGAGTGCAAATTTGCAGTTCGAAGGGGAGTATCGAAATTTTCGTTTCGAAAAGTGTGCCGAGTTCGAAGTCTCTTCTGTTTCTTTGTCGAGCTCGTGGTGAACTCTTAGCGTCAAAGCAGAAGACAGTGAATTGCACTTCAGCCTTCCCGAAACGTCTTGTCAAATATCCCGTCTAGTCGTATATTCTCCGCACTTCTTTATCATCCAAAGTATGTCCGATATATAACTTCGTCCAGCCTGATGGGATGGTCTTGAGGTTGGACGTCTCTCGTCTCTCGTCAATCAAGACACAAATTTGCGCTCGGCCCTGCCAGGAATGCTCGATTGTCGCAGCTTCTGTGTGTGCCTCGGAAGTTCAGAGAGCAGCCGCAGGAGATGTGGAGGCGGTTCGCCGCTCGTTGCTGCTTTGACAGTCTTCTAGATGAAAGGCGCAGAATCAGTACAGTTCTTGTCCGCTTTCTTCTCGTCTCCCCATGTTCTCCTGCCCTTTGTGCAAGCTTCGAGAAGGCTGGGCTTGCGCTTCTGCTCTACCGAATGCGTGCGCAGAGGTTGAGGCTCAAATGCTTCATCTGATACTGCCCGTGGTTCTAGAAGAGAAGTGGCCGTACCTGTAATCTCCAGCTCTGTGATGCAGATCTCGACGTCGAGTTGCCCCGCTACAAGGATGCAGCGCCTTTCTCGGGTGTTCCAGTCGTGCAGAGTGCGCAGAGGCCGACGAGTGCAGCTCGGGGTGGATGGGCAGGTGGATCAACGTCGCAAGGCCGCGAAGATGTTGGAGAGAGGCAGAGGGCAGATGGCAGAGGGCAGAGGGCAGCGGCGACTCGTCACGATGTTGCTTTGAACGCTGGAGTTGGAGTTGCAGTGGAGTTGGAGGTCCACGGTCTGGCTGCAACTCCAGCAAGGAGGGGGCTTGGCCGGACGCAGGCCTAGTCGGCGTGGGTCCGTGGCTACTGTACTGTAGTCTGCTACTAGTCTCCCTGGACCTTTTTGGGCCCGGGGTCCTCTGGGTCCTCCTCTGGGTCGTCCCCTTCGATCCTGTTCAGTAGTACCGCCCCTGTGTGGAATCCCCGCCAGCGTATCAGAGCCCCTGGCGTGCGCCCTCGATCGTCACTGGCTCGCTGAGGCCTTTGATGTTTGGTCTCTAAGCGCCAGCTTCAATCACACATCACTCCTCGGGCCGGGCCTGGCTTTGGGGTCGGAAAGAGAACGCCACTGCCCCCCCTCATGGCAAAGGGCGCCTGTTTCACCCTCGAGAACCGTTTCATGACTGGCCCCCGATGTGACCAACAGTTGTGACCAAGTGTTGCCTTGTATAATAAATCTGCAGATGCCAGCCACACCATCCAACCAGACGACGCGAGCGAGGTACGGTACGTCTGGCAGATGGACTCCTGTAGCTGCCCGCCGCCCGTTCCTGCACGGCCTGCCAGGGTGTCTAACTTTCGATCTAACGTGCAGCCTTGCATGCAAAATCGTTCCCTGCAGTACCCGTGAGGGTTCGACTAACCTTGTGACCCCGTTCGCGGAGACCGAGCTCTGCTCTGTACCAGAATCAATCCCAATCGGGGTGACGACCACCCATTGTGGGATCTAATCGAGTTGGTCCTCAGCGGCAGATCAGCCCCCAAGTGTCTCAAAGATCCCCAAATTTTCCGCATTAAGGTCCGAAGCTTCAATCGAATAGTCTCGGAAGCTATTAAGTGCCGGTAGAATCATGCGCTGCCACGAGAAGGGTGGTTGGGTCCGTCCACTGAATGGTTGTTTTGCCCATGTTTTGACCCTTCGGTTTGAACGCTTGTTCGTCTCAACTTGCATCCCTACCCTGACCGCCCTATATTATCGTCTCCTATACCCCGGTCACGGCCACGGCCTTCGGGAAGACCGATCTTTACATCTGCTACTGCAGATCAACGACATGGCATCTAATCTGGGACATCATACAGGCATAGTCTACGCGAGGCAAAAGATTCAATAGACCTCTGTGCCAAGAAGATATATTGCGCAGCCAGTTCAGTTGCGTGACTAGGATATTCTTTCTATGGTGCTACATGATTTACTTCCCGACGTCGGCTACTAACAAATCATTGAATGATCTAGAGATATCAGCATATGGCCATGACTCCAATCGACAGCAAGATTAGCTCACCTTGTCCCTCAATGTGCCCATCCATTGTTGGAAACTCATTCCTTGATCTGCCCTGTCTTCCACCAACAACGTCTGCGCCCACAACTTCAAGCTTGGGTCTCCATCTTCCCGAATGACATATAAGTGCGGTACGATGATGCTGCCAACGCTTCGAGACCTGTAGTCTTTGCTCTTCTGGACAACTGCCCGAATTCGCTCATTGAAATCATTGTCCAATTCCGGCAACGTGCTCTTTCCAACCTTGAGCTTAGTCCGGTCCGCGATATCGAAGACATCTGCCAGCAATTGGGGTACTGCTTCACGGCCAACCCAGAGGAACTGTGTTTGGCCGTCATCAATAAGGTAAAGACCATACGGCACAAGTCGCTCCGAGGAAAGATTGTGAGGCGGTGGAAGGACAATTAGGCCCGTCTCTGGATCTGGGACGCCAGCATTATCAGGCATATCATGTAATGAGTATAGTCTTGGGTAGATATACTGCATCAGCAGTGGAAGAGGTAAAGTTGATAATTGGCAAAGTGCAGCCGACCGAAGATCCGATGGGATCTGAGCAGATTTCCGGAGACCAACGTTCTTAATGAGACCGAGGAATAGAACAGGCAGCCCGCGAAGATTCGCAGGGAACTGTAGACCACCGCCCCCCATGTTGCCACCAGCAAGCTCTTTCTTGAATGTTTGGAGTAGTTCGATGAGCTTTGATTGGAGGGCGTCACGGGCCGCCTCGAGCCCGCTGCTCAAGGATCGCTCAACAGCCTTGTGGCTGAAGAACGTCGTGATGGCGCACTGGTCGGCTGATGCATAAACATCGGCGAGGTTGGTTGTCGTCGGTAAAGCGAGAGTCATAACTCGAATTCGTCGTTCTCCATTGCTTGTTGTGTGCAAGACGGCAGTTTGCATGCAAACAAAGTTCTTCGTCAAGCTTTCGTCAATAGCAACTTCAACAACGTAACTCTGGTCTCTTGGGAAAGCGGGGAAAGCACAGAGATCCGAGCTGCGGTTGAAGAAATTGCCGTAGAAGGTGCTCATTCTCAAACCAGTAGTAGCACGAACACGGAGGACTGCCTCGAGACCAATTTCAGCAGAGAGGTAATCACTGAATTCGGTAGCGAATTTGATGGCATCCTCGCTTCGCCCAGCATTCCACCCAGGGTAGAAATAAGTTTGTCCACCAGTGTATCTCGGAAGATTGCTGAGAGACGCCACGTCCTGGTATTGGGAAGAGAAAAGGAACATATCGATCGAGACTTGATTCTTCGAACACTCCACAGCAAAACTCTTGTAGAAACTGTTACCAGTTTGAAGAAGACTGTTTTCCTTGCCGGTTCCGAGTAGTTTCTTATCCTCGCGCATTTCCAGCTTTCCGTATCCAACATTTGGTAATGAAGCAGTGACAACGGTAATCTTTCCTCCGAGTGGAGAAATGAGCTTATGTCCAGCGCGTAAAGCAGAACCCATACATGAGCCATTGTTTGTGTTGTTCTGGAACATGGTGGGAAGTTGTTGCAAGAATTTCTCGACACTCAATCTGCTTTCTGACAAGGGGACCAAAAGCTCCTGTGGAATGGGTAAGAATGGCTCGTCAAGATCGCTAACAACAAGCATCTGGGTCTCTCCGTTTTCCTCGGAATCTTTCGGGACGGCGAAATAGTGCAGGCTTGAATCTACCGCCATGAATCCGACACGGGTCCTTCGATCGGCGTTTGGTATTCTGTTAAGGCTGTCCAAAATTGTTCTAGCGCTAGTAGCAAGAAGACCACATGATACGGAGGCATAGCTGACATCGAACAAGAAAAGGTACACCAAAGGCTGGGGAGGGCGGACCATGTACTCTTGCGGCGCAACGAATTCCACAACGGCATGATTAAGTTCAGGTCTTTGCCATCGGTCAACGCTTTTCTGCGCAGCTGCATCCCAATCGAAGGCCTGCGGAACATCATTCGTCAAATTGCACATATTGCATCTCCACCTGTGCCCGTGGTCAAGGAAGGTGACATAGGGATTGATATAGGACCGACACCTTCGGCAACGGGAAATGACCTGATCTTGAACGATGGGAACTGGGTCGTCGACATCATGGAGTGAAGTGTATGGTTGGATGACAAGGGCGAAAGGAAGTTTCGATTTCTTGAGGAGAGAGTGTGTGGTAGGAACCGCATTAAGAGTAGAACGGACGTATTTGGGGGGGCAATTTGCATCTGGAGAAGGGGTGACGCTTGACTTGAGAAGGGCATTAGCAGGCAACCTTTTTATTATAAAGATGGTAACTTACATTGGGAGGCAAAATAATGGGAGGAGGAGGTAGGTCTAATTCTGCCACGTTGAAAGGCTGATTGAGCAAGTCCGTTGGGTATAATTGATTCAAAATGGCGGGGCGAGCAGCAGCCTGTCCTGCTTGAGGCTGCCCGGGTTGAGCTCCTGGGAGAGGTGGCTGCCCCCCAACGCTCATCTGGCCCATTCCCTGAGTGATTCCACCAACACCTCCTGCTGCAGGAGCTCCAGGTCCTGGATACCCAGGTTCTGGAGCTTGATACCCCACACCGCCTCCATAGGGTGCTGCCGCAGGGTAACCTGACCCAGGCGTTCCTGGGGTAGCTCCTCCTACTTGGCCTCCGTATTGCGGCGCTCCATATCCTGGCTGCGCTTCTGGTTGAGCAGCATATCCGCCAAACGCTGGAGCTGGTGGTTGAAATGTTCCCCCAGCTTGAGGTTGACCACCCAAAGCAGAGTTGGCGCCTGCTCCGAAGTCATAAGCTTGCGCCGCATATCCTCTCTTCTTTTTCTTCCCGCCCTCATGTTCCTGTCCGGCGGGAGGAGGTGGAGATGTGGTTGCTGCGAAACCTTGTTGCACAGGGCTCTGTTGGGCATATTGATCTGCGGGAGGATAGCCCTGACCGTATCCATCCTGTGGCGCTGCCATTGTTTGGTGAGTTTGCAGACTGATACGAACTTCTTCTCAGCCTTTCAAAGAATCACAAAGCTATGCTGTGATCGTCCGAACCTGTGAAATTGTGGTGTGGGCGAACTCGAGGAAAGGTACGGCCCCAACGCTTCGAAAGGTGGTCTACTTCAAGGAACACGTTGCGATATGCTCTCGACTTGCAATTGTCAAAATCTGGCCTCAGCTACCACGGAGGAATACGAGTGCGATGGTGTCGGCATTCATGACATTGAAGGACGATGTTGCTTTGTGGTTTGTACAAGCTGGCCTTCAATGTCCTCATAAAATTGTCGGCACGCATGAAATCTGGCTGATCACTGATCGCTTCAGTCACGTGTTGGCTCGACTTCACATGGAACACATGCAAGCTTAAGGAGCTGAAAGCCACATTCCTCCTAGCTACACACGACTAATTTTAAAGAACGAGATCTCCTCTGGGTAACATTCAAAATCGATCATTCTCCTTGCGAAGCAAGTCTTTGCGCAACAGTTGTCGCACAATCTTTCTCGCAATCATGGCATGGGGACGCTCATCAACCCCTCCCCCACCTCGCTCAGCCTTGAGGTCAGTATTGCGCGCCCCTTTCAAGAGTCGGACTGACACAGTGCATAGCAAGCTCCTCCCTCTCGTTATACTCTTCATTGTTCTCGGCGCATTTGCCTTCGTTGGATACCACCTCTATCTCACGTTCCAAAAGATATCCGATACGACCTCAGAGAAGATGCAATCTAAGAATGTAGTGTTCACCAAGGACGGCCTGAAGGTGGGAGTGAAGGAGATGAAGACCGAGACCTACGTCGACACAACGCAGGGCTTCTTAGTCAAGGCGTGGAATCTAGCCGAATGGCCAAGCTACAAGTCGAGGCTTTGGAATCAAGAGGCAGCTATCAACAGCGGAAAAGAAACACCAAAAGCCGAGTCCAGAAATCCGTGAGTACTCTTTTCAATTGAAAGATCCAGAGCCATTGTTGTCCTTCGGCGTGGCGATCTAATTGGAAAGCTGCAACTCAATTACAAATCAATACAAACCTGGGGACGTAAGCTAACCTCTGAGGCAGATTCTCAAGACACTCCTCCTCCACATCCACAAAATAACCTCTCCAAACCCACGATACCCCTGGTACCCCTGACGAATACTTTTCCTACACTCTGCGGTTTAGGGCCACAATCGGTCTACTAGGTGGCATGCATATAGTTCTCTCTGGGTCCAAAACTTCGGCGCAATTCTCATAAAGGAGGGCGTTGATAAGGGTTTTATTTTTCCCCCTGCATATCGATATTGGTTTCTCAGGGAAAAAAGAATTTCATACTCAACGGCCAAGCAGGAGTGTTTGATTTACAATGAATGAAGAGATGTTCTTGGGCCTACACACAATTTTGATTTGTGTAGCACCTCGTCAAAGACGGATCGTTGAGCGTTGCCTGCGTGATATCTGGCAGTAGCTGATCAAAACCCATTCTCTGCTTTTGTTTTCTTCCTTTCGCATCCGAAGTTCAGCAGCAAGGCCTTGGGAGTCTAGCTCAACTTTCAACACTTCCCTCCTATGTGCGATTCGAGGGCCAGCAAGGATTCGATTGTTGGACATGGGCCTGGACATTGAGTCGACCTGCAACAAGGGACGGACGAAATTCACCTACAGGTCCTCTTTGAAGTTTTCTTTCATCTGATGTCTCTCTTTTTACCTATTCCTCACTTTCTTCTTGGCCACTTAACTTTTATCCTATGCCCCTTTTTATCTCATCCCATTCCTCTTCCCGCTCACTCCCCCTTTCCTCACTATTCACTGCCTCCTATAGCACACCCCAAATCAGTAGCCTTACCACACACAACCCCACAAATCACCAAGTCTCAATCTCCCAACCCCCTCACAAAGCATTCATCAAATCATCAATTGTGTCTAGAAGTTTCCCACTCTAGAAAATATGGTATCCAACTTTGCTTTTCTATCCAAGCCCAATGCCAGCCCATCCCTAAATCCTAACGCCCTAAATCCAATCCCAGTTCCTCAACCACGCCTGCACAAAGCTCCTCCAACCCCAACAAATCACAAATATACAAGAACCATCAAAAATACACTCAAACATACAACTCATATGAACAACCCCAGCTCAAACTCAAACCGCCAAATAAGCCGTCACCAATCTCTCCACGGAATCCCCACCCGAATTACTCGCCTTCTTCAATAGGCTGTTCCGCTCTTTCTCCCACGCCTCCCTCTGCATCGCCTCTCTCTGCTGCAGCGGGTTAAGCGTATACGGACCTGTCAGCCCAATACCCAACCCCCCATTACTCGGCGAGCTCGGCATCCAACTGTTGCCTCGAGGGTCAACGCTGATTGGAGAGCTGCTGTTGGAGTTAGAGTTGGAGTTGGAGAGTGGTGAGTGGGGTGTGGGAGGCGAGGAGAAGGTCCCGTGAGAGGTGGAACGCGCTGCTGCTGCGGTGATCATTTGTGCGGACGGGGGCGTGTGGAGCATGCAGTCGCGGCGGATGACCATGGAGGGGAGCCGGAGTTGGAACTATTTCCTCAGTTAGCCTTCATCCCCTCCATCTCATCTCAAAGACGGGAGATATAGAAGGGGGAAAGGGAAGGGGAACATACCCAGCTCAAAACCTTCGCATGCTTCATGCCCAGATTCTCCGAAATCCAATGCAGCCTCCCTTTTGCCCAATTCCTTTGAGAGTCAGACGAGTAATCCGAGTTATTGACTGCGAATAGTGGCCAGAGACAGAAGAACCCTCCCAGCGCTTTCGGACAGCTGAATGCCTCGCTTGTGGAAGGACTGCTCATATCACCCGGCGTCGCCAACGTCCCATTCGAGCCAACACGCCAGCCAAGATGGTACGGAATACCCGCAATGATATCCGTCACAAGATCCACACAAAGCCGTACCGATTGTGCGTATTCCGGCGTCGTGCGGTAATCAACGGGACTGCAAATCCACGCCGCGCAGCGGACAATGGAGCCTGAGATGAAGAGCCGCGCTACTCTCGAGTGGTTCCATGTATTTGCAAGCCAGACGTCCTCGTACATGTCCACCTTCCCTGGACACACCTCCGCCTTAGAGATCTCGCCGCCAGGAATCTGGTCTACCCACGCCACGGTCCGGGGCTTCCATTCGTCTGGGAGGGAGGCCTCCCAGTCTTGGTACTCTTGCTCCATTGCTTGCGCGCGCTTCATCAGGTTTACGACGTTTTGAAAATTCTCAGGCGAACGAGAATAGGTTGCTAGTGCTACGTTGATTTCGTGCCGGAGCTCGGCGACGTGCAGATTTAGTTTTATGGTGAAGACTCCGATGTCATCGTTTGCGAGGTCGGATATCCACCATTCGCTTCCCAAAGCTGGTGGTTTGCCAGAGGACATACATTGGATCACCTGCCTCCAGTAAGTAGAGTCATGATGGCATACGAGAAATTGCTTACCATTGCGTTTCTAACGCAAACAAAGAGAGAATAACCGATTTTGGTGCGCAACTGTTTTTTCCCTCGCAACTTAACAAGTTGCACCGCACCTTCAACGTGTGAGAACCACGCCGAGGCATTGCCCCGCTCCGAAGCCATGTTCTACAATATATTAGTACCAAACCGGTTGTACGAGCACGCCACTTACCTCGAAGAAACTCAACATTATGATAGACGCAAGAGTTGAATCCTTCAATTGCTGAGCTGGATTTTGAAGAGCGAGGTTGACAGCCCTTAATGCTTTCGTGTATTGAAGACAAGAATCCCCAAACCACCGTGTCCCTCTACCAACCGGTCTTCCTGCCAACGAAGCCAACGCGACCGCTGAAAAGGCAAGCGCTATTGGCGAATCTGCATTCTCACTCTTCAACATCGGCATAAGGAAATCGAAATAACCTCTCGCGGCATGGCGCGGTGTAATGACATAATTCGACATAAAGTAACATGGAGCCTGTTGATCCACCGGTATAGTGAGGGCGGGCAGGGGCCCAAATCCCATAAACGTATCTGAGTCCGAACTTGGTGTGTTGAGAGCTTGCGATCCATCCTCGATGATGAGCTCTGGCGCAGTAGAGAAGGATGTATGGGCGCCTGTAAAAGTAACCGTTGGATGGACTTTCTTTCCAGTGTTGGCCTTCCGGGCTCTCCTCTCGGTGGCTTGAGTCTCATTCCGGAAGACAAGATCAAAGTCGTCTTTGTATCCTGGACAAGGGCGTCTCGATTTTTGGCATTGTAAACATGTTGGTTTGGTCTCGTCGCACTGCGGAGGCAGCAGTTAGTAAAGCTGTTATAGAATAGTCCTGCGATGAAGAGTGAGCATACCTTGATCCTCCGAGTCCTGCACATCTGGCAGCCTCGACTGGGTTTCCCGCAGTAAACCATCTTGACCTATAGTATCCCGACTATACCAGGGCTTTCCTGGCGATCCTCGGATGGCGTTGGAGATCTTTCGAACCAGCGAGACAACCAACTCAGGGTCGCAGTTGATGATTGAGAGTTTCTGGTCTGAACAAAAACCACACAATGAAGAAATATATTGGACGTTCTGGGCTGAGGTGGACCTTGCTTCTTGCTTGACAGATGGCTGTGCAAAGACTTGAAACCCTGGCAGGTGCTGATGGAGTACGGTCGAACGGTCGACAAAGTATTGCGGGAAGAGTGATGTGCCGCCGCCTGCTCCAGATTGATCGACTGATAGGACGGGAGGGATCGAAAATCCTCCGTCCACGATGGTTCGCTTTGATCGGTTGAAAGAAACACCGGACGTACCAGAATGTTGCTAGACGTCAGTGTTAAACCGGGAGAAAATCGATCTTGGGACGATTCGTTTACAAGACCAAGAGGCTCTTCGAAAACGGAGGGGGAGGCTGTGCAGTATCAGACCAGGTGCGGATCTCGTTTGGCCTGTGGCATGGCTGCATAGGTGGAATTGATGTGCCTGGCTAGGGTGTTCCTAGGACAGAGGGGTTGTCATTGAGAAGCTGCCTGCTTCTCATCTGAAGCTCTCCTGCCAATTGGAGGGGCTGGGACTAAGTGGCCGCAAGTGGCGGCCAACAGACACTTTGATTCGACGATTGACGCCTTAAAGAGCTGTTAGTGTGCGCCACGAAGGGGGGGCACATTAGGACCAGGGGCTCACGAAAGAAAGGAGAAGGGAAGATGCGGGTTGATACAGAACTCGAGGCTTTTGAGGGGCCTCGCAAGTCGCAAAGACGATGTGCAGAAAGCGAACTAGCTCTTCCCAGTAACCAGGTCGAGGCGGGGGTCATGATTCGCCCTGTCCCCCTGCAACGCACGAGCTCCACCGTCCACCAAGTCTGCAGCAAGAAGCCCCGCGACCCATTGGCATACTGTAGATGGAGAAGAGATCCTGGCAAATTGATCGGGGAGACAAACCTCAAGGACGGAGACACGCCAGTGATACCGCAAGTGAGTTAGTGGACTTACGTCCGTAGTTGGTGAAAATTGATATCAACCCCCCGGATTTTAACCTTCAATTGTCAAGTCCCCTGACTCACCACGTTGAGATCGAGGCGCCGGAGCAGACCCCGAGCATTTAGCTCGAAACAGAGCGGGCCTATGTCACTGACATTTGACGCCGTCGAGGGCAACTGCTTCCCGAACACGAATATGCCAGGACGCATAACACATAAGGTTAATGACATCAAGGCGGCCTTCTCGGGGTCCCGACACAACGTATTTCAAACCTTGCAGCGCCATGTGCAATAATGTCCATCTGTACAGTATCAACTCAGTTACTCAGCGCAGCCGTTCAAGGGTCGTGGCAGCCAGGAAGGATTTGGCGAATCCCAGAGGGCCAGATGCAATGCAAGATGCCGATTCCATCGTTCGTCTCCAGAGATCGAGGAGCGCCGCACAGAACTTCTCTCGCGGAATAAATCCGATGCCCGGACATGAAGAACTTCGTCCAGTACGAACGTTCAGCCGTGGATATCAAGGCCTGAATCTGACGTCCCCCTCCCCTTCCCTTTCTTCACCAGCACAGCGGCAGCAGCCTTGCTGTCCAGTTGTTCACGCCATCTCTGCACGCACACGAAAAGCAAATAAAACACACCTGAGGGCCGGGCCCAAGCGTTGAAGCCGCACGCGAAGGCGTTGTCGGCGGGCGGCCGGTGCACCGTTTCACGCTTCCCACCAACGATCGCCAAGCGGGCCGGATCCAGTAATCCTCTCGAGCATCCCTGTTCCTCAATTGCTTCACCACGCAGATCCCGTGAATCCTTTCCTTTTGGCGCCTGCTTGGCCACAACTTCCTGCGATCTGATGGACATTTCCACTGATTGCTTTGCTCTGCTGCTCGATAAGGCAAAGCGACAGGGGTATAAACAGATTTGATTGACCGTTGCCGGGACACCTGGAGCCATAAGCGTACTCCGTTTACATATATCATCTACATCCAGTAAAAAGTGAAAAGCGCTTTCCCAGCATGCGCCTCGTCCCGCTGTCAAATGCGAAATGTCTCGTTGAAATATCACGAATTTTCCCCTCTTGCCAGCAACCCGCCAGAAAGACCGAATCGCCATGGCCGCCAGAATATGCACAATCCCGTCCCATCATAATAACGCACGCTTAGTGGGGAAACGGGGTATCTCAATGCTCCTCGAACATACCTGCCACGCCTTCTAGACCTGGGCTTACCTTCCTCTCTTCGGCAGTTGCAGTCTGTTCTTTGAGGAACTCTTGCTGCATCTTGCTCCGCTCTTTGCGAACTGCAGATGCAGTCTTGGTAATTCGGCCTTGCTCGCTAATGCTTACTCCCTTGATATCACGCAGGAGGTCAAGGACCAAAGCTCGTTGCTGTCGCTGCTGCATGCCTTGTCGCATGATATAGTCGATGCACTTGTCTACCGAAGGTTCATCGATCCCTGGAAGCCTTAGGAGGATTTGTCTGGGTGTTGTAGTAAGTGGAGAATAAAAGGTGAGTATAGACGCAATGAGTTGGGCCAACTCCTTTTGAAGGTCGACAAAGTAAGGCTCATTGAGTGAGGAAATGCACGCCTTGAGGACGTCGGTACTGATGAATTCACGAATCGAGGCCGATAGTGGCGAGTCATCTGCGAATTCGGGAATCAGAGAACGGAATACTCGCAGGACGACCCCACAGCATCGACCATCACGCATACGAATGGCATGAGTCAGAAACATAAGAAGAGGCTCAAGGATGGTTGACGATGTAAGGCAGAATTTACGCATCGAGGGGTAGGCGGATGCAGGACTACCCTCGGCGATGTAGGTAGAGGCATCCTTTGCACTGCTGGGAGCAGCTTTGGGGTCTGCAAATGTCAGCTTGCATTTCAAGAAAGAAAAGAACGCTCTCACTTTGCCGTGCTGGGTCGAGGAAGCCGCCGATCATCATGACTGCGGTATGGGTCAGTTGACGCAAGATGCTCTCTTCTTTCATCTCATCTGTCAAATTCTCCCCTTCCGTTGCCGCGACCTGCTTTTGGGCAAGCTTTTCCCACTCCGAACTGCATTTTGCATCCATCTGAGCAAAGCAAGTTGCCAAGATCGGAGGCACGAAATGGCTTCGAAGCTCAACGGGACAATCATCAACCATAAGGCGAACAACATTCAGAAGGGCGATGAGTTGGTGGGAGGATAAGCAGTGAGCATCTGCAAACAGAGCATGTGCCAGAGGTCCTGGGAGTTCGCTGAAGCCATAGAAATCGACATCGAGCTTGCTCATGCACCAGAGGATCGAGTAACAAGACTCCCGGACCGTGCGGACAGAGCCTCGAATTGACGAAGCAAAGCCCTCCATAGTGGACTTTGTGCCAGTCACCCGGGCATAAAAGTCATCCTTACTGCCTACCGAGATACCGGCTTGCCAGAAACGGTCGGTCAAGATTCGGCTCACTACTGAGCGCATCTCGGGCGGAAGTCCAGCCCAATTTGCTGGATTATGAAACGCATGTGCGTGGCTAGAAATTTTATCAGCTCAATTTCATTACAGTCGATGTGGTTAGGCCGACCTCAAGAATTTCAGTAGGCTGGGAAGGATCACTGGTAAAGCTTCCCGCCACAGCGCACAAGACACCTTATGAGGAGCACTATCCTTCTCGACCTTTTCTGTTGAGCAGGCAAGGAACGATTTAGTAGTCCGAAGTGGGAGAGCCTGAAATCCAACGTCAGCCAAACATTCTTTGATGTTAATGTGGAATGGCAACAACCTTCAGTCGCTCCTCGAGATCCTTTTGCATGGCCTGGCCTTGAGCATCAAGCTGATACAATCCCCAATCATCGATTTCATGAACATGCCGAGTGACCAAGTAATCTCTAACTTGGCTCAATCCTAATAGCCCGCAGAATCCACTAAATGATGAGATCGCTTCGTCCATCTTAGGGTTCTGCCAAAGCTGCTGAACGGGATTGATGAAGCCATGAAGTTTTTGTAATCGAACTTCTGTATCTATCTTCGTAGCTCGATGACTGTAAAAACTTAGTTACCTGTTCATACTCGACGGCGCCTGACCAGACGCACGAGACTATGCTTACATGATCGTGAACAGGAACGTTTGATATGCCACTTGGCGCTTTGAATCTAACGATCCCGAAGAAATAATTTCGTTGACTTTAGCTTCGAGTTGATCATAGACGTCCTGAAATTTTGTCAATATAGCGCATTTTGCCTTTTCGGGACAAGGCTTACCAGTAGTTGGTCAGGCATCTTACTAGCCAAACGTTGCAATTCGTACATCCCATCGGTCTGTAGTTCTTTCACAGCCTCGTTGTACGCATTATACTCAGGTTGTTCAACAGGGCGGCTCATGAGGATATGTTCGAGAACCTTCAACATAAAGGTGACTTTCTTGTCCAGCGCTGTGGTCGAAAATGCAACAGCAAGTTGAAGGATTCTCTTGCGAATGATAGGATCCTAGGGATTGTCAATCTCTTGCTCAATCAGTAAGAAATCAGAATGGGGTCATACCTCAAACTGCATCTCTAATAGTCTCTCACACCATGCTTCAAGGTTGTTCTCCATAGCAATTCGTTCTTGCTCCTACATAATGTTAGCTTTTAGTTCGAAAATAGCTTCCAGGTGTTTTTACATCCTGTTGGGGCTTTGAGCCATGTGCCGATCTCCATTTCATATACCCCTTCAACGCCGCTTCCACAACCGTGAAATGAGCATCAACGCGCAAGACTGGCATGGAAGTTTTAGAGTAAGTCGCAACTTCAGAATGTTAGCGAGGTTCCACGGCTTCCGCCAAAGCACAAGACAAACCAGCGAATGGGGGTTGACCATCATATAAATGGTGCATTGATTGATCAACTTGGCTCAAAATGTGGTAGATGGCTTCTGACTGCTTTTGCCGAACTATGTACTCGATGACCTGGGTACTATATCGACGATAGTTACCCAAAAATGCGTGTCGCTCTGGCTGGGTGTCAATATCTTCAAGGAGGAAAATTAACGAAGGATCGTCGGAGTCTTCTGGCATGCTCTCATATCGTATGAGTCGTGAGCTGCACAATTCAAGTAAAGGGGCAATTAGTGGGGTAATAGTTGGAGATCCGCCAATAGTTTCAGAACGAAGTAATCGTGTCCATGTGACAAGGACGGGTATCGAAATGACAAAGCTTGGGCTCTGAGCAATAGCAAGGAAAAGATTCAATAAGTTAGGGAGATCGCAGTCCTCAGGTATTGCTGAGATTTTCTGCTCGATGTAATTTCCGACCGTTGATATCATCTGATCAAGGTTAGAGAGTGCAAAGTAAAAGGATTAAATCATCTAAACATCCTACCTCGGAGAATTTCTTTGCAAATAGGTACTTCTCATCATCGATATCGTGTGGATCAACCACAGACCATTCAAATAGTTTGCGGAGAAGTTCTACCATCTGACTGGTGTACATTGGACAGACAAGGGACAAGAACTCATCATCATCAAAGTGCATTCGACTGTATAGCGCGTGGAGGGCCTCAACAGAACCCTGCAAGTGTCAGCGGGAAACATAGTAATGGAATTTTACGGTGCTTACCAGTTGCACGGCTACACTAGAGGCAGCGAGACTTTTGCACATATGTTGGACACAAGATGCGCTTGAAATAGCCTGAGGGACTGCCCAGGGCATCACAGACTTATAGACTGCTAATGTCTTCGCTGCGCAGCTTTGGTACTGTGGGTTCGCCTGAAGACCATTGTCGAGGCATTGGTTGAGCAGTTCCCCCAATCTAACCAGCCAGCCTTCTTCACCATACCTTACAGCAGGTCCACCCTGCCGGTTTGGAAATCGTTCAGCCAGGACAATGGCTGGTGTGAAAATATCCACACAAGCTCTGCTCAGAGCACCTTCTCGCAAAACGGCCACTGTATCCTCGCCATTGAAAATCTCGTCTGAGAGCGTCTCCAGGACGAACAGCACGAACTCCTTGTGTACCACAGATCCAGGAAGATTCCAAAGTCGTACCAGAAGCTCATCCATATCAGTCCACTCCGCTGCCCAGCTTCTCTTTGCAATCTCGACCCACAATTGAGCCGCTTTATTTCGAAGGTATAAGGGATCATCTAGCGAGATGTGCTCAGCTAATTGCAGGACCCAACTTCTCAGCAATGCTGCCTGCTCTTCCGAGTACCCAGCCCATTTGTGTCTAATAGCATGCTCGAGCAGCGACAAGGCATAGTGGCGAACGACGGGTAGCTGGGATTTATCGGAGGCCAAAGTGAAGCCATGGTAGGGAGCTTCATCGTTGGTCTTGATTTCTTCAAGGTAAACGGAAGCTTGGCGGCGTGATTCGTTGGAGGAATATGGGCCGTGGACGATCTCAAGAGCTTCGTGGATTCGAGGTAATAGGGTTGTGCTACCTCCGTCGACTTGCCCGCTCGGTCGGTCGCCGGTGTGTACGCTTACAGCGCTGTGGCCGTTGGCGGACCCGTTCATCTTGTATTCACGGTCTACTGCGGACTGCAGATAAGATTTGCCCTGTCAAAGGAAGTGTCATACAAAGGGGAAGTCGTCGAGAGCGAAACTAGTCAAGCCCGTGACCTGATCGCGCGCGTCATATGCTTGGTTGTTGAATTGCAAAGAGCTCCAGAGCCTGGGAGAGAGTTGAGTAGAATAGACCATGCAATAGTCTATATTTTCTCGGGGGGTAGGTTAAAATCAAAAAGTGAAAGGTGGGCTTGAGAAAACAAAGATGGCGATAAATTCGTGAACGGCGGCCGTGGCCTAACCTTCGAATTTCAGAAGGCTGAAATGCGGCCGCCTGGGGGCTTGCTGCGGCCACCGCTAGATGAACTCCAAAATCGCCGAGTAACCAATCAGGCCAACTCGGTTCGTGCCTTAACGTGCTGTGTATGTGAGTAAGATGTTGCTGCGAGAGCCTCGTCTGCTCGGCATGGATGTTTCGTCTTACTCAATGACGCAGTACGAATCGAAAAACTCGTGTTGGTGGCATGGGGACCACGCGACGGATCACCGCCAATCCTCGCTTTATTATCGTAAAAGAGCCCTGCCAATTTTAGTAAATTTAATCACATTTCGGCACCTAGAAATATCTGAAATCAATTGGAGCTGTCATTATTACAAGATGGTATTATACAATCTGTTTATATTCCTAGAACCTGATCCAATTGCTCGGAGGGCATATTTGAAGCAGCCACGCTGAACCCATGCATCATCCAGCAGCAATGTGATGCTCCCTAGCGCCAAAAAAAATGATATGCAGAATCGTTGCATCGTAACCCGTTTCATCTCTACATAACTGAGCATTTACTCTGCTGGCACTGGTCCAAGTACCCCTCTTCATCTTCTTTCCCAAGAGCGTACTGCCGTTTCTGGCCAGTAACTTTAATATGGTGCTCTCCTTCCACATGCCACCATCGAAGTCTTTGAATCATATGACCATCAGACTCGTCAGTGCTGATCGTCCACTTCCCTGCTGTGACCTCGACCTCACATTGCTCTTTTGGGAAGTGAAACTCGGGAAGAAATATCTCTGTAGGTGCGTGTTCTTTGCTAGCTTCATGGGCGTGCAGGCCGAATGAGAAGATAGAATTCCGCAGATCAAATCCAGAATGGAGAATCTTTCCCACGGTTGCAATTGGCGAAGGTCGGACATATGCCTCGGCTGCTCGGAAGCCGGGTGCGTTTCTCAGTTCGGGTGCTTCTTCGGCCGTCTTCGAAGAAATCGAGGGTGTTTTGAGGTTCTGTCTCAAATTCCCAGGATTTACGTTCAACTCGGCCGAGAGCTCTCTCTTGATACCAGGTCCAGGTTTTTGCACTAGGCTGGAAGTAGATCCATTCGAAGGCGTGGGGGGAACTGTAGAGAGTGGAAGGGGCCGATCATCCAAAGAGAAAATTGACAGATCCTCTCCATTCCACTGGTCACCTAAATGATGCTTGTTCTACTTCTGTTAGAACTTGATTAAATGTTGATACGCAGGTTACTTACCTCGCACATGTACAACCAAAGGGTATAACCAGCCATTGAACTGCCTTCAATTGCAAAGTGATTCGCATCCATGGCACCAGACTGGCTGGAGTAGTCGCCAGTCTTGTACGCATATTGGTCATCCATATCGTAAGGAATTCCGAACTCGGTCAAAACACAAGGGTGATTACCCATGTAATCTAGTCCTTCCTGTCGGATGGCCGATAGTTGATCTTTGAAACAATTCCGAATAGCAGTTTCTCCAATTTTGACGGCGAAGGCAGGGGTCAAGTACCGCCCTCTCAAAATGCCGAAAACATCCACATTCCAGTAGCGATTCCATTTTTTGGTCATAAGGGTGATACCATCATAATAATGAGGTGCGTAAACCATCTTCGGGTCGTCGTCTTTGGTGCCTTTGATAGATGGAGGGATCTCCAAAACAGGAGGTTGGCAGAAAAGGATGGACTCTTTGTGATGGCTTCGAATCGCATCTCTGTATTTCCGATAATGGTCCATGTAGTAGATGTTTGTGAATTGCTCGTAATCGAGAACCTCGCCGGTCCGTGGGTTCTTCTTGAAATAGTCCTTTTTCAAGATTGTGTCCGTACTCGGGTCCCAAACGCCATGCTGAGCCCAGATACACTCTCCAAGCTTCCATCCAGGGTCTCGTTTATATCCGTATCTCGAGTCGTCATAACTGGCCGGGAGCCATGCACTTTCACCTTGAGGATCTACCAACACGCGTCCTGACTTATATGGACCAATGCCACCCATGTCCCAAGTGTCAATCTCACATGCTCTACCCGAGCCCGTTAAGATAGCTTGCCATGCCGTTGGACTCGTGCCTTTCTGTAACTTTTGCTCGCTGGGGATTGCTGTAATGTCAGGCCATCCCACCAGCCCACGGTTTGGCTCGTTCATGCTCTCGTAGCCAATGACAACCTCATTTTCCAGGTCCCCAGCCTCGTGTATTCGCTTGGCAAGGTGCGCAACAGCATTGACAAAGTGGTCCTGCAAATAGTCTTGAATATTCTTCCCGTCGATGATGCATTTAGGTGTGAAGTCCCGGCCCGCAAAGAACATTGTGAATATTGCTTGGCATGCCAGCCGAGTGTAGTTTGTCGACCATATCATTTTCGGGAAGTTTTCTGGGTCCGGGTATGTGTTGTGTACAAGAGCAGCTTCTGTTGCAGCAAAGCTTTGGGGATTCAACCCGCAGGCATAGACCGTCCACATTGGGGCACCAGAACCTCCAGAGAATCTAGACCACTGTATGGAAAACGTCAGTAAGGACAGGGGTGGGGAGAGGCAAAGGATACATACAACATCCTGGTGAGGATCCATGAAAATATAAAAGCCATAGTTTTTTGCCAGTCTCAGGATCTCAATCGTATGCTGGATCCATTCTTCGTCGTAGATCCCTGGGCCCGCAGACTCAATTGCCTCCCAGGTAAAGACATATCTTATGGTGTTATAACCCCAGCGTTTTAGTCGAGAGAAGTGGAGGTGGGCGTCTTCCTGCGGGAATGGTCGCGAGTGGAAATTGACGTTGTCTCCGTCAAAGAAGTCCTCGGGGACATGAGAAGGCTGATCTGGATTGCTCGGGAACTTTGCGTCTCCTGCAACGTTGATTCCACGCAGTGTTACTTGTCTTCTGTGGGAATCGCGGAAGTGGCCGTCCTCAATTGTAAGTCTCAGGGGCGACATCATTGAAACTGGTGCTGTCCTAGTCTCCAATCTCGAAAGGCTGCGGATAGGCCTTTGATATATTCGAAGCCTTCTCGAGAAGATACGGCCGGCCAGAACGGGAATTCCAATCGTGGCAGGGCTAAATGCAGGCGGAGGCTGATCAATGACACTGTTGAATCCTCGTACAGAGCTTCAACTTTCGAGGTGTCCGGTCATCTGCTATCCTGGGTGGCGCATGAAGGAATCATTGGGTTTTATAGAACATAGGAAGAGGTGTAGGATGGCAGACGTAGGACTCCAAGGTAATTTATGCTCGGCCAAGGCGTGTCTTCGGTCAAGTGAAGCTGCTGAATAACCCCAGCAATGGCGTTCGTGAAGGAGGTGATTCGTCGCCGCAGCCCGAAGTTCACCCGTCGCAAGACGAACTCGGGCCAAATTCCGAACAGGGATGGCCGTGGGGTGGGGGATGATCTCAGGAACACAAGGCTGTCGAAAACGAGGGGTGATCAGCATCGCCCACAGACATCACACATCACGCATCGCAACAGAACAGAGCAAATCACTCGCACGTGCCGCTCTCTGCTGAACCCAGATATGCCAGGCATCGAGGCATTTGAATCATGTCAGGACCCAAGGCAGCGCTGAAAGCCATCGGCGCGGCCATCAAGTCCCAAAAATATGACGATGCCATCCAGGAGGCCCAGAAGTTGCTGGCCGCAGACCCCAAGAGCTATCAAGGGTATGTTGTGTCTTTGGATGGGCCCTTATCGGGTCACGAAACTGATGTAGCTTGTTGTAGAAGCGCAGCTGATTCTTTGAAAGGTCTCTATTCCTAGGGTTCGCCCTCAGCAAACAGAATAAAAACGAAGAGGCCGAGAAGGCGTACGAGTCTGCGACGAAACTCAAATCCTCCGATCCTCAAGCATGGCAAGGGCTTATCCAGCTATACGAGAAGCAGGGCAGTCACAAATTGGAGTTATACCAGACTGCGGCTTTGAGATTGGCCGAAATCTACCAAGCAGCGGACGACAAGTACAAATGTCAAGTTGTCGTTGACACGTTCCTCGGATTTGCAAAGAACCAAGGCACTCGTCTCCAATGTAAGAAAGCCCAAGAGATTGTCCTACCAACCAGTCCCATCTACGATTACCTAGAAGGTCGCATCCCGCACCCAGGCCACACATACCAGATTATGGCACAGATTACGGAGTTTGAGGAGAAAGAACGCATCAACAAGGATATTGGAGAACGAAGGACCAGACTTGGAGCGAAAATTGGACAAGTCACTGTTGAGGTCAAACGCGAGGTGTTACGAGACAGTGATTTGGAAGAATTATACGAAAAAATCATTGACTGGAGTAATGATGATGAGATACGACGCCAATATGAAGAAAAGCTCCTCCAAAGATGTCTAGATGTATTGATTATCCTTCCACCAGGAGAGCAAAAGGTCGAGAGACGCAACAAAGTTTTGAAATTGGCAAACGACATGGTCATCATCAAGCACCCTTACAAACTGGCATGGGACATTGCAATTGGATGGACAGACCCAAAAAATATTCAAGAGCTAGATGTGAACATCTTACGCGAATATTGCATGGCATTTCCTACTAGTGGCCTTGCTCAAGTTCTACAAGGATTCTTGAGCAGCGAAATATCGCCATTCCCAAAGCCTCCACCTCCAACACCCGTTCAGAATGATACCGCATCAGACGAAAGTGATGGCGATGAAGACGAAGGGGGTGGAGTCTCTCTTGAGGGCCCAGCGCTTCTCGAGGACCGCCTACTCATTATGACCGAAGGGATGGCAGATTCAGGAAAGTCAATTCTTGCTCATCGGCTGATGGGAGAATACTATCAGTTTCTTGAGGAGTACGAGAGCGTGGTAGAACTCATGCGAAATGGCCGACGCTTGGTGATGGAGGAGGCGAACAAAATTGGCCTTAAGTTTGAAAACTCTTCCGAGTCAATGACTGCTCTACTTGCAACTGCCTTGGTCTTCTACCAATCGCCGAAAAACCATCCTGAGGCGAAGGTTTTATTCGACGGATTGCTCGTCCGAAATCCTAGCTCAACGCCTGCCTTGATAGGTATCGGGCTCATCTATGAAGAGGAGGAAGACTATCCGGCTGCTATAGAATTCCTGGGGCGGGCCCTGAAAAGAGACTCGGGCAATATTAAAATCAAGACAGAAGCTGCATGGGTAAAGGCGTTGAACGGCGATTATTCTCAAGGCAAGGAGGAATTGGAAGATTCGATGTCCAATATTGACACTAAGGATCAAAAAATGCGAGAACTACTTGCCCAAACTCAATATCGGATTGGAGTCTGCATGTGGAACATCGATACTACAAAGGCAGCCCGGAAAGATAGGAGCGGCGCCTACTCTTACTTCTTGGCTGCTTTGAAGAGCAATCTCAACTTTGCACCTGCATATACGAGTCTCGGAATCTACTATGCCGACTATTCAAAGGACAAAAAGAGATCCAGAAAATGCTTCCAAAAAGCATTCGAATTATCTTCTTCAGAGGTCGAGGCAGCCGAACGACTGGCTAGGATCTTCGCAGAGCAAGGGGAATGGGAACTTGTAGAAGTTGTTGCTCGGCGGGTTGTTGATTCCGGCAAGGTAAGGCCGTCGCCTGGATCAAAGAAGAAAGGTGTCAGCTGGCCATTTGCGGCACTTGGGGTGGCCGAATTAAACAAGCAAGAGTATGCGAAAAGCATTGTTTCCTTTCAATCAGCACTCCGGATCACACCCAGTGATTATCATTGCTGGGTCGGGCTTGGGGAGAGTTACCACAATTCTGGGAGATACATTGCAGCAACCAAGGCATTTCAGCACGCAGAAAAGTTCGAGCACGAGGTTGAACAACGGAAGTCTGGTGAGACATGGTTCGCCAAGCATATGCTAGCCAATGTCAAGCGGGAATTGGGTGACTACGATGAAGCAATTGAGGGATATAAAGGAGTGCTGGAGGGACGGCCGACCGAATCTGGGGTCGCAATGGCATTGATTCAAGCGTTGGTGGAGAGTGCCTGGGATAGCGTCGAGAAGGGTCTATTTGGACATGCTATCCGCCGCGCCACGGAAACCATTGATGCAGCCCTCGGTCTCGTCGAAAGCCGAGCTGATGCATTTAATCTTTGGAGAGCAGCGGGAGATGCTTGCTCCATATTCACATGGGTGCAAAGTCGCATTTCAGATTTCCCGCATGCAAAAGTCAGACAGCTTTTACAAGCTGGAGACAATCGAAGTGCTTACAGTGTCTTCGACGAGGTCGATGGTGTTGGGGTGGATATTGTCTTCGCAAACGGACTCTATTCTGCCGCCGAGGAAGACGGGTTGAATCTTACGAGGTGCTTCCATGCAGCTATTCTTGCTCACAAGAGAGCTATCCATGCTTCAGCGCATGATTTACATGCTCAGGCTGTTGCATACTACAACTTGGGTTGGGCCGAACATCGGGCTCACGTTTGTGTTAGTCCCGAACTCAAGAAGAAATCTACAAGATATCTTAAGGCATCTGTGCGTTGTTTCAAGAGAGCTATCGAACTTGAAGCAGGCAATTCCGAGTTCTGGAACGCCCTAGGTGCGGTCACCAGCGAGCTGAATCCGAAGGTTGCTCAGCACTCGTTTGTCCGGAGTTTATTCTTGAACGAGAGAAGCGCTCAGGCGTGGACGAATCTCGGAACTTTGTACTTGTTGCAAAATGACTTTGGCCTTGCCAATGATGCATTTACGCGTGCACAGTCCAGTGACCCAGACTTCGCCCATGCCTGGGTGGGACAAGGGTTGCTTGCTCTCTTGATGACAGGAGATATAAAGGAAGCAAATCTACTCTTCACCCACGCCATGGGGATATCCGAGTCTTCCTCTTTAATCGTACAGCGGCAATACGCACAATCTGCCTTCGATCAGATTCTTGCCTCCAAGACGCCATCTAGTATTACAGAACTTGTTCAACCTTTGTTTGCACTTAATCAGCTGCAGGCTATGGCTCCTACAGATCTAACATACCAACATCTGTCCACCTTATTCTTGGAGCGGATTAATGATCTTCCTTCTGCCGTGGTCGCACTGTCAAAGATCTGCACAACAGTTGAGGCTGACTACGAAGTCTCTGAATCTCCTTCATCGCTTTCTCGATTTGCCCTTGGAAAAGCAGATCTTGCTCGATCTCAATTGTCTGCTAGGTCTTATCCAGAAGCTATCGATAATGGCGAAACTGCTCTTCAACTAAGTGCCGATGATGCTGGCAATGAACTTTCAACAGAAGCTCGCCAGAAATGTCGGCTCTCTGCCCATCTGACGGTCGGTCTGGCCCACTATTACTCCGAGAAGCCAGAAACTGCTCTCCAGTACTTCTTACCTGCCCTCGAAGAGTCAAATGGAAATCCAGATGCATTTTGTCTGCTGGCACAAGTACTGTGGGCAACAGGAGACGAAGGCTCCCGCAACAAAGCTCGAGACAACCTCTTTGACTGCGTTGAGAACCACCCAGAACATGTGCAGTCCGTCCTCCTCCTCGGAATTATCGCCATCCTCGACCAAGACAGTGAAAGCCTCGAGGCTGTCACTGCCAGCCTTCAAGATATCCGCGCTACGAGCACAATAAGTAATCGTGAACAGGGACAGGTTGGCGAAGTGCTTCGCGCCATTGCTGCTTTATCCGGAAGTAATCATGAGAAGGAGGTCTTGACGAAGGTCCAGACGGATATCTTCTTACATCCTAATCTCCCTCATGGATGGGGTCGCCTTGCTGAGATTGAGGGCGATGAATATACGGCTGAGATGGCGCTGAAGACGGCGTTAGAGGCTGTTCCTCCAAGGGGTGAGCTTGAGGCTGATGATCTTTCGAGGGCGTTTGGGGGAACGGGAAAAGTTGGAGATGCGCAGAGGGCGGTTATGTTTGCGCCTTGGGGTAATGAGGGGTGGTTATCTTTGAGCGCTGCATTGTCTGGACGGGATTGATGAAGTCATTAGACTTGGTGCATGATAGATGGAGGTTCTTATACGATGATGAGAAATTATAATGTCATATGAAAATTCCACCCCCTGATCCGGTGCAGTGGTATCGTGGTTAGTGGACCCCGGGATCTCGCGAAGCCTCCTGCTAGCCAACGAATAGGGGTAGTGGCCAAATCTCTCATATTGCAGATGCATCTGCATTTCTTCTCTGCTATTACTCTTCATTATCCTAATTCAAGACCAAGGCAATGCTCCATGTTCGGGTTCCGGTATGAGTAACTGCTGTCGTTGGTCGCTGTTTTCCTGCATGGCCACAATTCCTGATTCAAGAAGCTTGATGATTCGCGACTCTTTCATTGTAATCATGTAACGCGGTAACACAACCCATGTGTTATAAATATTTTACAAGCCTACAAATTCCATGCCAAAATGTCTCTACTCCTGCAACCTAAGTCCTGTTCACCGAAACCATTGGTTGTAAGATTACAAAGTCTACACATTCAACGCCAATTGCTTGACAAGATGTGCCAGAGAATGCCAGTAATCCTGCAGTGTAGGACTAAGTACAGGACCTTCCGAGCGCCAAAAATACCTGTCCATCAAACCCAAGTTCCCAAAAGCCATGCAAAGAAATCGAGAAGCTGAATCGTACATATTGTGTCCGAACAATGGGAGACTGCTAAAGCCATGCAGAAAACCATACGAAAAACCATGCCAAAGCATGGGGGTTGTACAAGCGAAGACTCCAAGCTCCGAAAGCCTTGCAGTGCCGAAAGTAAATACAGAAGCATCAACTATTCAATCAAACGTGGGCAATTCTCGAACAATCTTGGCTTTTCCTTTACTCCTACCGGACGTGGCCACTCCTTGGTGGCGGTTTGTCTCCCGACTCTCCTCTGCTGTTTTTGCCCTTGTCGTTGTCCCTCCTCTTTCTGATATGCCGTTGCAGGGGAGGCAGCATCAAGGGATTCTGCGGTTTTGGTACGCAAATGGGGAGCCAGCTCCAGCGTCCGGCTCTGCAGTCCTCGCATGTCCCCTTTTCGAAATATTCGGACATTATAGGCAGTTGCTTTTAGGATTTTTTTTTTGGCGAGAACAATCCTTCAAGCCGCATTTGTAGTGTTGCCACAAGTATAGTGATTGCATTCCCACACACGCATTCTCCTTCCGCACATCCCCATGCAGCGTTTGTTGGTCTTGGAATTGGTAGAGGAATGTGAGAGACTTGATAGAAATTGATTTTGTGTTGGTAATGTTGAGGAAAGAAAAAACTACAATAGGAATTTTAGACCCTTTAAAGAGGCGCATTTTGCGTTGTTATTCAACACACCCCACTCGGGTAGTTCGACATCTCGAGGAGTTAGTCGCACCGTAGCTGCTATTATTCGGCTCACACACGAGGCACTTTTCCGCAATGCAGAGTTTCATTTTCTTCGCGGCGAAAACACCATTCCGAGTGGAGCAACCTCTAAAGTAAAGACATCCTTCGTCTTCTCCAATAAATCAGTATCATCTTTGCCGGGAGCAAATGCAATATCTAACTGGGTCACAATCCGAGCTGTGACTACGCGAAGCTCCATCAATGCTAGCTGCTTTCCAATACACGAGTACGTTCCTTGAGAACGGTCAGCAGATTTCATGATCTCTCGACGAACTGACCTAATGAGAAAGGCATGAAAACTGCCTTGTTAAGTACTAGCTCCGGTCTTTCACCCCACCTCTCAGGCAAGAATTCCTCAGCACTCTCATAGCATGACTCCACTACTCCACATCAGTAACACAATCACCTCTTAAACATTAAGTACACTTACATCTCCCCATACTCCAAGTAGGAGCTAACACCGTTATGCGTATACCTCCCAGTATGAACGTATTTCCGACCATAGTCCCCTCCGGCGGCGTCTGTCGCAACAACCCACTCAGAACAAGAGGGTGCAAGCGCAGCGCTTCATTTATAACACCATTCAGATACCTCGCATCTTAGATATCTCTCACCTCAGTCTCGGAACCAGGGGTATATATTAGTTCCAGCTCTGCCCAGAGCTTAGAAACAATATGAGGTTCTTTAGCTAAGTGGTAGAAGATATGGGTTAGTGCCGATGAGGTAGTGTCGCTCCCGACTACGATCACGAGGCGAGTGTCGCCCCAGAGCCACCGTGGATCGCTGGCGACGGGATCCGTGTGTCCATTCTCAGCTTCAATTAACCAACTCATTATGTCGGGGTTTTCTGGGGTATACTACAGTCAAATTTATCAGTGCCCCAACATAGGTTTGAGGAGAAACCTACCTTTTTTCGAGCCAGAATTTGCTTGTTCGAGAACTCAACCCACTGATCAATGCCAGCAGGTTGTGGTAGGGCTTGGAAAATCGGAATGGCCCATGGAAGGGGGTTGATGATACCAAGGGGTGCCATTCCTTCTTGCAATGCCTCGAGACCGTAATGCTGTCCCGTGTTAGAATACTTCTAAAAGAGTGGACGAATCCTGACCTTCTTGCCGGATATGAGCATATCAAAACTACGCCCAAATGCAAGGTCACCCATGACATCGAAAGAATAGAAGTTGAACCAAAGGGAAGCATCAACTTCATGGCCGGAGCGAGCCTGCAGCTGGTTTATAAGCGTACTGGCGTGTCCGACTACGCGGCTCTCGTAGTCACGAAGTGCTTAAAAGTCTGTCAAAGCTATGAAGAAAAATCGGAAGAAATTTATATTTTGCACTGAATGCTCGATCCCAAACTTTTCTTCGTTTATCGTGAGTAAGACGGTCACGCTCTAGCTGCAACGATTTATTCGGAAGGCCGACGACATCATACCATGCTATCTTGGAACATTTTGAACCAGGTCCATAGATGAGAGGCACGATCTCGGGAATCTTAATCGACAGCTCGTTGGGTCCAATTCTGGTGCTGGTTCAGCGGTCCGTGGCATATTAATTGAACAGAAAACTCACCTCACAACATCTCCATACTCTTTATGTAGCTGATCTGCTTGAATATAATTATCCGATTTTTCAAGAAGGCGTAGTACATGGCTGAGCTTGGTAAGTTTTGCGGTAAATGGTCCAGGGAAGTGTCGGAGTGGGTGGAAGAAGATCCGATAGGTCAAGATGCTTGCGATCAAAGAAGCCAGGTATGAAAGCATTGCAATTGCGGTTTTCTGTGCGGCGAATGTGATAGATGCAGGTTCGTCGAGCTTGCTGATGAGTATGAAAATAGCGACCGGTGAAGTAGTGAGGACTGTGAAGAGACGGACGGCTTGCCTGTGATGCTCGCCATGTATGAAGTAGCCCAAATGAGAGCTCACGCCAAGTACGGCCCCGAGGCTGGCAAGGCTTCCTGGTGTCAGCATCTCGAAAACAAATCTCAGTGGCGTTTAGATAAAGTCGATCAAGCTTTGCAGAGCATTGTCGTCGTGAAGAGAATGCACGATTATATCATCCCTTACGTTTCTCTAACACGAAACGTTTCTTAAGTCCGCCACAAGCACTACAGTAAGGGGTTTGAACGTCCCGAAATAAAAGTAGAAAGGAAGCTGGATTATATTCAAGAGAAATTGAGGAACAGGCTTGACTGGCAGACTTCTCCAGACCAGATATAGCTGGATGCGCCCACCTTTGAAAGGGGGGAAGCGCTAAGCGAGCTTCTCCTTCGCCTTCACCTTCACCAGATCGCAAACCACCAAAATTTACAAAAAAGAGAAGGGAATTAAACCTTTTTCCGCAAAACCTCATAATGGCAAAAGAATCCACAAGGCCAGGAATTATGGAAACCTGAAGCCTTGGGACCAGAAACTATGCATGTGGTCTGTGGCAGAGCAGCTCTCTTCTAAGCCGAACCCATTATAGCTGTACCCGATGTAGCAGCTAGGGTGAGTATAGCTAGGTTATTAACCCATACCATACTCGAATCTTAATTCACGACTGGAGATCTCTGAACAGAAAAATCCTTATTTGAATATTTGAATGACGAACAGGTTTCGCTTGACGGAATAGGCACCGCTTCGTGTAAACAAATCGATAACAAGCGGAATGGCTCCGAACCCAGGATTTCAAGAGTAACAATCAATCAGAGTCGATGATGGATCAGGTAAGGAAGTCCAGCAATTTTGCACTATCTAAGAGCATTCAACTTCAAGTCTACTATCGCAGTGTTCGAAGGCTCGGCTTCGAGCCACAGTTGCGCAGCTCGCTCAGAAAGATTTCTTTGGATAACTGAACCCATCTTCTCTCATTCCTTTAAATAACCAGAACTGCATCTGGTCGTGCTAATTCTCGCCTCCTGCAAGTCCGGAGCCACCGTATAGTGGTACGCCAAATTCCATTTAGGTCTCACACATAAGCTCACCTCAGATCTTCTTTCGAACCTTTAGAGTCGAGGCACACCTTGTTTATCATAGGTATTTGCTCTTTACCAAAGCAAACAGTATACAATAGAAGTATTCCAAAATGCAGATGGATCGAAAACACAACACAAAGGACGAATCCAGCTCCCATCTTAACGACGAGTGGTATTCAAAAAAGAAGAGCATCAAACCCATACGGCCCCAAATAAACTACACCCCATCACAATCACAATTCCTCACGAGGGAATGCCTTTTGCGACGATCAATGAAAAGCAGGTAAGACCACAGCTCAGAAAGGAACAGGTTTCAAGTAAACAAACCCCTTTACCCCGCATTGTCACATGACTAATGGTACTTGGTGCGAATCTGGCCTGAAGTAACGCCTTTGACCGAGAGGGTGGAGTGCTAAAGTTTCAAATAAATTTCTTCTGAGACTCCGTATTGATGTGGCAAAGATCTGGTTGCGAGGAACAGTTTGCCACCGAGAAAGTGTGAGTGTCCACGTGATGAATCAGCCACAAGGTGGCACTGGCTAAACCCAATCTAGCCACTTTATGACGCGACGGCGATCAACCCCTCTACCAGCAAGATTTCATTGAGTATTTCTTTGACTGCCCGCACACGACCATCGTTCTCCGCAACATCCATTCATAAAATCTGAGAGAGCTCAAGGTATTTTCTGGTACTCCAGAGAAAGATATACTCCCAGATTACGCGCGACGTTCTTTTGAAAATGTTTGTCCTCAGAAATGGTAAGTCCCCTAATTTTTGTTTATCAAAGGAAGTGACGCCCCCCTCGTCGCGTCGGAAAATGCAGGCGCGACCGCTTGACCGATACTCCGTCTGTAAACCAGTGCTAACATATCGTGCAGTGGGTAAGCTGATCTTCGGCGATACCTCCAAGGAATCTTTGGTCGAACTACCGCAAGGGCAACTTTACCTCGTCCGACCGCTTTCTCCTAAGGGATACTCAGAGCTCATCTTCAAAGACGCTGCCGCGAGAATCCGACGAACGAACCAGGAGTACCAATACCAACTGGTCATACAGCGGGCATACGAAGAAGGCGAGGAGGATCTTGCTGACGACGAAGATGGTGAAGACCCAGAACTTGCTGCCTTAGCTGCCGAGCGAGACGAGAAAACATTCCTGCTTGACGAAAGCCTGCATTTCAGATCTGAGATTCGGGAAGGTGGAGAGAAGGTTCTGGCCTGGAGAGACTTGAGTGGGGACGCGGGTGACCTCTACGAATTCGTTTGCGACAATTCGATCGACGACGCTCAAGTTCAGCAGTTCGAGATAACTGCTGTCCACTGCCAATATGAGCGAAAGCACCGCAAGAATTACAACACAGCATCCGAACAAGATCTTGCCGAGTTCGCTTTCGAGGGCGAACAACCCATACCCCGTGCGAGTCCTACACACAGTCCCGTTGCTCTGTCGCCAGTAGCCACTATGCCCGGACCATCGGGAACAAGAAGTACTGCCAATTCGGCACTGAAGAGGGATAGCACGTCCACTAAGGCTTCTCGCAAGATTCCTGTTCGAGAAGAGACTCCCACAGCGGCACCACCGGTCGCTACACATCCTGAATTGAGGTCTGTTTTGGCTGTTGAGCATGCAGAATTACACCTCTTTGACTTCCAATCAGGGGCATTCATTCTCCAGGACCCGAACGTCGAGGCAACTGTAGCTGAAGTTGGGACGTGGAAATACTGGTTGCAGATCTCGAGCGAAGACAAAGATTGGCTTGGTCAAGAAGTCATTGCTGATATCAATCCAGTGTTCAACTTTGAATACTTATCCTTCATCTTCAATGCATACACCCCAAACGGGGATGCATACTCCTGGCTTCTTCGATTCAAAGACCAAGAGACTGAGACTCGTTTCCAGGAAGGGTTAATGCAAGCGTTGTGGGAACAATTGAATGAGATCAAGTGGAACAAAAACAAGGAAGAAGAGCGTGATTACGTTCTTGAGGCATTCCAAGATCTTGCAATGGACGATGCTCCGGAAGGCGAGGGTGAGGAAGAAGAGGAGGAGGTGGTCGAAGATGATGGTCAGCGAAGCGAGCATTACGATAGCGATGAGGAGGAGGACGATGTGGTCACCAGGGACGACGATGGCAACGTCAATTCGCAACTTGCAGTCGGCTACAAGCATGATCGATCCTTTGTCGTTCGTGGATCTAAGATTGGCGTATTCAAGCATACACCAAACAATAATCTCGAATTCTCGACGAATATTTCGAAGGTGGAGACTCCCAAGGGCAAGCTTTTCAGTCCCAAGAAAGTCATGCTGCATGCCGAGGATACAAACATGATCCTGCAGAATGAGGCCGACCCCAACTCACTCTATCGTATGGATTTGGAGTATGGAAAGATTGTAGACGAATGGAAAGTGCACGATGATATCCCGGTCAATACATTCGCTCCCGAGAGCAAATTCTCTCAGATGACTGGCGAGCAAACCTTCCTTGGTCTGTCCCGAAATGCTCTCTACAGAATTGATCCTCGTCTCGCTGGTAACAAGTTGGTCGACTCCGAGCTCAAGCAGTACGTCTCCAAGAACGATTTCTCTGCAGCTGCCACAACCGAGAAGGGATATATTGCAGTCGCCAGCAACAAAGGAGATATCCGCATGTTTGATCGTCTTGGCATCAACGCGAAAACTCATATTCCCGCCCTCGGAGAGCCTATCATCGGTCTTGATGTCAGCGCTGATGGTCGCTGGGTTCTTGCGACCTGCCGCACTTATCTCCTGCTCATTGATGCTCTGCAAAAGGAAGGCAAGAACCAAGGAAAGCTCGGCTTTGAGAAGTCCTTTGGCAAGGATTCGAAGCCTCAGCCTCGCCGCCTGGGCTTGACTCCTTCTCATGTTGCACAATTCCAACACGAGACTGGAGCACCATTATCATTCACACCTGCACGATTCAATACCGGGGAGGGCTTGTCAGAAACCTCTATCATTACTGCCACGGGACCATTCATCGTCACTTGGAACATGAAGAAGGTGTTGAGAGGCAGCAAGGATCCGTACAGCATCAAGAGATATGCTGAAGAGGTCAAGGCGGACAATTTCAAGTATGGAAGCGACAAGAATGTCATTGTGGCATTGCCTAATGAGGTCAACATGGTTGCGAAGCAATCATTCAAGAAGCCAACCAGGGAAAGCATTGCTACCCCAGTTAGGATCGGCGGAAGCAGCCTTGGTGGCAGAAGAAGCTCTGGTAGAGTCGGGACCCGAGACAGTGCCAGATACAAGCTTGGAAAGGACGACATGGTTAATTCTCCTTATTGAGCTGGGAATTTTGTTTTCTTCACGACTTCACGACGGCGGGCGTTTTGGCTTCATTCTGGTATGGGTTGATGGATGGCGGAGACGACAATCTCCCTGGATTCTTTTATTAATGACGAATGCGTCATTCAGTGCAGCTGAACTTGTCAGCATTATTCGACACTTCATGTATTTAGCAGAGAAATACCAATACCCCAATTTCACTTCAGCCCGAAGTCTAAGTCTCAACTTTGTAATCTTTTCGCACTGCATTGGACTGGGAATAAAATGTAAAAGTACTTTTATCTGAAGGCAATATCGCCGTCGCGTCCTCTCAACAAGTGTTTCCACTAATAGCTTTTTATCTGAATGACTCCTCATCCCAAAAACAAGTGTTCACCCCGAGGAGATAAATATACACAATAATACCCAAATTATGGGCAAAATTTGGAATTTTCCTATTATGCCCCATCTTTCTTTCACTTCATACTCAATTATCTAAAACTGTATCAGACAGCAATATACCAGCCTTGCACTAGGAGTTGATCCACCCAAGTGTTATCATAATTCCCTGGTGTCGAGTCCAGGGTAGGCGACAAGCCCGTGCCAAGTAGCGAGCTAATTTCGGTTTTGGCTACCGGGTCACCGAGCGAGAAAGTAGGGAACAAAGTGAGTAAGCTACATTGAGTGAGGTAGTAGGTACCAGTACGTTGATTAAGCTCCGCTGGCCCTCCGGGGGCCACTGCCGTGGAGGCGGTCATGGTGAAAGAACAGGATGCCTTGACGCTGTGCCGACAAGAACTCTGTTGGGGGGGAGGGAACACAGATGTTGATGAGAGGGCCCGGGCCGATGTTGTAGGTGCAAACCTTCTCACTGACGTCGTCGACCTAGGAGGCGGGACAACTCGAGTTGACGATGTACGTCGTTGTGACGATCCCGATTCTGTCGTTGTTGACGCTGCATCTAAGAACTCGGCCCCCAAATCACTTCCATCCTCTTCAGTATCCTCCCTCACTACATCCTTTCTTTCCAAAAAGGGGCCAATGACATTGGGTGGCGGGTTCAAATCTCTATGCCTGAGAGCGAATCCCGGAAGACTGAAACTTGGAACAATGTTTGAAGTGAGAAGTACACAAATACAACACAGGACTGCTACCAGATAGGATGCCGGTGGAGCCATCTCTGAAATCGTCAGTTTCTTGTCACTTTGAACACAGTGCTGGACTTTTCAGCATTCCATACAACATACCGCCGAGTTGGTTGGCCATTGCAAATTATCCTCACTAATCTGGCACTGGAACCCAACCGAAAACTCAGAAAATCGAAAGAAAGAATAGGAAGATAATCAAGGAACTGGGCTCATTTTAAGGTGGTCCCAAGCCCCTTCAGGCTTTGACCCCAACTTTCACTTAAAACATCCGATCTCCGTTGGTATGAATCCACGCAAGACAGAAGTAGTAATAATCGCACATGGAAAGTTTCACCACGATCATCAACATGCCCATGGTATTGTTCGAAAGGCATATCGGCAGTATAATACCGTTGTGGCTTCATCAAATGCATCAATTTTGTCATCCATGCCAGTTCTGGGCGATTTTTCTTTTTTGGTGGGCGAATGAAAGCCACTGAATATTTCAACCGTCCACTTTGAGCAAGCATGCTAGAATGGATCTTCGGTCGTAGCGCTCCGTAACGTTCCAAACGCCAAGAATAGGTTGATACCGACCATTTATGGATTTCAGCTTGGGTAAAATACCCAAATGTAGGAATAGACCCACCAGATGTTCTGTAAATACCCGCCGCATTGTACCTGAACACCATGTCCAAAAGCCTCATACGTATCGTATATATGAGTAAACAACCCAAAGCCTCCATACCGACTTATAGAAATCCTTGAGGCGATCGTGAAGGATTTCCGTTGCTTAGTGGTGGAAAAGTCCCGTTTCTGACGAGCCACCAATGAAACTTGCTCGTGTCTCCCATTACCCCTATTTAAGAATTAGCGAGCTCGCTACCGAGCCGAATGATCGCTGGAATAATTACCATTCTGCTATATTCATCAGCTCTTCCTCGTAACAGCAGAAGTGATGGGATTGGAAGTCTCCGAAGGCGAAATCACCGAGATGAAAGTCAAAGGAAAGTCTGGACTACCCCTTCGCCATGGTCCGGCCGTGGCCCCAGCTAGTCTTCCGGCGGGTCCAACGGGACATGCACATCATTCTTGCTCGGGCACTTGCCAAGCGAGCCGCACCACAAGTCCCTGGTCCTATACTATAAATCGACTCAACATAGGGATATTAGCAGAAACTTCTTGCTCCATAACCACGCCACGCCTCTATTGAAAACAAAAGCATGTGAGTTCAATTTGCTTACGAGCCTCCCCAGTCTCCCCACCTTCTTGGATCGCAGATGCCCGACAGCAAAGTAGAAGCCATCACATGAAAGCGCATTCCCCTGTCCTAAGATCAGCAGATACCTCCTGCTCCATAACCAATGTCTCTGTTAAAAGCGAAACCCATCATTGCAATAGTTCGCAAAGCTCCAGGGGGTCACTTAATCGCGAATGAATAATCTGTCCCCAAGATAGAACGAATTCAAAGAAGATGCATCAACTTATGTTCAAGAAGTGGTTTGCATCTGCGAAGAAAGAACACTCGTTCATATAAGAAGAGAAGGCACTACCTGACGATCTAAATCTTGCTTGACTAGTTACGTTAGACAAGGGCAAAAATCACTAGGATTGAAATTGTATTGTTAAAACTTTCCTTCACTTCAACTGATTACCTGTATGCAGAAGTACGCTCACGATAACTGGCGTTGGGTATATCCTTCATGTATCCTTCCATGCCCCCTCACCAAAAGAATTCTCTCCCTTCTCTACACAATGTTATCCGACCCAACACGCGCATGAGGTCCACTCCCAACAGGCTTCCTTGAAGGAGACGACACATAATCATGCCCATTACCCGTGCCAACCCTCCCACCATTTCCACCGCCCATGACAGGTTTCTCCTCGTACCCTCTAACACCACCTCCCCAGCCCGCCTGGCGTGTAAAAACAGCGTTCTCCAGGTCCGCTCCCGCTCCCGAGAGCGGTACCGCGCGATTCAACGGGATATGGTTAACCCTCCAATCCCAAATCCCCGCATAAACCATCCTATAACTGCTAAACGCCATGACCGTGCCAATGATCGCGCCAGCCAAACAATCATACCAATTATGATACTCATCGATCGTCAACGCACCCGCGATCAACGTAGCGCCGAGAATCGGGGCGTAGGTGGCGATGAGTTTCCACATCGCAGGATGGTAGTTGGACCATACCTTCAGCTTGGCGTTCAGGTACAGGTACAAGAACACGAAGCCTGCGAAGGCAGCAGTGGAGTGGCCCGATGGGAAGGACTCGAGGGAGTCGTCGATTTCATTCTGGTCGCCGGTGCAGATTGTGCGGTCGTACATTATTTGGCGGAGGCCGTTGCCTGTTTCTTGGGCTGTGATTTCGGGGATGTTGGGCTTGCAGACTGTGAGGAAGTGGGGTCGAAGACCGCCGATGAGCCATTTTAAGAACACTTGGAAAACAGCAGCCGTGATGAGGGAGTAGAGCAGGCCGATGACAGCATTGTTGACATCCCAAAAGCTGCGGATCCGTATCTGGCATATGAGAATAACAGCAATAGGAACAAGCGATCCAAGGAGTGCAGCAGCCCCTTCATCCAGTTAGTCTTCCTCTCCATTGTACAACATAACATGATATAATCATACAAATCGGCACAATCTCCTTTCGCATTGGGTACGCAAACTGCGGGTACACGATCTCTCCATCCTGGAAGTAAACAGGGAAGGACCGCGAAGGTGCAGGATGGGCTTCATAGACACCGAGTCCGATGATACCCATGACTGCCATTGTCGCAATGTCTAGCCATGTTACTTTAAGCCATTGCCCAAAACTCGGGCGTCTGCTCATATCCATGACAATCGGTCCTCTCTTCTCGCGATGGCGCGTAGTCGTGGTGGTGGTTGTGTCTGCAGTCGCAGCGCCGTGCTGACGGCGGCTGAAGAGGCCCATGACGTCAGTTTCAATGAAGAAGTACGCTCCTCAATTACTAAATTATTACCAAATGACGGATACTTTCTTAGGCACAGAGAATGAGAATGGGAAAGTTGAAAAGGCGGTCTTGCGTCGCGTTGATATTCACGAAGCATAGTCTGCCGAGACGCGGTACGTCATAAAACAAGGAAATTGAGCAGGGAAATTAGGTCCTGCATCTCGATCTGTTTGAGACGGAGAATTGCCTCCGCAGTTGTAAAAACAATTACCATTGACCTCGCCTTCTTAACGCGTGAAATATTGCAGATGGGAGGTATGTAGACTTGAAGTCGTGATTAGGTTGTCGTTCAAAAAGCCGGGGGAATCCTTAGAGCCACTTGGCGCCGAGAAAGATGTCACTCGCTTGAGACTGGGCAAGTAAATCGGTGATGAAAACGAGAATGGGGGTGGGAGATGCGCATGACGAGATGGTTTAATTGAGAATTCCACAACCCACTGGGTTGGATTCCAGGTTCTAAATTGTTAAGTACCTTCAGGCAGTCAATTGGATTCTCACGTGGCCTTCAAAATGAGAGTAGGTGAGGTAGGTGCAAGAAGAGCGGTTCCTGGGAATAAACAGCTCGAGCCACATCCTATGACTTTATCTAATTTTCAGACCCTGCATCCTGAAGCTCTCAAGAACTGGTTCCTGGTGCAAGAAAATCCAATTCTGAATGCGAGTCTTCATTTCCCACGCACAAACTCCCAGCATCGCTATCCCAGCCCAATCATTATACAGCAGCGCAGGCAGCGCAGAGCGAGCGACTCATATCGTATCCTCATAACTCGTATCCTCTCCTTCAACAAACGCTGCTCAAGACTTCGCTTTTCATCCGTCAAGAAGCCCTGGTAGAGCACTGCTTAATTTCCTGTGCTTCTTCCCCGCGTGCTCGCTGATCCGTACCAGTTCGCTCACGAAACTTTCACCCCACCAGGCACTAGTATACTTGAAAACATACTTCTCCAATTTCTTAAAGTTGATTTCTCTTTGCTCGGGTGACATGGTGACAGCATCGTGGATGGCGCCTGCGAGTTCTTCGGTGTTCCACGGGTTGACGATGAGTGCACCGTTAAGAGATTGCGCTGCGCCTGTAAATTCGGACAGAATCATGACGCCGTGCCGTTTTCTTTGCGTAGCAATGTATTCATAGGATACCAAGTTCATGCCATCTCGGGTTGAGGACACCAAGCAGGCATCGGAAACAGCATATAGCGCTGTAAGTTCTTCGAAAGAGACAGATTGATGCAGGAAGTGGATAGGCATGAATTCGATGGTTCCAAATTTGCCGTTGATTCGACCAACAAGTTCGTTGACAACGGCGCGAAGATTTTGGTATTCTTCGACATCTTGTCGGCTAGGAACGGCCACTTGCACGAGAACTACTTTGCCGATCCATTCAGGGTGTTCCGTGAGGAAGACTTCGAGAGCGTGCAGCTTTTGGGGGACTCCCTTAATATAATCAAGCCGGTCAACCCCAACAATAAGCTTGACTCCCTCGAATTTGCGTTCCAAAACAGCGATTCGGTCCTTGACTGATTTCATCTCTAGGCCTTCGACGAATTTCTCGGGATCAATTCCAATTGGGAATGCAGCGACGGTGACATATTTTCCTCTGAACTCGACGCCGTTCGGGGTAGTTGGTGTTTCCCTGATTGCATTAGCTAGCTACTTCAACGGCCAGCTCAGAGACTTACAATATTCTCGAACAGCTGCTCAGGAAATGCCTAGCATAGTCGTATGTGTGAAATCCAATCAAGTCGCTGTGAAGAACCCCAAGCAGTAAAGCCTCTCTAACTGGGAGAATTCTGTAGATCTCACTGCTGGGGAATGGCGTGTGCAAGAAGAAACCAATCTTGACATTTTTCTTCGTTGTTCCAATCTCCTCCCGCAGCATCTCTGGCAGCAACATCAGGTGATAATCGTGCACCCAGATCAGATCACCATCTTGTACGTCCTTAGCCACTGCCCTCGCGAACAGGCGATTGACCTCCTTGTATGCAGCCCATGCCGACTCGTCGAACGTAATCTCACCGGGATGATAATGGAAGAGGGGCCAGAGGATAGAATCTGCAGAGCTCGTCAGCGTTTGTCAAGAGCCTTTTGGACGAAGGCCTACTGGAAAAGCCATTGTAATGACGCTCCGAAAGATCATCATCAATGAAGACCGGTACAGAACCGTATTCATCATGTAGCTTTTGGATCATAGGTCCAGCTTCTGCATCTGGAACCTCCAGGCCCGGCCAGCCATACCATACGAAGGTTGTAGTTTTGGACAATCCGCTGAGGCCAGAGACCAGCCCTCCAGACGACATAGAGAAGGCGTACGAGCCATCGTCAGAGCGTTTGATAGTTATGGGGAGCCGGTTCGACACAAGGAGCAATCTGCCCTGCACATGGGGCTCTTGGACTACGGAAGGCATCGGGGATATGTTTGAGGTATCGGGAGATTCGTGGAAGGCGGAAACAATGCTGCGCAGCTGTGGCTGCGTAAACGTAGTTCGAGATGCTGTTTAGGTAGTCCGAACGGCTATGCTCGGTGGCGGGATGATGCAATTCGGGAGAGAGATAGAGAGGCAGAGTAGGGTGAATGTTGTTTTCGATGTCGAAGCTGCGCAGCTTTAAGATCGATTACAGCTACTTCGCTATCGTAGAAATATTTGCTGGAGAAGGGTAGGGTGAGGACATCTGCGACAGGGTGAGGTGAGGAGAGGAGAGGTGAGGTGAGGAGAGGAGAGGTGAGGTGAGGAGAGGTGAGGAGAGGTGAGGTGTTCTATCTCGGTCAATAGGTCGTTCCTCTTTTTTCCGAGTTGTGATACACGCAATGGGGAAATACTCCATGGGAGACTCGCAGCACCTTCAAACCTTGTCCTGGTTTGCCGTGCCTTGCTTGCGGAGAGGGGGAAGAGGGTCGCGGGCCGATGACGATTGCCCAGCAGAGCGCCAGCGCCCTCTTTTTTTCTTGCAGGGGTGCAGCGTATTTTTTTATGGCTTGCCTTAGAACAACTGTATGGTGTATCTTGTGCATTTATGCCCGAGTTAGTTCCAAGCAGCGGGGAGGAGAGCTTCTGCCTCAAAAGGGGCCCATGCAGTTAAAGATACACTCGTTTCTGGCTCCGTCACACCATTCCGGCCCAGTGCTGCCCAATTCTTTTCGTCTTCCTATGAGTCTTTTAACAGCTGCCAAACCCGCTGCTGACCCGACATGGGCTCGATCAACAGGGACCGACTGGCAGGGCTGCCAAACATGGCATTCTGCAGGAGGCCCGGAGCCAACGAAATTGCCACATTTTTGAGCGTGCAGCGGGAGCATCTGCGTGGTTTCCGCAACTCCACATGGCACGAACTGAGCATTTCACGACACCTCTGATGAAGGCTGAATAAATCGAACACAAGGAGAAAAGGCGGCGAAAGCTTGAAGTCGACGCATGTGAGGGCCAGGTTCGATACCTGGGTAGGTACTAAAGACTGCACCTTACCTCAGAGACAGGGGTAGAAACACGTGACTACTACACGTTGACCTTTCCGAGCTTGTTCACCACTTCAACTCGAATCGAGTGGCCTGAGTGGATGTACACGATACATAAAGCCATTTTCAACTAACCGCGTTGCCATATTTGTCCGAGATCTCCCTTTTCTCTGTCATCTGTGCAGTCTTGTCGATGTGTTCCCAAGAGGCTTGATTGAGGATGACGGCCAATCTAAAATTTGATGCCGGCAAATTGCAATCCCATATCTGTGTTTGATATCCTTTCTGGTGCCGTGTTCTCTGAGATCCTAACACCGAGCGGTGCTCATGCATTTTATAGCCGCTTGACAACAAGTTGCTAAATCGGCCGGGAGGAAGTCTATTCAACTTCAACTTGCGAAGTCCAATCCTCAGACGGCGCTAGAGTACGGCAGCTTCTTGGGCGATTTCCCTGTGATTATACAGGTTTTCAAAGCCCTATCTATTTACCACAAGCCAGCCTTCTACCTATTTCCGTCACACTTTGCGTGTGGTGTAAGACGTTTATAAAAGCTCCCCAGCTCAGCCTTGAACCCACGAATGATGTATGGGCGACTCAAGCCCAGCCTGCTCACCGGCATAACGAGGCGGAAAACGCAATGAACTACTCGAAGGTAGTCAGCCAGGCTGGGATCTCGAAGATATACAACGGAAGTTCACCCATTCGATTCGTTACAAATGTCTCACAGCAAGCAGCCAGAGGGGCTGGGTTACCTTGGCCTCCTCGTGATGTTTTCCAAGCCACTGCCTATGATCCGAATATATGTCACGGGCGATGCCTGGTGGCCTTCGCCAAATATCCTCTTTGCAAGGTCTACTATGAAGCAATTACTCTACTGCTTTCTCATCAACGGCTTTGTCACCTGTGCTGCATCTCAAGATCTACAAACTGTCTCAATTGCCGATCGTGCTGATTTCAAAGTCCTCCGTCCATGCATACACACCTGCCTATTTGGTAACGGCGATGTCGCTCCAGGCGACGGTTGTGGAGCCCCATGGTACAACCAGTGTTGGTGCTCTTCGATCAATATAGTTCCCTCAGCAACCAGATACATCTCGACTTGTATTCCGACATTATGTTCCGACAGCATTGACGTGGCCACTGGGATAGATATATATTACGACTACTGCTCGAAGGCAGGATTTCCCATCCCAAAAGATGTCGCAAGACCTGTCGCCACCTCTGTTGATCTACATGTAGTCTCAATTTACAGTCGCAATGACTTCAGAGCCCTAAGGCCATGCGTTACTTCCTGCTTATACGGCAACGGCGACGTAGCTCCAAGCGCTGGGTGCGGATCTCCATTTTACAACTAATACTGGTGCTCTTCGAACATCGCTCCGTCGGCAACAAGTCATATATCTAGCTGCATCACAAACCTGTGCACCGACAACCTCGACGTATCAACAGCAGTAGCCATCTACTACAGCCACTGTTCCGAGACAGGACATCCATATGCTTTCCAAGCTGTAGCATCGAATACGGCGCCATTGTCAACCGCGGTTCAGACAACCCCACCGCAAACACAAACTCCTGCGACAACACAGAGCATCCGAGTAGACTCGCCAGCGGGAACGAGTACCACATTATCTTCCACTGTTCGGACCGCCTCCTCTCCCACATCATCATCTACACCTGCCTCCTCGCCGCCAACGAAGGCGGTATCTGGGGTTAGCAGCAGCAGTAGCCTGTCCAACGGAGAGACTGCCGGTATCGTAATTGGTGTTTTTGCTCTCTTGCTTGGTATTGCTGCGTTATGGTACCAACGAAGAGCCTTGGCTGCCCAGTTGCAGCATATCAGAGACAATTCTAAGTCTCGCCGTGCAGATAGCTTCATTAGAGAGGGAAGGCCAAGTGGGAGAAGAGGAGTTTTCGAAATGTAATGGTTGCAGCACTATTTGTGAGCGAGGCTAAGAGCACAAAACTCACCCTCACCTTTGTTGATCTCCGACTTCACAACTTTCCCCAGGAAAGGCGCGCAATAGCAACAACTAACAACAAGCTTCTATCGCAAAAGCAGAGCTCAACCTTTCCCCATATTATCTAATATCGACAGCAATAGCCAAACCAACACCGGGGGGCCTCCCGGGAACAAGCAAGATGGCACGACGAATCAAGCCACCTCACATGTGGGACGGGGCTGCGTACATTTCCGGCGCCTTCGGAGAACCCGAGCCGGATATGGACTTCGAGGATGAAGCAACCAGAGAAGCAGGCATCGAGGCTCTGATAACAGCTAACGGAAGAGTTACCCTTTGGAGCCCAAACTTCAATGACGAGAACAACCGCAGATTCTTTGCGTACCAGGTAAAAGGAGGCAAGTTTGGCAGCAAGAAGATCTAGATGTGAATTCTCCAACAGCAGGCACGGCAGCCATCCGCCACATCCATAACTGGTACTTAGCCAAACACCACGCCAGCTGGATACAATTCAGAAACTGGCTGAAGAGAAACGACCCAGAGAACGAAGTGGCAGAGGCAGAGCGCGAAGGAGGTGAAGACCGGACTACGCGAGGGGCCCGGCAGCAGACCAGAAGCCGCTATTGAACTCGGGAGAACAAGATATGGATAACGTGATTGATCTGGAAGGGGCCCCCGACCTCCTGCACCTGATTGTCCAGAACGCCTGCGCGTAATTGAAACATGGAAGGGAAGAGGTATTACAAGAGCTGAGAGGAATCTCGGAAGATTACAAGGGGGACGATTCCCACGAGAGCTTGTGCGCAACAGGGGACCTCCCATTACTTACGAATCAACGACTGTCTCTCTTTCCATCGCTCAAATGGAGATGAGGCTCGCTAAACACAGGGCATCAAGAAAGGGGTATGCATTCACGTGATCACAAGCTTTACCTTATCCCGTCTTCCGTGAGCTGAATGATTGTCGAGTGCGTCTAGCATCCCAGTCCTTATTCATATTCTAAGCTCTTGTATTTGAAAATCGAAGCAAAATCACAAAAAATAATTTCACCCTCAAAGCTTCCTAACCCTCACTTCCTCAACTAAGCCAACTTCGCATTCACAACAGCTGTATCTAAAGCAGAAAACACAGTATCCAACACCGTAATCATATCAAACCACTTCCCCATTACAGTCTCCAAGCAACAAGGACAACGAATCCAGTGTTGGTGCCTCCAAGGGACACGAGCGGATCGCGAAGCATCACCTTCGAGAGTTGATGCTACGGATGGAGATGTGAATAGTCGCGTCGTCGTGTACTGCGTATGGTTTTTGGCGGGGGAAATGGAAGTGTATGAAGGCGCTGTTTGAGAGTAAGCAGATGCGCTTGCCAGAAGAATGGAAATGGAGTTCACCTGGCATGCCAGAACTGAGCAGATTCACCTTAGCAAGTTTTCTGCTAGGGTGTACATGGGAAGGACGATGTTGCCATCATACGGTGCTTCCAGGAAGCCTCGACTGAGGAGAATTGCAGTTAGAGAGGGCAGTTTGAAGAAAGAAAACAAACCAGATTATTTTTCTACTACACCTTTTGGAATATTATTCAAGGGAATAACAATGGAGTGGGGGAATGGCAAATCCGGGGTATCTGTTCGAGCCCCAGGTCCCAGTCTTCATATATTACTGGCTTGGGCTTGTGTCAGCATTTGGGTATCGCTATGAATGGCTGTAGAGAATTGTCCGTTGTGAAGGTTTAATATTGGATTTCAAGCTGTATAATTCTGCGTGGGAAAACACTTGTTAACTATGCGCTATTGAGTCTTGCTGAACGATAGAACCAGATGGTAGAGGGACCCAAAATTCCTATGAAATATGACTAGGAAATGAAACAGGTCAAGACGCAACAGAATGAACAGGTATACAGACAGACCCCCATTTGCCAGGGCTTCCTGGCCTGCTCTCCACTTTCCCTCCCTCCAGTGGCGCATCCTTGGGCCCGTGCTCGACTCCTTTGGTGTTAAAAAAATACTCTATAGAGCCTTGCTGAACGATAAAATCAAGTGGTTGTAAATATATATCCCAAACTCGATGCGAAATATGCCTAGTAGGCCGGCTGGCACAAAATAAACACCCAGTGCTCAATGCAAATATGCCGCCCAGTAAAAGCAAAAACCGAACGCCTCCAGAATAAAAAGATACTTAGACACAGAGCTGGCTAGGACTTCCTAGCCCTCTTTCCACTCTTCTTCACCGTTGGTGATGCCTCCCTCTTACGCCCAATCTTAACACCCTTGCTCTCCTTCCAATCATTCCTAATAATATCAGCCGCCTTTTCGGCAACCGCATAGACAGAACTCTGCAGATTATTCCTGATCCCTAGTGGGAAGATACTCGCATCAATGACCCGCAGATTCGCCACCCCATAGACCTTGAGTTTCAGGTCTACCACACCACCTTCTTCTTCTGGCATCATTGAACAGGTGCCAAGAGGATCATATTCAGAGGTCAACGATTCTCTGCAGAATTCGCCGGCAGTTGCTTTCGTGAGGTGCTCAAACCCAGGGTGGAAGGCCTTCCCTCCGTCTTTCAGAAGAGATGCAAATGGCTCTTTGGTGGCGAGGTATTGCAGGAAAAGGACACCATCGCTGAAAAGCTCGACGTCCAGAGGGTGAGATAGGTAATTCGGGTCAATTATGGGAGGAACAGTGGGGTCCTTGGAGGTAATGTGTACGCTTCCGCGAGAGTATGGTCGAGAAACAGAGACGTAGAGAGTGATGAAATTTCCCGGACTTAAAGTTCCTCCTCCGTTATCGAAACCTTTCTGTATCCCGAGTGGGATATACATCATTTGGAATGCGCTGTCTTTTGGGTTCAGGAGCGCCTCGCCCAACAACTTATACTGCTTCTGTAAGATAGGAGGTGCTTTCAATACAGCCACTTGTATAAGTTCGGAGATTGGCGTTGAGGATACATGGCCTGTTCTTTGGTCGACTTGCTGATAGGAGAGATTCGCATTACTGTCGATGAGAGAGCTCAAGAGACCTGTCTGACTGGCGTAGAATTCTGTCGTTGCGGCTGCTTCGACGCCAGCTATGCTAAAACTGTCAAAAGTTGTCGCACCTTCCGCGGCCTGGAAAGACAAGGGCACTATTCCATGGTCTTGCAAATTCTCCCCGACGTTTGCGTTCTCGACCACCACTTTTATTCCGAGTGGTTCAAGAACATTTCTTGAACCGATGCCAGATAGCTCTAAAATTTGAGGACTTTGAAGGCTCCCGGCACAAAGCAGAACTTCGTGTTCTGCTTTAACATGGTACTTGAAACCAAACGAAGTAAAATCAACGCCGCTCGCAAAGATCTCACCATCGTGACGATTCAACGTAATCTTGTTAACTTGTGCTTCTGTGAGAACTGTGAGGTTGGGTCGATTAACGTTGGGTTGGTAGTATGCAGTTCCTGCGTAACTTCTGGTGCCTGAAGCGGGGTCAATAGTTATTAGATTGCTAGAGAACCATTAGTTAAAGTATGTCCAACGAAATTAGGAGTAACACTGACCTATAACCTCCATTGCCGTGGCCTGACTGAGAATCTTCTTTCATTTTCAAACCAAGCTTGTCAAATGTCTTGACCCAGGCGTTTCCCCCAACCCTTTTGCTGTTAGTAAAAGCTGTCCGGACTGGGCCATTGGCATTATGTAGTTCCTTGTCGATAACTTTATTATCAATATGGTAGAATTCAGCAGTCTTCTTCGATGGCTCCGTGAAGGTTGCGAATTTCTTGTAGTAAGGAGCTAAATCTTCATGAGACCAGCCAGGATTGCCCAGCTTTTCCCAGCTATCAATATCTTCTTTCGAAGAGTAGGTGCACATCATTCCATTTATCGCGCTTAGTCTTGTTAGAAGAATTGGTTTATCTGATGTCAGGGGACTGTTTGCCTAGATCCTCCCAACACTTTTCCACGTGGTTGCGAAACGACACGGCCATTCATGTACTTCTACATACGTGTTAGCAATTTTAGTGCTGTCTGAGGAGTTGAACCCTACTTGAGCAGTTGTTTTGAACCCCCAGTCGTATTCTGGATGTCCAATTGCATTAAAGTCCACTGTCGTCGTTAGTCCGAAACCCACGGTGAATTTCTGACATCTTACAGCCAGGAATTAATATATTTGGATCAGCAAGACGATTCTGCCCAGCTTCAATGACGCCAACTGTAATTTTGGGGTCTTCAGTGAGGCGAGCAGCTAATGTCAAACCCGCAGTTCCGCCTCCAACAATAACGAAGTCGTATCTTTTAGCGGCAAACTCGGCCGGAGAATCCACGAGCATCTTGATTGGAAGATATACTTTTTACTAAAAGAAAGGGTACAAGAACGAGTGAAGCGGGAAACAGAATTATGAAATCTGAGGAATATCAATTGGTCCGGGGCATAGACTTATACGCGTGCAACTTCACTCGCTTCGGAACAAGCTTAGACACCAGGGTGGTCAGCCAGGGCTGAACAGGCACTTGCGAGTTCCTTTGATTCTAAAGAAAGACTGAGAATTCCAGGTCAGGAATCTATCGAATCAATCAGGGAAATAAGCTGACGATTAGACTACTTCCTATATCGAAGGCTGTCTAAATACGCTGGTCAGTTGCATACGTGACTTCTCACGCGGAGGCGAAAACACGTCAGCAGAGCTGAACACTTATTCTAGGTTTGTAGCTCTGATGTATGGAGTAGTACGTATTTGAGAAGACAGCAGCCTTGGGGGATTCATGACATGTGCTGACAGGGACTTCGTATGACTACTAAGTAAGCTGACTGGATGACAGCGACTGGCTCATTGACGCGAACTGACACTATTGGTCGCCGATGCGCCGCACAGGGGAGGTGAGCCGTCAGCGGCCACAGTTTTGCAACTTCCATAAAGGTAGGGCTGATGACAAAAGTGAAAGTTCGTACTAATGTCCGGATGCTTCTTCAAGCTCGGCTAGCTCGTAACTTGACGCGCATGGTCGATCTCGACAAAATATTACGCACGCGGCGCCCACAGGTCTGCATCTCAGCCCAGGGGTCATGTATCAACTCGCGATTCGCGGCGCAGAGGTTTGAGAGATATTGATATTTTTCGTCTGAAGTTTTGCTTGTCAAGAAAGTAAAACCCTGATTTCTGCGCTGGTTCGGGGGAATAAAGCCCGCAATGGCTCCGGTGCTGATCCATCGTCTACCTCTTCCAGCAGTTCATCTGCCGCAATCAATTTCTCCTCCACTTGCTCGAAGTCGTCACAAAACTTGTCTGCAGCCTCTTCCGTAATCTCTCTTGCTAGCTTGGAGCTTTGGAGATCTTTTAAATTCTCCATGGCATCCATCAACGCTGAAGGGAGGAAATTATCCAATGTTTGGCTAGCCTGTGTCAAAGCATCCGGTTGAAAGGTATCTAAAGTTCGAATGGATTCCAAGCCCTCTTTTGTATCTGACAGTGAGGTCAGTGCCCGAAGTAGAGGCTGTAATGCAGAGCTGTTCCGAAAAAAAGAGTACTGATGATCAACGAGGCTGGCGGAATACTGCTCGATATTGCCTGTGATTTCAAGAAGCCTCTCGCTGTTGAAATCGAAAGGTGCTAATATGTTCCTAGCTGCCAGCAGGCAGTTGATTGCGAATATGGAACTTGCCGGTGCCTCAAGGTCTTTGGCGATAGCCTCGCTACCATTCATGAAGGGATCGAAAGCCTCAGCCAGGATTGGCTGAAAGTCGGCTTCTCTACTATTCAGAGACATGAAAGATGTCTCGTAAGTCTTCATAATTGCTGTAAGCTGCTTCAAACTATCCTGTAAGAAGTCTGGCGGTCCAAGGTCTGGAGGAGCGGTGTGAGTTTCTGCTTGCAGGCCAGCAACATGGTCACGCATGAGGATCCTGAATTGCCGCAGAGCGGACTCTTCGAGCGTCGTTAGTGATTCGAGCAAGACTGAATCCTCCCCGAGCAGCTTTGAGAATGTAACGCGATAGAAATTGAGTAGATTTGCAATTTTGTAAGCCATGATCGTTTCTTCATGACTTTGGATCACTTGCCCAATGCGTTGGCGCAAGACCCTAGCAACTCCGGCGACGTCTCGATCCACTAACTCATTCAGAGCTTTCAGCCCGTCAAAGTCGCTGGCCTCATTTTCGTCAGAGATACGATTCCATGGTTCACTATCGCGACCAGCTTGAATGCCCTTGGCAATCTCATCACCGTCCGAGATAAACAAGACTTCGAGAGCTTCCCTCTCGCTGACGGTTGCAGAGTGGGTCCACGCTAGCATATCTCCAACATAGCGTAACGGATCATGAGCAACCAACTCAATAGGTTTCACGGACGTATCCTCTTCGCCAGTTGCCGACGTGCCCGTGAGAGCAGTATAGAAGGCATCAGAGAGAATGTGTTCCCTAGCTTCAGCAAAGAAGTCTAGGCAATTCTGAAATAGAGAAGGACGTTCTGCAAGAACTCGGAGAGCTCTCCGGATTGCCGAACTGATCTGGGGATTTTCCAAGTTGAGAGATTTGAATTCTCGTTGAATCCACCTATATAGTTTCTGGAAGGCTCCATTAAGATTCTTCGAGGTCTGTTCCATAATCTCAAGCCCTAGGCGTTGGTTTTCAGTACCGAGCAGTATCTCGCAGTCGTTCTGAATCTTCTTCGCTCTAGCTAGAAGAGAAAAGAACTTGTCGTTGACCGGTTCCGCCGTAGAAGTGAGACGTGCAATGTCGTCGTCTGACATGATGAAATGAGCATTGAATGCCTTCAGAAGTTGTTGTTTTGCCTCGACTTGTTCCTTCTGCTTCATGAGCTCAGAGGCTTCTTCCAGAACTGGAGCTGTCTCTTGGTGTGCTGCCGAAATATGCCGCTTCATCTCCTCACAGCCTTGATTTAGGCTTGCTATTGTGAGCCCGATGCGTTTGAGTTGCTGGAGGAGGGTCAGCAGTGAACATTCAAGCTTGAAGAAACCATACTTCGGCCACGTGACCAAATTCTCGAATGATATCCCCATTGCTTTCGATAACCTCCTTTTGAACGTCAAGTCTAAGTTGACGCCGAGTCTCTGAACTGTTCTGGACGCCACGCTTGTCCAACAGATTCAGAGCATCTCTGATATCGGAATCGGCATAGGACGCCGAGAGGACGCTCGTAACTTTCGTTGTCAAAGGATTGCTCCTTGCCTGGGAGCTTGCTGGTGGTATGGGTGATTCCACGACATCACTCAAGCCTGACTGTTTCCGAGTCTGGAAATAGTCAGTCGTCATTGTAATCGTGAGAGTCGGTGCTGTTCATAGTTGTTGAAGTTTGTGGACAAATCTCGCGAACTGTCGTGGCTGGGGTGTGTTTAGCAGCTGATAGATTCGCCCCATTGCCCGTCTGTTTTCAGACTAAAACGAGGCTGAAGGCGGCAAGTCACTCCCCTGCCGCTCGTGGTCATCGTCCTCCCCTTCCCCATGCCTGGAGGCATCCACCACCACGAGTTCATGACCCAGGTGACAGACCGATCACAACAATATGGCATAATTCGTGTTCTGGGTATCGTACTGAGACACCGGTAGTCAAGCATTCTCGCCTCCCAGATGCTCATTCACATGCTGCCTACTTGTGTGGTTCACCACAACGGCTTCTTGCTAATCCGCCAGTCCAGCGTTCAAAGTTCGCCGATTTACTTTGGCACTTTGAACTGTACGGGCCTCAATTCTCCTCCTACGAACCCGATCCTTTCATTACGATGATGACTTCAAACCTCCTCTCCCGCCTCCTCCCCTCCAACCCCACCGGCCGCTCGATTTACGATGACCTCCGGGCCCATGACGAAGCATCTGAATCAGACTTGGAGGAACACGCAGGCCTGGCTATAGATGAGGAGAATCTCAGGTTTCATGATGACGATCTTGGCAATGCAGATGCTTTGGAAGATAGCCGCATTACGACTGGAAGCACCGCGTTCCTGGCCGGTCAACGACAAACCCAAAACCAAGGAGCAGGGAATGACTCGAGAGGCAAACCACAAGGCCGGCGATCAAAATGGATTGCACAATCTCCCAGGCTGCTCGAAGAGGATGGGGATGACGATGTACCGGCGTCTTTGTTAATAGAGGGGGACGATATGGCAGGTCCCCGTTCTCCAGCTCAACCACGCATTATACAAGGGGCGGCCAAGAGGAAAGAACCTGCAATACCAGGCCCATCAAATAGAGAGACTCGGGCACATTGGGAAGCTGCGCAGGCTCAACAAAGGCTACATCAGGATGACGACAACCCTCCCGCTGGGCCACAGCCAGTCCGACAAAACATCGGACCATTTTCCGGCAGTCCTCGAGAAAAGGCAATGTGGCGATGGATAAACATTACGAATTTGGACAACTTTATGAAGGAGGTCTATGATTACTATACTGGATCCGGACTTCGGTGTATCACTCTCGAAAGAGCTCTCAGTCTAGCGTAAGTCTCTAAAATCAACCATATCTACTGGCGGTAGCTAACTTGGCGGGCCCAGCCAAACGATATTTGTGGCAGTCTTCGTCACCTTTCTAACGCAGTGCGTTGATTTCAAAGCTATTCCCCAGAGCAGGAAGTTATCCGAAGTCCTTGTGCCCCAGTGCACCAAGAACATCTCGGGAATGCCAAACGTTGCCATTTGGCTCTTTACCTTGCATGTCTTCTGGAGGGTTTACGAGCTCTTGATTGATATTCCTCGTTTGATACGCGTTCGCGATTTCTATTTGTATCTTCTGGAAATCCCTGATACAGACATGCAAACCATCTCATGGCAAGATATTGTTGGAAGGATCATGGCCTTGAGAGACGCCAACCCTGTTACGGTCGAAAAGATATCACCGTCGAATCGAAAGTACCTCGGTAGTCAATCGAAGCAAAGATTAGATGCACATGATATCGCCAATAGACTGATGAGAAAGGAGAACTATCTCATTGCGTTGTTCAACAAAGAGATATTAGACTTGACGCTGCCTTTGCCGTTTTTGCAAGGCCGTCAGCTGTTTTCGAGAACTCTGTTATGGAACCTGGATTGGTGCATCATGGACTTGGTATTCAACGAAACCGGCCAAGTCAGGCAACTGATCCTGAAGGATTCCCATCGAAGACAGTTGAGTGATGGCCTGCGGCAGCGGTTTTTGTTCGCCGGTTTCATGAATGCCCTATTTGCACCCATCATTGTTATCTACCTTATGATTGTGTATTTTTTGAGATATTTCAACGTACAGCCCCCTTCTCACTATGTGTATCCGTGGCTAATGGAAACCTAGGAATATCAAAAGAACCCATCTAAAATCGGTTCACGGCAATACACACCCTTAGCCGAATGGAAGTTCAGAGAGTTTAATGAGCTTCATCACCTATTCCACAAGCGGATAAACATGTCATACCCATTTGCATCACGATATCTTGATCAGTTCCCGAAAGTCAAAACCGAGAGGTGTGCGAGGTTTGTTGCGTTCGTTTCTGGAGCCATTGCGTCGGTCCTTTTTCTGGTCTCCATTTGGGATCCCGACAACTTCTTGAGTTTCGAAATCACCCACGACAAGTCTGCCCTTTTCTATCTTGGGGTGTTTGGTGGCCTGTGGGCTCTTGTAAATGGGACGATCCCTGAGGAGAATCTGGTGTTCGAGCCCGAATACGCATTGCGTCAGGTCATTGAGTACACCCACTACATGCCAAATCACTGGCAGGACCGACTTCACAGCGACGAAGTCAAGAGGGAATTTGCCACTCTCTATCAGTTGAAGATCGTCATCTTCCTCGAGGAGGTTTTCAGCATCATTATTACCCCGTTCATTCTCTGGTTTAGTCTGCCAAATTGCAGCGACCAGATCATAGACTTCTTCAGGGAGTTCACTATTCACGTGGATGGAGTTGGATACGTATGCTCTTTTGCAGTCTTTGACTTCAAAAAGGGTGCTGGTAGAAAGGGGGGGCTGCATGGCGGCGGAAACGCCGATGTACGAGACGACTACTATTCAACAAAGCATGGCAAGATGGCTGCTTCATACTATGGATTCTTGGATAATTACATCTTCAATCCGAAGACTGCTGTTCAGGGTCACATACCTCCTGGGATGCGCCACCAATTCCATCCTCCGCCCGCCTTTCCCGGACTCATGTCACCCACTCTGGCTGCAGAGATGCAGACATCTAGACTGGGACGCAGTGAGAGACTCCCGGGAAGCCGGGCGCCAATTGGCAGACCACCACGGACCCCAAGATTCCCGCCTGCTAGAGCACACGAATCACCAATGCAATCGATCCTGCTTGATCCTCATCATCAGCCTTCGAATTCAGGCTTTGGGGCTCGCAGCGGGCGACGCAATTCCCGGTCCCGGTACCAGACACGACGCAATATTATCGAGGAACCCATTGAAGATGAGGACGAATCCGGGGTTGGTAGAGGTGGTGACTCGGGAGGTGCGTATGAGAGTGAGACTGGGCTTGATGAGTCTAGATGGGAGGTGTCACCCACGAGAAACGCGCCCAAAGATGCCGAAGAGGAAGAGTTAGACAATGGGCCTACTGGAGGGGGAGTGCTTGGGTTGCTGTATCAATTTCAGAAAGCACAAACGGACGGCAGACCAGGTGTTAATATTTGAGGGTATTTGTGCATTTTTTGCGGAGTTTTGGTGGCAAGGCATACGGCATGGGTTAGGGGCATTGCATTAACTATGTATTCATCGTAGGCTGGATCAAATCGATCGCCCTTGCACTGGTATTCTGGTGTTTGATAGGAAGACTTTCTGAATGGGGTGCAATCTTCACAAACCTGGGCTTGAAAGGGGTGTTGAAGGGGTACACCAAAGAACTTCATGCTCCTAAATTACTCAACAGTCGAAAGCTCCAATGTAAGGTAGCAAGCCGTATTTACCCCTTAAAGGCGGGACCCTAATAAGAGCAAGAAGCGAGTTGCCTTGATCCTTTCACATAAGGCATGTCCCGCAGCCGTTTCCAAATGCCAACCGCTGCTGAGGAGGTCCGCCCTTCAATCGAGAAAGCCCACAATGTTTTCTTTATATCTGTCCCCGCAGTAGAACATGGCGTCAGCCTCACAGGTTGGTCGCACGGCTCATAGATGAGGCGCTTGCACAACGTTAACGTTATCTGCACGCTTCACAGCGCCAAAAACGAAATGGAGCCACAATTGGGCAGCAAGTTCCCCACAGCCACCTTCTCCACAGCCGTCTGACCACTCTGATGGGATCCCGAATTCCTGGGAATGGGATTTCTGATTTGCATGCAAATGTATGCTGAGATCTCACAGTCGTACGATGTTTGTGAAGACCACAATGACGAAATGTAGCTACCCCAGATCCTTCATGCAAGATGGGCTGGTCCGTGCTGGCTGGGAATAGCGCTCTGAATGCCCCTGGCGACGGATTTTCTGAGGGTCCGAAGTGGTGGAGACGTCTAAAGTGCCCCGTGAGGCGGCTGCTGCTGCGAAAGCGGACCTGGAATCTTTGTCTCCGGAGAAGCCATGCTGGTGATGCAGGACGCTGCCTTTTGAGTGAGATGGAAAACTCTTCATATCATTCATATAAGAAAGAGCGCGCCTTCCGATGTGTCACTGCCCCAGCAGCGATGGTCGGGCCAGCACAGAGCTACCGCCATAGCTTTTCGGCATTTTGAAGATTCAGTTGCTGGATTGGTAAAGTGGTGTTCTAGAGCCGGTGGAGAGTTCGGCGAGAGGCGAGAGGCTCCACCCCAAAACGCCGTCTGCGACTCTGCGCGCTCCGGTGACCCTACCCCCCTCCCCCCCTACCCCTGTTCCCTTCTCCGAATCTGTTTTCTCGACAATCATCATCACCACGAAAAGTCAAGTGAGTCTCGCTCCAGCCTCTTGCCCTCTCCTCCACCACGCCGCCGCGACCCTCCCTCCGACATCTGCGACAGCATCTCCAGCAGACGCCTTCGATCCTCCTCTTGTTGGCCCCGGTGTTATCGAGACAGTCGACATCCTGGCTCTGCAATCGACGACGTACGCGGGAGGATCTGTGGCCGTGGCCTCCCCAATGGCCCAGCCAAATGCAGAGCCAGTAGAAGAGTACGAGTATGTGCACGCAAGCATCACACCCCCCCTTTCCTGTCTAAAGCCTTCAGATCGCTGACCCCCTCGATAGCTATGAAGGACTGCCGCCCAATTTTTCGTTGCTGCAGAACATGACCGCGGGCGCTTTTGCTGGCATAGCTGTAGGCGTCACTGGCCTCCCCACCAGCCATTCCACGAATCTCGCAGACTGATGAGTTTACAGGAGCATACGGTCATGTACCCGATTGATGCTATCAAGGTGCGCAATATTTAATATCTACATTGGGATCATGATGTGAGGAGTTTGTGCCGACTGACCGCCACGCAGACCCGGATGCAGATTCTAAACCCGACGCCCTCCGCAGTCGTCAATGGCATGATACAAGGAGGCTACCGAATAGCCACCGGGGAGGGAGTCCTCAGTTTATGGCGTGGCATGTCCAGTGTAGTGGTAGGAGCTGGTATGTAAACTGGGTGAAACTAGATGTGACATGGACTGAGAGTGACTCCAGGTCCGGCACATGCCGTCTACTTTGCTACTTATGAAGCTGTAAAGCATCTGATGGGAGGTAACCAAGCAGGCGTACACCATCCTCTGGCAGCAGGTATGTTGACATAAAATTTCTGGCCTTGGGGCGGATTTTTGCTAATGAAGCTCCAGCCACCAGTGGAGCTTGCGCAACAATTGCAAGCGATGCCCTCATGAACCCATTCGACGGCAAGCTAACCTGCATAATTTTGTCTTGGCTATGCTAATATCTAGCAGTCATCAAGCAACGAATGCAAATCCATGATTCCCAAAAGATGTACAAATCGATGGCCGACTGCGCAAGATACGTCTACCGAAGCGAAGGTTTATCCGCGTTCTACGTCTCATACCCCACCACGCTATCCATGACCGTCCCGTTCACCGCGCTGCAATTCCTCGCCTACGAATCGATTTCCACGGCCATGAACCCAACGAAGACTTATGATCCCTTGACACATTGCGCTGCGGGAGGAGTAGCGGGAGGTTTTGCGGCAGCACTCACGACGCCGATGGATGTAGTGAAGACGATGCTGCAGACGAGAGGAACGGCAAATGATCCGGAGTTGAGGAATGTAAATGGTTTTCTAGAGGGCTGCAGATTACTAAAGAGGAGAGAGGGACTAAGAGGGTTCTTTAAGGGAGTAAGACCAAGAGTTGTGACCACGATGCCGAGTACAGCAATCTGTTGGTCGGCGTACGAGGCTTGCAAGTGAGTCCTCTCCCCCCTATCCATGTTCCACCTCAAAATTCTAACGTAATTACAGGGCTTACTTCATCCGCCAAAACGATTCAGTAGTCTAATGCCACTCCATTTGACAATCTTCGAGGATCACCACACCAAAACAACCACCAATAATACATCCACGATCTGCCCCTACTTGCTTGGATACCTCCGGCGTACGGATTACACAAAAGCATTCATCCACCTCCACCTACCTTCATCTGTACATACTTCTTCTACAACCACTAGATCTCTTTCCGGGGGTGTTCGTCTCTCACGCACGCACATTCTGTTTTGGTTCGCACGTCTGGCTAAACTGATAGTAGCTGGCAGGGGTTACATGGCGTTTTGACTTGAGTTTCTTTAATCTGAGCAATGGTGCGGTGCATTGCTGCGTGCATGGCATTTTCGTTTCCGGTCCACAACACTTTGAATGTGGACTTGGGTGGAGAAGGGAGGCAGTGTGTTTAGAGCGAGCGCTGTGAGCAAAGACGGGCAGAAAAGAGGAATGAGGAGAAAATATCATGAAATGTGTGATTTGTACTTGTAGAGTAGGCAGGCAACTGGCGAGCGAACGATGGAGAGATCATCGATGATAATGGGGAATATCTGGGAGAGATGAGGTGTTGATGAATAAAGAAGTTAATCGCCAGATTTCAATGCTTTCGATGAATTTTGTGTTCAGTCTTAGATGAGAATTGCAGAGAGGTGCGAGTTGTGCTGTGTTGGTTTCAAGTGTGCTCTACAGCGATGAACTTCGTGAGTGAAAGGGGGTTCAAGAACAGAAGGCAAAGTTCCTACGAGAAAGGAAGGAAAGAGTCTGGGGGTTTTAAACAAGTCGGATGCTTCTGGCGACAGCGTATCTGATAGAGATAGATATATTCGGATAGAACGATACATGGGTATAGGTAAACAAAATTTCAAATGCCGTGCCTCGCCCCTTTAACGAGTTTAGAAAAGGGATGCACACTAAAAGTAAGACTACTTTGTCCGCCTCTTAGATTGTCCTCTTAGCATCAAAGAGGGTGGTTCTGACGTGTCGAATAGTTGCGAACATCTAGGTTCAAGTTCTTAACTATGAATCGTCGAGAGCATCATCTTCTCCAACGTTTCCTCGACTCATAAGTCGCAATTTCATCGCAATTTCTCTTGGTCTTTCTTTCAGCATCACCCTTGAACTCTATGGGATCTGGGCTCGGCTGTTGCAAGGCCTTTTGATATCTCAAGACCCGTTGAAGTTCTGAAAAATCTGAAGGAAACAGGATTCTCCAACGATTCTCGATCATATCCTCGATCACATCCTCGACCGTGTGAGACGTATGGTCCGGGGTTCTTAACGACCAGTTGATTGGGTGGTTGAGTGTACATGTAGTGAATACACTTGCGCCGTAGGTCAGCATGGTTGTGAAAAGACGTGGATCATAGCGTGAGTATTTTATGTGAGCATTGGTCAAGGCGTATTGCCATGGACTGTTCCCGCGCCAAAGTTGATTGGGGTTTGCACCATGTCTCAAAAGTATATCGGCCATTCGAGGAGACCATGGCATTAGTTGTTGATCGTTCCCACGGATGAGTGCCTCAAACAGTAATGGGGTTACTCGCTGCTCAAGTACGAGCGATCTGTCTTCTCTCACCTCCCTCTCAACATAGAAGTGAAGCCCATGTCGGATCGCAAGTACAATGAAGTTTCGTTTCCATTTCCGTGGTTTGTCGCAGGCCATCCATGACTCAATGGGAAGAAAATAACTGGAGACAAGACTTGCACTCAGCGGCCCCCCATCTATTCGCCATTTTTGCATCCCCACGCGAGAAAGCTCGTCAATGACGGACAAATAATTAAGCTTATCAGCGTCTTTCACCTCCGTAGCATAGCCCATGGTTGTGCTTATTGAAGCCAATACATCAGCGTTATCGTAGGGAGGCATAATTATTTGAATGCCTGCATTACCGCAAAAGAGATCCCTCTTTATCATGATGACACATGATATTGCTATAGATAGGTTAGGATCAAAGTCGGGGGTACTGATTGCGGCTGAGATCAGAACCCTCGCCCTCGCTGTGTCGAGGAAGTCCTTGACAGTTTTATGCATAAAATGCACCGTCGAATAGCAGTTGGGAACTACACTGGCGCCGTCCAAATTGTGTAATTCTAGCAGCCCACCGCACCGACTTTTCAAATGAATATCCAATTCTTGAATTCGAGAGTTGGCTTCATCATGGCCAATTGGCCCTTTGCCCTCGTCAAGTAGCATGTTCTGGAATGTTCCCTTAAGTGCAAATTCAAATTCGAGTGCGGAAACGTTCCTACAAGACAACCTCACAAGTGTTTCAAAGATTCGAAAAGTTCGGGCGGCTTGCTCCCGGTAGAGAGGATCGACATGGGTCAGCATGTGCGTATAGAACTTATCTAGATCCGAGGGGAGTTCAGAAAGTCGCCTTCGAAGGTCGCCGATACAATCGCGATTTCTGAGCCCATTCAAAAGTGACTTGACAACGAGCGTGACCCATAGAAAGACCCCAGAAGCTTTTGTAACCACTTCATTCACCAATTCTGCAGCATGGGCAGGTTCGGCATCCTTGAGGAGTCGCATTCTATCATGGCCTTCGAGTTTGTCAAAGACATAAGCTTGTATATCGTCGAATGTGAGGTCTTGCAGCCGAAGCATGGGCATGCCTTTGAAGGCATCATCAAATACCACCCAAGGTCTACTCGACACACATAACTTTACGTTTGAGGTTCTCGAGGATAGACCTTTGAAGAATTCGGCGATTTCCTCGTGGTCACCGTCATATTCATCCAGCCCGTCGATGAAGAAGCACACCTTTGAGGAGCTGGGGAGAAGGACAATCCAACGTTTAAAAGCTTTCTGTAGTGTCGACAAGGAGTAAAGATGGTCGCGAATTTTTGTGTGATTGACCGTAGAAGAGGAATACATGGCCCATTCCTCCGGAAACACGACGCGAACAAGGTTTGGTTGTTGCTGTAAAGCTTGAAAAAGTAAGGATTTGAGAAGTCCTGCTTGTGATCGCTGGATGGGAGAGCCACTGTTCCAGAAAAAAAATCCTGATATGTCGAGACTTGACTCGCCAGCCCAATAATTGAGCTGCTGACGAGTTTTGGCGTTATTGAATATATATCGCATCAAGGTCGACTTGCCACTGCCAGCTTTGCCGTTGATCCAATAGAGCCCACTTCCTGTCCTGAGCCATTCCCGGAAATTGCTCCAAGGACAGCCTTCTTTTCGGGTTTCATCGAAAATCCATCTGAAAGTCTGGCGGTGCGCTTCAGGAATGGCATCATGGCGATCATCAATCATGGTGAAATGAAGGTTCTGTACCATTTCCACTTCGATTGTCTGCGCTTCTGATATTGCTAGCAAAGTTGAGGACTGAGTACTGCTAGCGTTCTCGGTTGACTTCCGAAAAATATGATCTCTGTGGTTGAGAAGGTCTTCCCTAATCAGGGTGCGGGTCTCGAGAAGGGCTGCTATACTTTTGGAAGCATACGCATTCAAGGATGAGATAACCTCATCTTGCCGAAGTAACAGAGCTCCGGCTTTTTTCCTACATGGGGTGATGAGCCTCTGCGCAGGAGAAAATCTATGTTCTGCCTCGGGATGGAAAGGAGAAGATATACCTGATGGAGGCAATGAGATGTGAATTGAGCTCCTCGCGACAATCGGCAATTCTCCTCGCCAGAGAGTCTACACCATCTTTCATGCACACGGCCTTGAGTGCTTGCCTGAAGCTCTTCCACTTCCGAGATGTATTTTTTTCATCAAGTTGAACCTTTTCCAAACGGGAAAGCAGCTCCCCAGACAGCTTGACACAAACGCAGCAGATAATTTCGAGCGCTTTCGCGTCGGGCGACAGGTCGCCCAATCTTTCAAGTTCTCTCCACGAACTCCTGACACCGTTTGTTAATTCAATCAATCGCCGGGTGGCATTCCCACACTCGATATGGTCCAGTAGCGCTCCATGCCTGTAGAGTTGCTGCGACTTCGAGACGAGGCTGCCACCAAACTGGACGAGTTGAGCGACAGCTGCCGCAATATCCAGCGCCGAGAGCGGGTCCATCACAGCCGAAAATGCGGGGAAAAATCATGAACGGAGAGGCGAGGCTTTGCAGGACAGAAAAGAGGCAGGTTGACGGTCGTGAAGAAATCGACAGGCCACTTGCCAACACAGCCGCAGTCAGCCTTGAGGTTCGCCCATCGCGAGAGTCGCTTGACCACCCAATACTATTGATTCGTCGACATGTAGCTCTTTTCTTCCCAGGCTAGCTTTTGTACTTCGCTGCTCAGAAGGTTTGAGAATTTGTGGAATGCAGTCGTTGATCCCACGTGGGGACAAGGTCGATGTGGAAGCAGCATCAACCTCAATATTCACGTAGCACTGGCTCGTGCTCACGCCCCATTCTCACTGTTGACCTTGCTTTGTGCTGTGTTGTGTACTGTAGCGAAGAGTATGCTCCTTCGAGTCAGATCGGATTTGGCGAGTGTAGTGAGGCGTGAGGCTGCATCCGCCACAGGCCACCACAGCCCCACCTCTGGACAGGATCAACATCGGCCGCTAGAAAGCGCTTCAACTCAACACAGCCTGCCTCGTCTTCTTCCACGATTCACCTCTGCGAGGCTTCCCTCATCGTAGGAAGCTGCGACATTCATCATATCGATCGAGAGGACAAATGAAGAAGAGAGGGGAGGATTATTCACGAGCCCCCATTAGTCTTAACTTCGCGGGGCAGGGACTTGTCTCGCTTCGTACGTCATCCAGGGCCACCCAGGCAGGAAGCACATGATCAGCTCTCTTCAGACCTTCAACATATACAAAGACGGTATTTCGAGCACAGCATCCTCTCTACGAAACGACATTCATGAGCCGGCGAAAGGGGACTCACGAACGGTGCGGCCATGATGCGAAACAAGACCTCGTCGTCCTTGCAGAAGACGTACGATGAATGCTATCTGATATGTTCGACTGCCGTGTATTTCGAGGGCCAGGTCAGAATTCCTATGGACTTTGAGCTCTCAAACACTGCCGGAGCTCAGATACTTGAGTGAAATACAATAGGCTAACGGCGATTATGGCAGGGAAATGAAGCAGAGGCTTTACGATCATGGCGCTCCGCCCTCGACCAAATCTACTATCACAACGCGTACCGCGTGCCTGCAGGTTATGTCCCGAAATCCGAGACCGAAAAGGCGCTGAAAGACAGTCTTCGGGACATGGAAATGCAGTGCAAAGAGCGGGTTGACTTGTTGGAAGCATTGAGACAGTCCAGACAAGAGAAAGCAGCAGCAGATGCGTCCACAGAAGAACACAGTGGGAAAATACATAAGAGTTCGTCGAGGATACCAAGACAGAGCTCTGAGTCCGAGAATCGTGATCGAGGCTTCATTGGAAATGGGACCATTCCGGCTGTTGGATACCCTGACCTCTCGAGGCCTGCTCCGCCTCTGCCTCAACGACCTGCGATGGTATCCAAGAACAGCTCTGAACAAGCAGTCGTGGGGTTAAGATCAGCAGCCAATTGCCCATCCTTATATCCTCCTTCGTCTTCTTCAAGAACAATCACACCTACTTATTCCGCTACATTAGCACCGCCAACGAAGACCTCGAGAAGTCCAAGTCCCGAGAAGGGCCGAACAATGCTCCACACATTACGATCTGGCGATAGGAGTTCGAGGAAAACGCGGGCATCAGGCGTCAAAAGAGAAAACCCTATCACGAATAAGGCTGCATCATTGGCATGGCAATCAGTGGGGAGGTCAAGCAGGGATAGGCTTGGACGTAGCCTCGATGCGGAAGCTGATCAAAGCTCTACGACACTCCCAGAGCCTGGTCGAAAAGATAGCACTAGCGATCCGGCACCAGTTCGACCATCGTCATCGAATAATATTCGCTATGATAGCAGAACGAGAACTCTTGTCCACGAATCTCACTCACATCTTCCCGTATCAAGCCCTCCGGATCTGCTGACTGGGAAGGTGGAGCTATTTAATACTACTGGCCGCTCAAACGGCTACCCTTTCCCTCCAACAGACCCAGGCCGACCAGGTCTGGTTTCTGGGTCCATCCTCAGTACATCTTCCCTTCGAGACTTGATAGATCTCGAACCTCCAACACCTCCTGTCGCTGAACCAAGAAAGACTCCTCCACCACCTCCACCGCACTCAAGATCACCAACAAAGTTTGAGCCTGTATCTTATCCTACCTATTTGAAAGAATACCCGGAGACTGGCTCCAGGAGGAGTAAGGCAGAAAAGGGCTTGCCCATACGGCGGAAACATGTGGCCAAGGAAGGAACAGATGTTGAAAGCTCTTCCAGCAAAGTTTCCAGAAAGCCTGTTTCTGCAAATACTTTGCCACCACGACATCGTGATCGACATCAAGAAAGGGACGATGCAAGAAGAGCGCAGAGGAGGGAAGCCAAGAAGCCCAGAGATGAAGAGGTATCTTCCCAGAGTGTCGACGATGACACAAATAGCAGTGGAGGTCAGGCCTCAAAGCCGAAGAGAAAGTTGAAACAGAAACAGAAAGAAAAACCGATACTCGCCGAACCCACTACTCCAACTTCTGATGATTCTGCAGCCTCCGACACGGACGATGCGAAGAAGGCTTGGGAAGAGAAAGTCAAGCAGCTTATGAAACATTTGCCCAAAGGAGTTGATGAGGGCGCTGCAAAACAAATTTTCAACGAGATTGTAGTCCATGGCGATGAGGTTCATTGGGACGATGTCGCGGGTCTCGACATCGCCAAGAATGCTCTCAAAGAAGCAGTTGTGTACCCTTTCCTACGACCAGATCTCTTCATGGGTCTTCGTGAACCAGCTCGAGGCATGCTGCTATTCGGTCCCCCTGGCACAGGAAAGACCATGCTAGCCAGAGCTGTGGCCACCGAGTCGAGGTCAACATTTTTCTCGATTTCTGCAAGTAGCTTAACAAGCAAATATCTTGGAGAGTCCGAGAAGCTCGTTCGAGCGTTGTTTTCTCTGGCGAAAGCTCTCGCCCCTAGCATTATCTTTGTCGACGAGATCGATTCCTTACTTTCTTCACGGTCCGGTTCAGGTGAACATGAGGCGACAAGAAGGATTAAGACCGAGTTTCTGATTCAATGGAGTGATTTGCAACGTGCTGCAGCAGGGAGAGAGCAAAGCGAGAAAGAAAAGGAAAGAGGCGATGCGAGTCGGGTGCTTGTACTGGCTGCAACAAATTTGCCTTGGGCAATTGATGAGGCGGCCAGACGAAGATTTGTGAGAAGGCAATATATTCCGTTGCCGGAAGACGAGACAAGAGCTACCCAATTGAGGACCCTGTTAGGACATCAGAAACACAACCTAGACGAAGATGATATCCAGAGACTGGTGGAACTAACTGATGGTTTGTTTCCTGTTCTTCATTATGGACATAATACTGATTTATTTGAAAGGTTTCTCTGGTTCTGATATCACTGCATTGGCAAAAGATGCAGCAATGGGCCCTTTAAGATCTCTAGGCGAAGCCTTACTCCACATGTCCATGGATCAAATTCGACCGATCCAGTTCCAGGATTTTGAAGCTAGTTTGATCAATATCAGACCTAGTGTTAGTAAGCAAGGCCTGAAGGAATTTGAAGAATGGGCAAGGGAGTTTGGCGAGAGGGGTGGCTAGGGTCTCGTTTTCTTGCTGTAATATATTAGGGTCAAGGAAAGGAATAGAAGGTTACCGGGTCTGATGATACCGTTATTGGATCATGAAGAAGACAAATGCTTATATTTAGATGTCTGTACCCTGATAATACGAACTGTGATGGTTGTGTAGAGGTATTCAAACGCGGACTCTGATTGATGAGGTCGCATTTCCTTAATCTCACTCTTCACCTCTCGCCAATACAAAACTCAATCATCATATCTCGACTCGGGGTATCGGGGAAACCGATGAGAGCTTTCGTTTCTTACACTGCTCATCTAATGCATCACTCCATGCAATGCCCGTCATAGAATACACCCAGTCCCAAACGCCTTCAAATTTGCCCCCTCCCACCAATCTATAACCGCCACCAAGACTTCGGCTTCTGCGCCTCATCTTCTTCTTTCGCTTCCTCTTTCGCTTCCTTCGCTGCCTTTTCATCCTCAGAAACAGAACTCTCCTCTCTCCCCTCCGCACTCCCCACCTGTATCTGCTCTGCTTCTTTCACCTCCTGCACACGCGCAGCCTGCACAACGGCTTCCCCACCCTCCTTACTCTCCCCTCCCTTTGCCCTCTCACTCTCAGCCCCAGCCGCCCCCTCCCTCCGCTTAGCCTTCCTCCTCTCCTCCCTCGCCCTCCTCTTCTCCTCTCTCATCCCCAGCCTCTCCTCCAGCGTCGGTACGGGCGGGCGACTTTCAATCGGCTCACCAAACGGCGCGAGAATGCTATTAACAACATGATGCACTTGTTTGCTAGCCCGCCAGCCAGGAGAGATGGAGATCACATCGCCAATTCTGAGGGAGGAGTTAGGGTCGTGGACGAGGATGTTGCGGGACTGGTTGAAATGCTAGACACCATTGTTAGCACCTGAGTCCTATTGAATTGAAGGGGCGGAGGAAGGCAAGAAGAGGGAGGGGAATAAAATAGGATGGAGAGAAAGGCACACTTTTCCAATATGGTTGTTCCATTTCTGCACGCCGACCCTCACTTTCACAGTCTTCTCCATGAGGCCCGCGGACACGACAACGGCGTTCGTTTGCCGTGTCACCGATGCGGCAATCTTTTGAACAGACATCTTGATCAAATGTCAATTCGTGCTCGAGTTGTGGAGTCGATTGGGTTCACAAATCACGATGGGAGCTGGGGGCGTGAGGTGAGCTCGAGATTGAACTTTTGGTCGGGAGAATATTTTTCCGTTCCGAGATTGGCACGTGATGCGCTCAATGTCCAAGAAAGGAACCTTTAATGGATCTGAACATCAACATATAACGAGGATGGTACAAGCTGTGTATTCGTGCACTCACAGAAGGCCTCTTTGGGAAGTGGGTCTTTGGCTTTTTTTCTTCGGAAGTTTGGTGAGTCTGGCTGTGGTTGGCGCTTCAGCTTATTCCCTGACTCTGTCTGAATGGAACGGCCGGCTTGTTTAAATCCAGACTTGGAAGCTGATGAGCTTAAGTATTGGTCGGAAGCAATCGAACACGCTAAAACCCGATGTGTAGGACCAGGGGTGGAAGTATTCCCTGATCAACCTAATTAATCTCAAATCAGGAGATATATTTTTGTAAATTCGCTGTACTGTTTGTTTTGTACTTCAGACCAGACCCAAAACGCCAAATTCCTTGCCTTTCGTGTATACCGAACGCCATCAAGCGAAGGCATTAATCATATTTGATCAAACAGGGGACCCAACAAGGAAATTCAAGCCCCCAGCAATATTTGACATCTCAACAAAACAGCCATCATCATCCGTATCAACTCCTTTCCTCATCAAGAGTTCACTGGAGGCAAAACCTCTCTTCTCACGAATCATTCGCAGACCATGACCTGCCGCCTTAATGCTCCCTGTCATCGTCTTCGCGTATAACGTGCCTTCCCATACGGCAGGATAGCGAACGGAGATACTTGAGGATTGTGAACCATGGCTTGACTGGAGGTTTCGTAGCGTCTTTTTCTTGAAGGCATCTGGGTCATCCACCGTGAATAGCGCCTTCTCCATGCTTGGGGGGGAAATGAGGTAAGGATCATCGTCGTGGATGGGAAGGTAAGGATTTGACTGAGGCCGCCGCTCTGGTCTTTCATCTACATACGGTACCATAGTGATGAAGATGGGGTCCAATACATCGATGTCAATACCTCCACTGACGGTATGGGTGTTGAACGAATTTGGCGGGAGTCCCGACACGTTGGCGCTCCCCGCTTGCAGGACTGGCATCGTGGCGATGTGAATGCTGCCAGATACGGAATTGAAATTGCTGACCGAGCCGAGGTAGAATGACCCATTGATGCTACCGGCGCTTGAATGGACCCGAGTGGTGTAATTTCGAGGAGGAGGAACGTAAGTCGGATTTACTGCGCCTCTAACTGGCAAATTGACTTCGATCGAACCGGAAGCAGTCTGGGCCTCGAGTTCTGCTGGCGCTGGCGCAGCAGGCAAGACGGGCTGTGGGAATACATTTACTTTTATGGATCCCGATTGTGAAGACAGGCCGAGGTAGTCCATGAGAGGGTAACATCCAGTAATTGAGCCCGACACGGTTTCCACGAGGATGCGCCGTGATGAGAAGGGAGGATTGGCCCGGGCGGTAGACGACGAAACGCCACCACTCTTATCCAAATCCGTGGAAGGAGAAATCTCGGACAATGCGGGGAGCTCGGTGGTCGACCCCAAAAGGCTGGTCTCTGGAAACGCCACTTGACCAGTGGTGGTGCCAAATATTGACTGTCCACTCACATTGATCTTAATGTCTTCCACCACCCTCAAGGTAAGATGGATAGCCTCGATCATTAAGCTCGTAAACTCTGCATCCTCTGGAAACCATGCTGTAATCTCGAGAGAGACGCAATGCGGGCCTCTGCCATCAAGTCGAGCATATTTTGGGGTACTGACATGCAAAACTCTAGTTGCGTGGTTCCAAGTCTTCCTCACCTTTAAACTGGGGTCGCTGACACGGGCGTCAACAGTGATGAATGCCTGGTTGCCATGGCTCGAATCCTTTGGTATTCGCCTCAAACGGATCTCGCCCGCAGTTCCCACGTTGACCGTGCGGTATCCGTCATCTCCATCATAAGTCATTTGAACGATAGTCAGGTCCGCACCAATTGGGAATTCGTAGGTAGCCACATCTTCGTTATGTGTAGCCGAGGGACAGTACGGTCCCGCAGCATCGTCCGGCCGATCATTAGATGGCGGCATGTCTTTTGGTGGGTTTAGGTCGTGGCCCTAGGACTTTATCAGCCAATTATAATATGCGAACGTTAATTTCAAGAGGCCATTAGATGTGATGAGATGTTTGTTTCACTCCACTGGAGACTGGAAAAAGTCGCATATAGGCCACAATTGTGCTTGGGCGGGGAAGCTTGAGCTTACAGATTTAGAACCACCGAAGATGGCAGTCAAGATAGTGCTTGTCACAGTAAAGGCAAGCGCAACCAGGAGCAGCTTCCGAAGGAAAGTTCGGCAGGGAGAACGTCTTCTAGTACTCCGTGATAGGGAAGTTGACTCGCTGGGTATTTCTTCTGGACTTCCCATGCTCTCTGGCTCCTCTCGTCGTGGGAGGAATCCTCGCTCAAGGTGTTGCTCTGGGAATGTGTTGTAGGTAATTGGGCTTGGCGGGCTCTGTTGACTTGGTTGAACAGGTTGACTTGGTGGAGGTTGAATTGGTTGAATTGGCTGAATTGGTTGGCTTGGTTGGCTTGGTTCCTGAGTGGGGGAGGATGTTGGTTCGGGGGACGGCGTGTATGCTGGAGGGGGACCGTTCATCGAAGCAGGCCGCCTTGGAAACAAGTCATCAAGTCGACGAGAGGACACTGGAGACGTCGGTATATATGAAGAGTGGGAGGGGACGGAAGTGCCAGCGGAGTGCGCTGACGCGTAACTCTGTGACGGTAACGACGACGAGTGTTGCGATATCCTCGAGTCTCTTCCCATGCTTTCCAGGAGATGCGGGGGGATCAACGTCTTTGCCTCTGGCTCCTTCGAATCCTCAATTGAAGGGTCGGGGACCATGGCCTGGGCCGAGATCTCCCCACGATTGAAGTATCCATCTGCGGGGCTTAATTCGTCACTAAACGATTCATTGTCCGACTCCTCTACAGAGTAAAGGTTGTCTTGGTGGGGCATCTGAGCTTCCGCAGGGTCCGTATGCTGGAGCCTGGAGATGTCGACGCGATGAAAGTGTGAAGTGGGAAGCAATAAATTGTTGCCTGGAGGAAGCAAGACCAGACGCCTCTCGGTCGCAAAAGATGAGGAGATAAGATGAAGGACGAGATACTTGTGGCAAAACACTTCAAGCACCGAGGCGTAAGCACGGGGGAATATAAGATGTCAAATTAAGCAGTGTGTGTCATGGAGAGCATGGCGTGCCGGTGCGTAGCAGGTATGCAGGCAGGCAGAAAGAATGGCAATGAATGAACGAATGAATGCTACAGATCCAGCACCTTGGAGATTCCCCACCGATGATAGATTGTGGTGGGAGAGGGAGCCGGATTATTGGTTGCTGGAGACGCTCGTCGCCGCAAGGCTGCATCAGGAAGGTGCGAGGAGGGCTCCTGGGACAGTCTTTTGTCCTGCTGGTCACGTGCCAGGGCTAGGATTAATTAAGAGTGTGGCTTGGCTTGTGGCTTGTGGCTTGCTCTCCCACATCTTCTTGAGAAAGTAGAATGCTTCGACAACTGCTACAGTATACCTTTAGCAAGAGCAATGTGCCAACCTAATACATTTATAAGCCGCCACCTCATTCTGTGGGCTCAGAGCCCAGAGCTCAATCCCTCCGATGAATGCTGCCTTGGCCACCGGAGTTCGAATAAGGACTTCGATACAACCTTGGCTGTTTCGTCCTGAAGTAGTTTCACTGAGACGCCTTGCCCATTCACGAGTCACAGGCCGCCTCCGTGACACTCAGCGTTACCCACAAAGGTCTTGGAAGAGTCAGACATCCCGAATCATGAGCGCGAGCTCTGGCCGAATTCACGTGCTGGGCCTTGGCAACCTTGGAAGGCTGTTCGCCCACGAACTGGCTTTACAACCAAAACCGCCGGCTATTACCTTACTACTGCACAGGCAAGGTCTGCTCGATGAATGGGAAGCGGCTGGGGAAAAGATTGAGATTACGACTGATGGTGTCGTCTCCTCGTCCTCGAATTACGATGTTGAGCTTGTGTCTCAAACACAAGAGGGGGTTATTGAGAGCTTGATTGTGGCTACCAAGACTCTCAATACAGTGAAGGCTTTGTCATCTGTCAGGCATCGCCTCACATACAACTCCACGGTCCTCTTTACCCAGAATGGAATGGGCACGGTTGAGGAGGTCACGAGTGCCGTATTCCCAAGTCCTTCCACGAGACCTCATTATCTAAAAAGCATCACATCGCACGGAGTCTACTCTCTCGGCCCCTTTCGGTCCGTCCACGCTGGGTTAGCAAACGTCACGATCGGCCGAGCTATTCTTCCAGGACAATCTGATACCGGAAATCCCTCCAAATCCAAATCTCTCATAGACAGAATCGTCAGCTCTCCAGGGCTTGCGGCAAGAGAAGTCGACCCACAAGAGCTCATCCGCCTCCAAATAGAGAAGCTCGTCGTAAACGCAATGATCAATCCTCTGACAGTTATCTTCGATTGCAAAAACGGAGTACTCTTCAATCGTGCTTCAATCGTCTACTTGATGAGACTTCTACTAGCAGAAGCGAGCCAAGTCATACAATCCCTACCAGAGCTTCGCGATGACCCAGAAATTGCCTCAAGATTCTCAACGCAGAACCTCGAGACGATAGTGCTGGATGTGGCGGAGAAGACAGCCCAGAACACAAGTTCCATGCTACAAGACGTCCGCGCTGGTCGAGCTACAGAAATTGACTACATCAATGGGTACATTGTGAAAAGGGGAAAGGAACAAGGTGTAGAATGCAACATGAACGAGAAATTAATACAGTTGGTAAAGGAAGGGAAAGTGATAGAGGTCGAGGACACAAAGTCAGAGTTTGTGCCGGAAAGTTGGCTTGAGGTTGTGTTCGATGTGTTCGATGTGTTCGACATTCTTTCAACGGCTTCATCGTTGAGATAGCAAAGGGACAGGGCAGGAATGCAAGCCAAATGAAACATTGACACAGCTAGTGAAGGAAGGGAAAGTGGTGTGTGCTGACGACCCAAAAGTCGAAGTTGAGCCGGGAAGTTGGCTTTCGGTACGATTCAGCATTGTTGCATGATGCGGATGCAATATATACAGCATTCTCTTCTCACCCAGTAACCATACCCCTCTCTGTATTCAATTTGATCCTCCACCTCCACTTCTATTTCGATTTCTGACTCGGCGTGACTGCGAATGTGGGTCGTACGAACCTGTGGATTGTTAGCAAGAGCGCAATCCATTTTCCAACTCGTCAATCCAGGACGGGGAGGAACAACATACCTGTCCGAGTTATAAGGACTCGTCTGGCTGCCAAGTAGCTCCTTCTCCCTTGCCTGATCCGCATAATGCCTTCTAACCAAATCCCTATCCTCCTCCGCAGTCAACAAAGGGATGAGGTGGATCCTCGACCACATCTTCTCGCGCGCAAGCTCACTATTGCGCCATCATCAGTAAAATGCCCCATGCTCGTCTACCTCCGAGGGTTTCTGAAGAGAATGGTGTACGAGGGCGTACTTCTGTTCCCGAATTCCCTTCCCAACCTTCCAGAATCCAAACGTCATCACGCCCGCCACCGCAAACAGCATAACACCCGGTCTAAATCCCCGCGCGGGAAGGTTTCTCTGGATTCACACCTTCGTTAGCGCGTATCCCGCATATTTGCCTACGATTTCCCGTTGAAGGTGAGTTCATGGGGATTGTATGATCGTCTAATTCGGAGCCTAGGAGTTGTGATCTGCAAATTGTGCGGTAAACGACGCACCTTGTATTGAACGGGCCCATAGCCGCCAGATGGGGGCAAATCTTGAGGCATTGTGACGCTGTGGCTGTTCCAATTGTCCTCCTTGTGCTCTTGAGTGAGGTTGGTTCGTCCCGTGATGGAGCTCATAGAGAAACACGCTAAACTAATTCGGGATTTTCTGCCAGCTATTTCCACCCCGCCCCGTCTCTGACACAGATTCAGGATCACTTTTTTAGCTCCAGGTGAGAATGGAAGTATTATGTATGGGGTCCTCTACGAGGAACGGATTTCGAGTTTCATGAATCGACAATGTCGCGCCATCCTGCTATGCTAAAAGTAAGAACCCAAATAACACCAGGTCCAGTCCACATCTCAGCAGGAATTACGCCGCCATTCATCCATACCGTTGAGCCGTAAAACGCCAACCCGTTCACCATCGGGTATGCAAGAACTCTGCTGCTCCTCTGCTGAAAATACGTAAAAAGGGTAATAAACAAGAAGACAATTCCTAACATCGTTTCACCTCTCCAAGGTATTGGATCTCGCTATCCACCCCCGCCATCTTTAAATTCTTCTTCCTCTCGTTCGAATTCGGCCATCAGATCAGCTTCCAAGTCGTCACCAAATGGATCGTCGCCGTCATCATCATCTCCAGTAGGAATCTGATCTACTGCATCTTCTTCGCCATCCTCATCACCAGTTGGACCCGGTGTGGGCAAGCTGCTCTCAGATTGCATACTATTCGGGGTCTTGACAGTCTTCAATCCCGTCGACCTCGAATTTGCAATTCGTTGTTTCTTCGCCAAGGTGCTCTCGTCTCCGCTATTTTCGTCGTCGGTTATATCACCAACTTTTCTCTTCTTCGGTACGATCTTGTTGCTCGTTCGACTTCGAATGCTGATATCGGAAGCGACGCTCTCTGCACCACTGTCGTTTTCTGACTCGGAATCGTCAGAACCCATGAAAGACTCAAGTTCTTCGTCGATCTCACCCCAGTTGAAACCTTTCAGATCGTCGACTGGGGAATGACCTTCTTCGATTGCTTCAGGCATAACACCTTCTAAGTCTTCGGCTACTTCTTCTTCCCTGGCCGGGACATGATCACTCTCCTCTTCGTCGCTAGCGGAGTCTTCAGAGCTTTCGTCGGAGTCATGAATGGAAGACGGTGCGCTGGAGTTGAAGCCCTCCTCTCGGATCTTGTCTTGCTCGTGAATCTCCACCTATAAAGCGTCAGCGAGAACTTACTAGTACTCAGTGAGTAGTTCTCACAAGATATGAGGTTTCATCATCCTTCTCCCACTTGCTTATAGAATTGAGTAGCCATTGTTGATTCACGATCTTGATATGTTCGTATTTAGCAGCTTGCCGTACTTTATGTGTGCGAGTTCTGCTTGTTGAGGCAACCAAATGGGTGACCTTTCGATTGACCCTACCCACTATTAGTGATCCCAATGAATTAGCCGGATGACAACTTACTTGGTTTGGATCTCTGCCCCAAAGCTAATGGCTTGGATAGCAATCTCGGTTCTACGACGCGCGAGCGATTTAGCATTCTAACCATTCTCGTGGGGTGACAACTTAAGATCATAATGATATTGCGAAAAAAAAAAGTCTATATACCTCATAATATCCGCTTGGAGTGGCACCAAACCGGACATTACTATCGTGCAGCCAGCCAAAGTCTTTGCTCTATTAGACCGTTAGTGGAGTCCACAATAGTACATCAGCACACTCACTTCAGTCGCGGCATGACATTTCCGATATCAGGAACAATTCTCAGATCTGCTGACTCGTCTTTGATGGATACTTTCTTGTTGTGTCCAGGTTTCAGCTGTGCGACACGTCCTCCATGTGCATTGACAAGAGCACGATCGTACTCCTCATAGAACGCCTTGTGCAATTGAGCCAAATGCTTCTCAAGGTATGTCAGTTCAACATCGTCATCTTTGAGAAGATTGTGTTTGTGGTGTGGATGTTCATGTGCTGTATCTCCATTCCTGGACTCATCCGTAATGGTAGCATCATCGTCTTCTTCCTGATCGAGCTTCTCTTGCATATGCAATAATGGGCGTTCAGTCAATTGCTTTTCCAAAAATTTCTCCTGTTCAGCAGCCTGTTCGAGTCGCAATGCCAGATCATCTCCACCACCCATTCTTACCAGCTCTTCTAAAGCACTGACTCGAGAGCCATCTGCCTCCGGTTCTTCCTGTGCCTTTTCTTGGTCCGCTGGCTTGCTCGCGTCCGGGTCCGGGGTAGAATCTTCTCCATTCTTGGTTGAATCTGTCTCATCCGTATCGATTTTCGTGTGCTTCTTCTTCGGTGCTTGTGTCATCTTAGGCAGTTCCTCTCTCTTGGGTAGGAAGCTTGAATTGATGTCTCCAATTCCGAGGAAGAAGTCGTATGGAACGACCTTGATCAGATTTGGTCGGTTCTTTGGCCAAACATCTGCCCGGTCGTCAATGATAACCACCATTTTTGTGTCCACCGGGAAAAGCCGTGCCAGACTTTTCGTAGTGATGTTGCCATTCTCGTCTCTGCTGATAATCCTATCTCCAAACAGCTTTCTGTCGGGATCGACGATCTTGGCGATGTTCATGGCGTATGCGCGAGTGCCCATGGTGTAAACATGTAGTTCATACATCTCCGCAACCTTGTTTAAGAATTCCTTCAGACCAGGCCGCATCTTGATATAGTACCAGCAAGCTGAAGCTAGACCTCGGACACCTTCATCTTTCAGCTGAAATTTTGCCACGTCCTTGACAGCTTCGTGGTTCGGTGAGTTCGGATCGTCTTGCCAGTCTCCAACAGTGGGCTCGATGCATGCGTGTATAATCGTTTGGTCTAGATCGACCACGAGAGAAAGCTTTCTGTGCTTGAGCAGCCGCCGTTGTGATTCTTCCTCAGCTCTTGAAGCTTCATCTTCACTGACTCGAAGGGCAGTCTGATCATGGATCATGTTGATTTTCGCTCGATCTGTGTCGTCCGACGCGGACGCCCAGCTCATTTCCGTCATGTCCTTCCCACACATTCCGCAGAGTCCCTGGAACTGAACTGAGTGTGGACATGTCTCTTCGATATCGACGAACTTCAGATCACTCTGGATGACTGCTCCTTCCTTAATCTTCCACTCCTTTATGGTGCCATCTGCTGGACTATCCCAGTCCGCGATGGTTGTCTGCTCCTCCTCCCAATTTTCCCCAAGGGGGTCGCCAACTGTTTGCATCCACGTGAACTTGTATGACAGGATGGGTTCTTTACGCTTGATCTCATTGCCGGGATGCTTGAGGAGCTTATTGATAGTGATGGGATATTTGAGCTTCGTCCCTAAGCTCAGTAGCTTCCCCATGGTGTCCTCCGTCGCGGTGTCGCACCTCTTGTGATCATGCGGTTTCTGGGTCTTGCGGCCTGTTCCAACGCGCGATTAGTGAATGCTCGATGATGGGTGGAAGAGAGGGGAAGCGCGCGAGTCTCGAGTCTGGGGCAAGCAGCGAGTCTACGAATTCCGCAAGGGAGACCGTGAGGCACGTCGGAAGAGCTTGCGCATGCTCCAAGCATACACGAGTGGGAGTCTACAAGCTGTTGGAAGACCTACGATCTCAATTTGAGCCGTGTAAGAGCTCTCATAGATGTCGCGTGGGGTACAGCTACAGCGATGTATAGGCTCCCGTGCATCACCTCCCCTGCACGCAATATTCACCTTTGACAGTCAGGTCCGGCGGCTTCTTGATTTGGGATGGCGAGAGGTGCCCGGAAGCTCGTTGCGCGATGCAATTACTGGTTGTGGATCGAGATGCGAAGAGGGCCGGCGACAAAATGTATGTCGATGTGTGTACAGGAGAAAGCGACTGCGCACGAGGCCTTTATGGTGTGCCGTAGACGACGGGTGACGTTCGTTCTGCGCGTTGCGGGCGGTGCGCGGTGTGCGGTGTGGTGTGCGGTGGTCGCTTCGCGTTCGGTAGAGCTTGCTTGCTTTGCCTGCCTGCTGCTGGTCAGGAGCGGAAGGGCCGCCTTAAGTGTTGTGGAATAAAAGTGGGTCCGTACGGATGAGCCTCTGATTGGCTGCTGCTCATCGGTCATGCAGGGGCGGCCCGGGCTGCTTTCATCTGCTGATTTTCACAACGTGACTCGCTCATCGCCGCGGTGGAATGGGATGTTCAGCCTCGCGAAGGGTCAACCTCAACCTGAAGTCCCCGAAAGCAGCTGGAGAAAGGCTCGCATTGTGTGATGATGGAAACTTGCTTGGGGTGAGCGGCCTAAACAAAGCAAGCTATTCAAGGTTGACGGGATCGAGAAATTAAGAACTAAACCGTGGTGTCCGACAAACGCTGCTCGGCGCGAACTTAAATGCACCTCGTTCTTTCAATTAGCATATGTCCAATATAGTCTCTATCGCTGTAAGTCTACACCCAATGCCCACCCATGATCCCCAATGCCGTCGTGCGGGCTCGCTGTCTGTATACAAATTATCGCTGCGTTACAATGCATTCCTCATCTCAATGATGCTTCGAGAGATTCGATGTCCAAGCCCGGAAAAAAACCCTTCACACTCCGAATACTCAAACCGTCCTCTTCTCTATTAAACATCACGCATTATCCAGTGGGGATCTCGTTCCCCGATATCTTGACTCCTGACATGTCGGAGCTCATAGTGCGTTTCGTCGCCAGAGACCCACTCTGCGCCATTGTCTCCCCTTGCGTGACGGAGGAGTTAGCAGTTGATCGAAAAACATCGGGTCAATAGAAGGATATCGTCTTGGAGAGAATGGTGGCAATAAGGGATAGGGAACGGGGTTCGCCTCAATACTAACAGTCATGAATGCGTCGGACGAGTTCTGGATCTCCATCATCGCCGATGAAGGTCCAGCTCTCTTCCGAATCTTCGAGTGGATCGTCAACGGTCTTCCCATTTCTCCCCTTGATGAGAGATTTGGCGTATTCCAGATCCCGATAGAGAGATTGAATTGCCGTGTCAACTCCGTCCTCCTACATTCACAATTAGCATTACACCACCAGCGAGGGCCTGTTTTTACCTTTCTGATCGTCTCCCCGAGAACTTTGGCCTTGACAATCATTCTCTGGCTGTTGCAGGCTTCCCATAATGCTCGAGAGAAGACACTAACATTCAGTTTCCTGAGGTGGATACCAACTCCTAGATCCTCAACACGCGAGCCAAAGAAGTATTGATCGCCAAAGAAAGGTTTGATAATGGTAGGGACTCCAGCTCGCAGGCTGGCACCTGTGGTCCCAGCGCCGCCGTGATGAGCAGCGGCATCGATCTGCTTGAACAGCCAGTCGTGGGGAGCTGATTTGATGGAAAGGATTTCAGGTGGCAGAGGAACCTCGATTTCGTTGGCATCCTTCTTGTCGAGACGATCCGACCATCCCTTGGCAAGAATGCATCTTACGTCGGCCTTCAGAATGGATTTGATGATCGTATTCGTCATTGCGGCGGAGTCTTGAACAACTATCGACCCAAAACCTACATAGACTAGTTTTTTGCCGTCATCCCGAGCCTTCTTGATGAAGTCTGACAATTCTTTCGGAGGTGTCCAGGCCGTGCCTTCGTCCAAAAACCAATAGCCAGTGACTCGAATCCAGTCACTATAATCGAGTGGCGGAATAACAACTGAGGGACTGAAGTTGTATAAGAAGGGCACTTTGTTCGGCTGCATCTTTTCGAGGTTCGTTGCCTGCAGACCTAGCTCCCTCTTTCTCCAACGATTGACTTGGCCTGCGACAGCTTTCCAAAATACATTATCAAACATAACGTATGTAATGTAATTATACGCCCCGCCCATTTTATGCTCTGGGACAGCAAACGCATGCGGGTACGCTCGTGTCCTCGTCCACGGCATAGAGAATGCTCGGAAGTACGGAATACCCAAGGCTTCAGCAATATGGATACCGCCCATGGCACTTGGACTCTCTATCAGAATATCGGAGTTCTGGCAAGCTTTCCAGCCAGATGTAAGTAGCTCGTCGATCCAAGCGCGGAATTTTCCTGATGCTTCTTTCAGGAATGAATACGTGAACATGCCATTTTCAATGCATAATCGCATCAATTCGGCAGGATCGCCGGCTACCGGCTCAAATTGGATGCCATAACTTTCAACCCAGACCTTGAATTCGCTATGAGTGGCTATCCTCGGTTTGTGTCCTTCGGCAAGCAATCCTTTGCATAGAGCAATGTAGGGCTGGACGTCGCCGCGTGATCCAATGGTTAAGCAAGTAATCCGTAGAGACTCGTTCGGCTTGAAATTGAGAATCGAAGCTCGAGGGTCATCAAACAATATTGCCGGTGCTTCAGCCCTGACTTCTTCTGCAGTCTTTGGCATCTGGACATCGTGTTCTGCGTGACCTTCGTACCTAGCTTGCTGGAGGGCTTTGTGCTCTGCACTGGCATTTTCAGCGCTCTCTTTCTCTTCCATTGTTAATAATCCAGATTCTTTGAGGTACCGCATAGTCTCCAAATTTTGGAGGAGGGTAATGGCGCAGTCGTCTCGAGTATCCAGCTGACTGAATTCGAAAAAAAGTTCTTCGTGGCCTTTAATCACCACAACAAGGCCAGAATAGCCAAATCGGAACCCTTTCTCTTTGTCTACGTTCTCGATGTCCTTCAGTGGCAGGATGAGCTTAGTTCTTGTGCCAGGTAGAAGACTACGAAAGCAGAAAGACCTGTCGCTGATGTAGATTTTGCCATATAACGGTAAGACTCGATGCAAGAATCCAAAATATGCAGCTTGGAGTTTCTCCGTAGCGGGTAGAGCGAAGTGATCTCTGAATCGATCGCCGGATCCGGCGGCCTGCTCATCGTCGGCATCGTCATATAAGTCATCATTTGGCGCAAGGCCCTGTGGTTCATCGTAATGCTTCTTGCCTCCTTTCCACATGCCCGATACTTTCTCGACGTAACCCATCGATTCCGTGGCCAGTAGGTTACTCATGCGTTTCGAGTGCTTGTTGAGATATCCTGCAAAGCCTGCAGCTCGTTGCAATGGATATGATCCGGCCTTTACAAGACTTTGCAATGTCGGTGCCGAGGCTGAAGGCTCAGCCGGAATTGCGTGAGAAGCTTCCGCGTGTGCGACTGTGTTAGTGCTTTTGGATCTTGGTAATACAGTCCCCAAATTTACTGTATTCCGCGACGGTGAATCAGACCTTGAGTCGACGTTCCCCGGTACCTCTCGGTCCAGGCAACGAGAGGCTGATGCTGACCGCCGAATAGTTGGCGACAGGAACACGTCCGAATCCCTTAATATTTGGCTTGCCGAAGCCTGAGTTTCATCGCTTGCGGAAGGTAAAGCTCCTGAGGATCCAGGTTCTTCTAGCGAATGCACATAAGAGTCGGATGATCCTTGCTTTTCAGATGGCCTCTTTTCCCCTTCCAGACGATTCCTGCTAAAGCTTCGTCGGCTTGTATTTGCACTGCGAGGTCCAGCACCATCCATATTCAGTCTGCTGAGGTCTACACTTCGCCTGCCAAAATTCTTCAGGTCCATGCTCCTTCGAAAAGCATCAGAGCTTGCGCGGCTAAGTTCTGCACTTGGACGAGGACTTGGACCACCGATTGGTGACAGAGTTGCTCTGACACTCTCCTCAAGAAGAGGCGTCGTAGTGCGGATAGGCGGAGGGGCAGGCGGCCGGTGTTCCCTAGGGGATTGCATAGAGGTACGTTTTGAGCTGCAAGCACTCTTTGGGCTATGGGTTCCATCGACCGTTGGTGGGACTAGCATGTGATCAGGGATCTGTTGAGCTGTCGTATCCTCTACCAGAATCTTCAGAACATTCAAGGCTTCTTTCCCGAAACTGAAAAAGGAGAAAAAGTACTGCGAGAAACCGTCAGAAAAAGTCTTGAGACCAGAGATAGACATCACTTGCCTCGTCAATTGCATAAGTCTCATCATTGTCGATGACACGAATCTTGCAAGTATCAGCGAAATCGACGATTTGACTGTCTTCAATGTCGATGATATTCTCAATGGGCAATGATATCTTAACACTATCACCCTCGTTGTGAGAGCGAAAGATAATCTTTTGCAGAGCCTTCACCCATTCTTTGGCACTCGGTATGCTGTCCGCCTTGAAGTTGTATTTCCGCTGATGTGTGACGACTGTAAAATGTGTTGCGTCTTTGCCCTTGTCCTTATCCACAACGTTCGCTGAAATGCCGTAACGCAAGTCTATATTGCCGCTTGGGAAGTATAAGTCGGAAGGATCTGAGTAGTAAGACAAGACATCGCCCTTAAGTCGGAACCAGTATCGATTAAATTTTGGGTTTCGTCGACCCGATTTAGAGAGGTATCCGGACTTGACAACCTCATTCTAAGAAAGGTCAGCTTGAATCTTTGACAGTAGATGGAGACCCACAGATTTCTTGGGTAGGTATGCATAGAAACAAATGTGCTTGGTCGTAATGTACATATAACCTTGAAGGAGAACGCTCTTTAATAGCCAGCAGGGATATTCTATCTCAGATTAGCATGGCAGTAGGCAGGGCTTTTAAACCTTACCTTCTATCACATCTTCAGCTTTTTCGAACTGGAAGATCTCCTGGAGTCTCTTGGCCAGGCTGCTAGATACTCCTTCATCGGAATCATCCATTGACGTAGGACCATCCAGTGTCCGCTGCAGGTCAAAACTTGGCCTCATAGATAACTCTGCACGCGCTTCAAGCATTCGACTCATAACGGGTGCATGATTAAAGTGTATTCGAGACTCTTGCGCTCCGGGGGTTTTAGATTCGCTGGGAGACTCGGGTGTGGAAGTGTCGGATCGTTTTGGGGAGGATTTCGATTTGGACTTGGACCCCAACCCAGATATTGATCGCAGAAGTCTGTTCTCCGAGAACTTTCGTCTGTGATGCCGCTCTGGTTTGGGGGATATCTTCCCCCGTCGAGGCTTGTCTACCTGTAAGTCGGAGGCCTGCGAGGAGGGTTCTCCCGAATCATCGTCTTCGTCGCTCGACTGTCCATCGAATCTAGCATTGAAGTCGACCTGGGATCCAGCAGCCGCGATCATGCCAAAGACAGACTGGTTCATGTACGCGTTCGCGCCATGCATGGCTGTACAGTCCTCCTCCACGTCGTCGCCATCTCGAAATCGCTCCGGAAGCTCGACAGTGACCTTGTGACCCTCCCTTCTCCTCTTGGTCAACTTGCGCGCCATGCGCTTCTTCAGATCCTCCTCCGGCGCCATGGGAACTGGCTCTGGCGACAGCACGTCGAGTTCCAGGCGTGCAGCGTGCTCAGCAGATGGCGAGGTGCAAGGTATGTGAGGTAGGGAAAAGAAGAAGGTTATCGATAAGCCTTGAGCTAACCGGAATCGTGAAAGCCGTGAAAGAACGCGGGAGCCGAAACACTGTCACATGCGATCAGAGGCCAACAAAGGATAAATAGAGATACATGTTGCCGACTTCACGAGCTTGCGGCGAATCACTGGGCATGCGGGATAACTGTTGACTGTGGTGAAATTTTGCTGAGTGAAGGCAGGACAAGGGTCCAGCCAGCAAGAAGGTTTGCCTTGACCAGTTATGCCTGGCGTCAAGTCACTGGCTGCAGGGCCTAGTCAGTTGAGTCACTCCGTACATCCTTCACTTGAAGGATACTCCACAAAGAGCCATCCGTAGAGTAATTAGGGGCTCCAGGGCTGCGGCATTCCATCAAAGAGCCTTTGTTCTTCTTCCCATGACATCATTCTGGGTTTCGCAGAGAGTTTTCCACCCGAGTGCTGCGGCGAAACATAACAAATCACTTCTAGTCAAAGAGAAGTCGACCGTTGTTTCATTACTACAAGAAGTCTCCGCACAACTCCGGTATATCCACAGCCTATAATCAAACAATCATATCATAATACCAGTCTCACATCCACAAGCAGAGTTTCCCACTCGCTGTTCCACCAGCAACCCAATCCCGCGTTGGATGGAACTGGGCAACAGCTGGGACAGCAGTAATGCCCTCACCACTAAGCTGTGCCAATTGCTCTCCATCAGAACTAAATACGTCCACGAATCTGTTCATATTCCCAATGACGAATTTCTGAATTCCATCTTCCGGCCTCTCCTGCCACTGCGGCTTGAGAATCGTTACCCAACGACCTGTTTGATTATTGTGCTGAAAAGTATTAGGTTAATGTGCTTTATTTTGAGTTCTGTTAAGTCACTTACTTTGATGATGGAGGTTGGTTCCATAGCATCACTATCCAAATCGTGGCCAATTTTGAAGGATCCAGCACTGGGGAATGAATGGATCTTTATTGTATCATCATAAGAGGCTGTTGCGACATGGCCACCAGCTGACCAAGAAGCATGGGACACTGAGAGCCGTGACTCGTGCTCTCCCATCAAATCTGGTACTCGTGCATCTCCTTTGCCCTTGATGCTCCGCAAGTCCCAGACCTTTAGCATCCGATCCAGAGAGGCCGTTGCAACAAGATGAGGATGGAGTGGATGCAAGGAAAAGCCACCAATCTTCTTGTCTGTGAGCTGCCAGATCTCGGTGTTAGAGGGCGTGCGCATATCGTGCCTGCCAAATGATCCTTCCAGTGTGGAGAAGTAAAGCAGGTTTGGATCCGTGGAGGGAATGGCGATGCTAGATATTGGTAGATCCTCATCAAGAGAGGCGGGAGCAAATACTTCCACGGCAAGGCCCTTCTGAAGATCGAATTTTCGCACAGAGGAATCGTAGGAGCCAGAGTATAAATGATTGCCGTCTGCAGGAAAGACAAAGGATGTGATTGTTCTCGAATGGAGCTTTAAAGCAGTAATAGCAGGCTCAGGGGCATCTGGCTCCTCTTCATCATCGCCATTATCCTCGGCTTTCACTTCGGGTCCAGTTTGTGATGCATCGAAAATCCCCATATTCCCCATTTTATCTCCAGCAAATATGAGAGGTTTCTCTGGTGAGGGGTGAAATCCAAGTGAGTATATTCTCTCAGGAGTTATTTTTATCTCTGGGACGAATCAGCAAAGATTTCTGAGTGTGTGGGGCCATACATACGATTCGGTTCATATCCTTCGTATAACTGCAATCCACTCATTTTCTCCCGTAACGCCTTCAAGCCTTCATCGGTCGTCTCCTGGATATCATCCTCGGTGAAGGTTCTCACGTTTGGCTGCGCGCCTCTCATGATGCCAGACAGGAAGTTGTCATCCTTGTTCCACTTCTTTCCCTCAACAACAATGTCATTGAAATTGAGGTCTCCCGAGACCCTCAGTTTCTTGGCCTTGGCCTGTTCTTTGGCAAATTCATAGTCGACTTCCGCTTTGCGTTTCGCAGTTTCACTATCGGCTTCCAAGCCCGCAATCCGCGAACTTGTCCTCGTAGGCCGCGGCTCCTCTCTCTTTACGGGAGTCGCCTTCTTTCGAGTGGTTGTTGACTTTGGTTTTGAGACGGGCTTTGGCATAATCTTTTCCGCGGATGTACTAAGGTCTTTCAATATTGCCTGGTTGGCAGCAATATTCTCGAGGCGCTTGCGCTCGAAGGCGCTCATCTCAGCCTTTTCTTTCTTGACTGGAGGCATCTTTCCGATCTTGTGAGCCTATGTGTATGGATCTGATTGTCACGACGGTCGAGGTCGTTGAAGTCGTTAAAGTGATTTACGCGAAAAGGCGCGCTTTCACCCTGACGCGTTCGATGGCACGTGGACAAAAGCTAACTGTATCCGGATAGCTTATTTTGCGGAGTTACTATTTGTCCGGACCAAGTCAACATCTTTTCTCGAATCTCACTTGACCTTCTCATTTTCAACGCCTAGTCTTCAACAACGAAACAACGATCCGCAGACTCCATGACTCGAATAATACGATTATGATCTCCCGGTGCTCCATCACCTTTTTGCAGCAATGATTTCGAGCCGGACGGCGGCAAAAAATATGCCAGTCCCATTTTCTCAAATGTCAACAACAGCAACAACAGCGGCGCCATTCCTGTACCACACCAGGACTTTGACCAGTTTCGCATGGAAAAGATACAATGCTATCTGCCAGGCCAATTGTGGAAGCAGATGCATGTATAGGAATTTCAGCGGCTCAAGTCGACTTCAGCGATTGCGAGAGGGAGCCAGGATAGCCACTACAACCTCCGCGCCAAAAATTGGTAACAAGGGCGGGTTTTCTATAAAGAGAACCACCAATATGTCAGGTTCGGAGCCCCCATCGAGGGGCAGCTGGGAATATGATCTTGATAAGAGCTCCTTTCGCAGCTCGAAGGAAGGACAGAAAGAATTCAAGATCAGACAACATTTCACGAAGTCATTCGAACCGGATGAAGTGGGAGACTTGGAAGATTTGGACGGGAATGCATTCACGATGCCGAAAGACATTGATTTCGATGAGGAATTTGATGGTCAAGCCGGTAACCTCTGGGGCAAAGACGAAATCCACGAGTTGACTGACAGGCACTCAAATCGCGGATCTACCATAACACTTGCCGAGAGACACGCATTCCAGAAGATTTTTTCAGACATGTTGAAGAGTTCTCAGCGTCCAAGCCGCAGAAAGGAAGGCCTGTTCGGCAATGATGATCTGGAAATGGTTGTCGGACCGAAAAGTAAAAAGAAAGCGAAATCTAAGCTCGATGACATTCTCACCAGCGCCATACTAAGGGAGTCAAGGGAGTCGCTGGGCAACGAAGAAAGTTTAGAAGCAGTAATCGAACGATATCCTCCAGCTCTCCGGCCAGCCGCTGCCAGAGCTCTGGGCTTCACTGCTGGTGAAGCGGAAAGGGCTGCTTCATTAGACCGCCAGGAATTGAGTGAGGAAGCACTTGAGGCTTTGAGGAAACCCGAGTGTACTAGAGTTGAAGGGTTGATGAAAAAGGCCAAGACTGATTTCGAACTGTGGGACGTCATGGAGGTGGAGGTTTTCCCCTTGATTGCAAAATTGGGGCTGGAGGACGCGCCGTCCACTTCCCAGAATTCTGAGGTTACTAAAGTGGCCAAGAGCAAGAAGAAGGGTGCGAAGAAAACAAATACCGAAGAGACCCCAGAGGTGAAAGAACTGGCCGAGCCCAGCCCACTCATCGAAGCAGAAAATGGGGTCTCGCCTCTGTCGCTATATGGCCCCCTGTATCCATCGTACCTCCTCCTTGGTCTCCGTCTCCTAGACCGCGGTTTTGCTAAACCGTCTCCCCTCGCACTCGCTCTCCTACCCAGAATCAAATCCTTCGGCTTTACCTCACACGTGCTGGGCGCAAGTACGCAATTTTACAACGAGCTCCTCAGGATCTACCACTACCGACAAGACGACTTTCGCGGGATGCTCGATCTTCTGGCCGAGATGGAAAGCTCGGCTCTTGACGTCGACGACGAGACCCTTGGGATTGTTCTCGATGTCATTAAGGCCCAAAGGAGTATTCATTTCGGTGCTAAGGGACCTGCTATAAAAGCCTTGTGGAGCATGCCTGAATTCTCCCACCGCAAATTCGAATTTTGGAGGGGCAGCATTCACAGAGCAATATACGAGAGGAACGAGGCCAGGCATTGACCGATCAAGGCGAGCAGAAGGCGTACGTGCTTGGGGAACGCTTTTGTATAACATCATTGTACCAACCAGACCTTAATATATCATCTGTGGTATCGTTTTATGCCCTCCCCATCATATGCTTTCACATGCACTCTTTCACAAGCACGGTCTTTTGGTGTCATCGTGGCCCCCTTTCATTCCCCTATCCTACCCTCGTCCATTTGCGTTTTCGTCTGGGTCTCTTTCCGGAGCTCCATTCGACGCTTCACTCTGCGAACTGCTCCTCCTGAAGAAACTCATGATGCCGGCGCGTTTGCCATCTGGGCTGGTGGAGAAGACACTGGATCGCCGTCTTGTGCCGTCCGCATTCAACCTAACGGGATATATCACATCCGAAGGTCGCCCTGCAAGACGAAAAGTTGCACATCAGCCTCTAGAAGCGCCCCGACCGCCAATCCCACTAAGAATGGAACCTACGAATGTTTCCCGCACCACCAATGCCATAGCTCTTTTTCCGCTCAATGGTAATCCCACCGTCCTCAGATGCAGACATCCTTGGCTTCGACTTGTGTGTTCGGTCGGCTGGCGGAGCTTTCCCGTCAAACCGCACTCTCTTCTTTGGGACCAACTGCTCAAGACTCGTATTGCGATTCGATCTGTATCCGTATCGATATGGGTGGCTGTGGGAATGGGTGCTATAGATGCTCGCTTGGTATCTCAGGCTGGGAGGGGCAGACATGTGGTCAAGATGCAACGAGGAGGCGGATATAGATAGGGAGATCATGCCTGTCGGGGGGGTGGCAAACTACGGCACAATGGCACGATAGGTAGGGCTGTGATCGACGACTGACAGGGAGGAGGATGAGAGTAAAGTCGGAGCGTTGGGGAAGGGAGGGGGGTGCAGCGGGAGCTGTCAGCGACTGGGGGCTTGGCACTGGCATACATATATATCCTCTCTGGCAGGAAAGCAACACGTCGCGCGACAGAGAGAGATAACCGGACACAACGCCATTCGCCGTGGCGGGCAGCTGCTTGCGGCTGCTGATGGCTGCTGATGGGCCGCTGATGGCTGCTGATGGCTCCTGACCTCATTTCGCTCCGCCTGCCGTTCAATGGGGGGCCGGGGCCCGGGGGGGCAGATCGTGGACCACAGAACGGGAAAGAGCAGAGGAGGAGGGCTGCCCAGGGGGGCTCCTCACTGGAGGTGTGGAGGTGTGGAGGCGTGGAGGCTGGGCGCGGGACCCAATGCGGAGCAGAATGCTTATCGGTGGCTGGCCGAGGGCGTGTGCAAGCGTGTGGAAGGGGGCTGGTCTGGCTTCAGTGGCATGGCCGCATGGAGCGCTGCCGTGCCGGCAAACCCCTGCCAAGCCTGGCAAGCAATGACAAGCTTTTTCTGGTGGACCGTGGAGCTGCGGCAGCATGGAGGAATGCAGATCTGATCGGTCAATCGCCCAGTGCGGGGCGGCAGGGGGAGAGATAAGGCGAGGCGGGGTTGCACACGGCTCTCACGCTCTCACGCCCTCACGCGACACCCATCACCTTCTTCAACTCAAGAATGCAAGCGAGAGAGAGAGAGAGAGAGAGAGAACGCAAAAATACAGCACAGTGCAATACAATACAGCAAAGTCTCACTCGGTCCGCATCGGAAATGGCCAGTGGCGTGGAGTTACCCGTCCCCCACATTGCTTTTCCCGCCTCCCTCGAGGCAATCTTACTCGAGATTGACGGCATCGCTTGCCATGCAGCTTTCCATCCCGAAGCCTCGCACAAAAGCAGAAATGTTCGAGAACACGGTTGCAAAGTCCCACCACACCTCTCACATCGATCAATATTCGAAGACATGTGAAAAAGTATTATTACGATTGATTGATTGATTACTTTGTCCTATCTGCGATGCTGCAAATCCCCCCGTCGTCAGAGAGATCTCCCCCATTCAGAACCGGAATCCCATCTGCGTCCAGAAGTCGCCGTCTGGAAGTACAAGAACGGAAAGTGCTCCGTGTGAACACGGGAACGGGTATCATTGTAACCTCAAATCGTTGACCCTGAACGCCCGTGTTGTCATATGCTCGCTAAATGACTACAAACCAAAGCAAATGCTACCTCTCGCTCTCCTGTATGGTCCCGCTATCTCACTGTAACCCGCTTCCTGTTCTTCCCATGGTTCATGAATCGATTTGTTTGTGCATATGCCAAGAGGTTGCCGTTGTCAACTGGCACATATTTGGAGGCTGAGGGTACACCTGCCCGCCCAAGTAGTCCTGCTGTAGTTCCCAGATCCTCATCCTCGTCCTCGTGCTCGTCCTCGGTCACGAGACTGATAACAACTCGATCCTTAGCATTTTCCTTCGATGGAGTTTTAGAACTGCTGCTGTTTGCTGTTTGATTCGCTCTTGACTTGACGCTGCTCTTCAGACTAGATGGCTGAGCTGAGTAAGACGGGGCAGCGGCGATCTCTTTGTTGGAATCCCCATCGTCGTCATCGTTGCTGAGAGGTTCCGGTCTTCGACGACTCTGATCCCTCCTAACATCGTCTAGCTTCTTAACGAGAGTTGATGCATTCAAGGATTGTGCTTTTGGGTGTTGCCGATTTGTAGGGCGGGATGCCGGACCGCTTGAGGACGTGGTCGAGGGAATTATGACCCTGGGCACTTTGCGACTCCGTTCATGTGCCATCTCCTCCGATTTCTGTATCATGCCGTGCGGTCTTTTGCGTGACGTGAGTTTGGCTTGCCTAGATTTCGAGTTTTCGCCACTTTCGGATAACGCGAGCTCATCGCGACTGCTAGGGGTCCTAAGCTCAAGTGAACCCAGGAAACGATGGAAAGTCTCCTTAGGAAGACTGTCTTCGTCGGCCGAAGCCTCCATAGAATCGGGAATTTCTCTTCTGCTTCGACCCGTGTTGGTAAAGACAGGTCGGTTAATGGAACTAATCGATGATGCACCCTCTTCGCCCATGGGTGATTCCAAATCTGGCACAAGTCTACTTCCCCGAGCTTTTTTGGGTGCGACGGTCCGACGGTTTGCCTTACCAAGACTCTTCGAGGCCAGTTCGGCATCAACAACAGGGGTAGTTTGCTGCTTTGCGGAGGCTTTGACCTGTTCTGTCTTAGGTTTACTGCGCCGAGCCGAGGTGTGTATAACGATCTCGATGCCGGATCGTCGTTCCTTCAAAACAGGTGAGGAAATGTTGTCTTTCGTTGGCAGCGGTTCATTGTCGGGATCGTTCTTTAACCATGCTTCCCGCAGCGAGAGTCCAAGGGCGAGCGCAACACTCCTAGCAACGCTGTTGCCCATTAACTTCCACCCCTCAGCAGGGCTACCAAGAAGGATTTCGTCATCCGGGAAGCTTTGGGCCCTTCTGGCTTCCATTGTCGTCAAGTATCTGTGATCGTCCCAATGCAAGTTACAACCGACTCTACTGTCAGCTGCGGAGAGGGCGACGACGATTGTTGGGAAGAGCCCCTTTGGACTGACTCGACCCCATGCATGGGAACCGTGCTTTGTGTTTTCACGGAGTTTTCCTTCTCTGGTATACAGCGGGAAGAGATCTCTTTGCTCTTGTGTCATTACACCATTTGACTCATTCCAGGCTTTTGAGAAGTTCATCCCTCGGGGAAAGGTGGGGATTGCTCTGATCTGGTTTCTGAGGTCTGTTGACATCCCAGATCCCGAGACGTGGTCAGGCTCCTTCGTGCACTGATATGTGCATCCGTCTCCAATTCTTCTGTAACGGGGGAGTCAGTCAGCAATTGCTCATTTAGGGTTGTTTCGGGAGAGGTATTGTCTTAGGAGAATCTCATGAAACAGTTGAAGATAGGAAAGGGTTTCTCGCCCAAAACCTACGGGAGATCTTTTGTCGCATCACCAGCAGTGACATATTCAAATGGGGTTAGCCCTCGAATTCGATGACCAAAGCTCTGGCCGTTTGCTAATTTACCAAGCCCAAAATCTCTAACCTTTGGCGGATGAGAATGGGATAATTCTGGATGCTTGAGCGGCTCGAGACCAGGAGCTGCGAACGCGACGAACAGTCGAGTCCTCGACTGAGGGCTTCCGGTGCTCCAAGCGTCAAGAACGAACACTTGAAGTTGAAACCCGATCCCAACGATAGCACAAATTAGTTGAGATAAGACGTCTTTGTCTCGGTTGCCGGACTTCTGTGCCATTGCCATGACGTTCTCCAAGATGCCGTACTTGGGTCGGTAAAAGTCGACGTAAGACGCCACCGAGGCGACAAGAGACTGGTTCTTGAGGCCAGTATCATTGTTCCGTGCAACATTCAGCTTGCTGAACCCTTGGCAAGGGCTTCCAGCAGAGATACAATCGACTTCACCTGGAAATGGTATCAGGTCAGACTTCTTGGGATTCTCCTGCAATGCTTGTTTGAGGAGATCGTCCACTGAGCCATAAAAAAGCTTCGTTCCCGCAGGGTCCTTCAAGTTAGCTGAATATGTGTGGATAGCGTTCTTGTTGAGGTCCACAGCCCATTCGTTGTGAACAGCACCGCCTTCTTCAATACCTCTGCCGAAATTTCCACCGCCACAATAAAGATCCATCCCTCTGAGTACTTTGCGGCTTTCCGGCAGGATGCTGGTTGGATCAAAGCCCTGTATCAGAGTTTGTGGAAGATCTTCTTCAATGGGAATCAATTTTGAGATGCCATTCTCTTCCCTTAACCGAGAGGTGATGTAAAATGCGTTCCCAGTACCATCCCTACTGTATGGAGCTGGGATACGACGATCTTCCGCGTCGGATTCTCGGTAGAGACGAACGAGGCATGTACGTTCAAGCTTGTTGACGCTAACTTTTTCTGTGTGGCTCGTGGTATAGACCAATTCGTTGGGCCGGCCTGTGCCATCGATCTCTCGTCTCCTCCGAAGGCGGTTCAGAACTGCGAAATGTTTAGACCCTTCTGTGATATACTTTACAATCTCGTAGGGCTCCAATCCGTGCCGGGACTTCTGAGATGGAGCGATAAGGACAGTCTGGCCGATTGGGTATTTGCTCAGGTTTATTGATGTCCCAGTCTGGTCCCGCTCCTTCAGATGCTCACACTTTTTGTGTGCTTCCTGCAAGGTGACAAATCTTTCGTTCTCTAGATAGGTTTGTCGAACAACAAGTCTTCGGCCTGCTTCTGATGGATAGCCATGCCATAGAACGCTAACAACGTCCAAAATTTCGTCCTCTTCAATCCTTTTGTGCGAACAAGTACAGTTGTCTGAAAGAAACAGTTCATTGGGCCATGGGTATTTCATGAGACCGCACATGGTGTCCGCCGGAGAGTACAGCCAGATTGCGTCGTAGGATTTTTGGCCATTGTTTGGCTCATGGATCCCCTGAACGCAAACATACCAACAGTCGCTAGCTGCTTTCCATTGACTGGCTTCGTCCTTCCAGACTGAGCCCCGCCCATCTTTAGTGACAGATAGAACATCGCCAATCTTGATGTGTTTGATCTTTTTCTGCACTGTGTGGACCTGAACTGTGACTTCGGTGAGCCGGTTAGGAATGCGACTCGCTGGTGATTTATCGGGTTTGCTTGCTGATAGGGAGCTGGTAGTCAGGTCTAGAATTTTGCCTTGCGTTGTTTGCTGCATTTTTGAGATGCTTGACGGTTCGATGGGAAGCAAGTGATGCCCAAAGCTGATGTCCTTGAAGCACTCATAGACATACGGAGTGACCACCGTCATTTTTTCTTGTATTTGCTGGTTTGGAACCGAATCTCTTTCCATGGTCTCGCGCCAGATCGGCTGAGACCTCAGGCCCCCGTCCACCCCAATGCTCTCCTTGAAAAGAAAGGGGATATTTCGAGCAACAGCTCGTCTAAAATCTTGGTTACCATATTCCTGGTACCAACTGTTGAACGCCAACGAGGCCCCATGAGTCTGCTTCAACCAGGCATAAAAGTCTAATCTGAAATGGTGGATAGAAACTGGATGCTCGCTCGATTGGCAAAAATCCACAAAATGTTTTGCCAGATTTGCCAACCAGAGAAAGCCTTCATGGAAGCGCTCGTATTCGGATGATGGCGTTGCCAAGCTGTAAAAGATATTCGACTTTGACTTTTCGTTCAATACTGACTGGATCCAAATATCCCTTCCAACTTCGTCAGAATCCTTGCCATAATTTCCGATAGAGCAGATCTCGAACGGAACTCCTTGCACATAACGTCTTGTACTGCCTGTGCTCAGGATTCCGTCAAAATAAAAACTCCCGCGACCGGTTTTGGTCGCAAGAACCTGCAAACCTTGCATCTCACACGGATGCCATGTGTTGCTCGGCGGAAGATATACAGCAAAATTTGAAAGCTCGAGCTCTTCAAAATATGCATCGTATTCGCCATTGTTGGGCCCCGAAGACTGATTGGCAAGCTTTTGTTGTTTCAGAGCATCCATCAGATCCTTAACAGCCACTTTTTCCTCGCAAATATCGAGAGGAGGTTTGTATCCGTAATATTGTGATCGTGGGATCGTCAATTGCGAAGGCTGAAGGGATGCTTGGCCATGACTTTGTTGAAAACTTCCCCGGAGATTTTCCGACTCGGATACAAGAGGTTGATCGTGGCTATCTGAACCGAAAACATTTTCATCGAGCTCGCTCTCGCTTTCACTCTTGTCGGGATCTTGGTTTGACTCGCAGACTGGCGATCCGGCTGGGCTTGAGAAGCCTGCCCATTGTGTGCTGGACGCTGAGGAGCTTTCGCCCTCTTCACTAATCTCGTCTTGGTCTTTGAACAGAGGCTCGGTAGCGACATGGTTCGGAGAGAATGAGTTCGCAGCATCATGGAAGGAATTGCTCGAGGAAGACCGGAAGGGGTTCTCGAATTGATCTGGTTTCTTGTCAGTACTGGGTGAACTCTCTCGACATGGAGCAGATTTACCCAATATCATAGGCGGCATGTTTATTCAAAGCACCTCAATCCTAGAAGCAATCCAGTTCAGCCAGATTGCAGTTAATTGTGCAAATTGGGAGGAGAGGCATATGTTTGAGGTGCACGATTAGATCGAGATCTGAAATAGCGTGCACAAAACTTCGAGGCATCTCGAGTGATTGAGGTGAATTTCGAAAGATTAATTGGACATAATGCTAACATTTTCAGACAGTCAAAGGCGAAGTCCACCCGTCTTCAGACTGTCTGTTCTGGTGGTGGCTTTGGAGGCACGAAAACGTCTCCAGGCGTTCCCTCAACATGCAAGGGAACGCGTCCCAGCCACTCTTTAAACACACTTCCGCTTTAGGTAAGCCGATGGCGCAAGTCAGACACAACCCAAAATTTACATCCAGAATGTCTTTCATTCTTGCCCATGAGCACTGTGTTGGAACCCTTGCGCCAGAGCTGCTGTCTTGATTTCCGATCTGAGGGCAATATAAAGGCTTTTTCTTTACACCTCTGCCTTGTGAGAAGTATAGTAAGAATGTCCTAAGAGTAAATGCACTGCTCAAAGCTTTGCGCCCACGTACCTATGTCAAAATGTCCCACAAAAGTTCGTACATTCCAAATCTCTAGCTCAAATCAAATAATCGAATGTATAGCATTTCGAGGGACATCGGAATAGGAGGCGTTAATGAATGTACCAGAACCTCTTCTACATCGATATAATGTGGAACTACGTTGGACATAGAGTAATTGCAACAGCTCTTGCCACTTCTTTCTAGAAACTGCTACAGTGATCTTCTATTTAATAGTGACTGAATATGTCGAGAGCATGATGCTGACTTGTTAATCATTGTCCAACAAATTCTTTCCATCTTTTCAATCCAGGTCACAGTTGCTACCAACGCCCATTCCAAGAGCCCCATGACTCTCGGTTCAGCCTCGGGGGCTAGCAGCGCCGAACTCCCGGAAGACAGCCGAGTGGCACTGCCCAGTCATCGCATAGTTGACATCGAGTCAACTCGGACTGCTTCCAATTCACTTATAAGGTTGTACGTGCGGTAACTCAGCTTGCTTTTGGCAAAAAACTATAGAGACATGGACTTCCAAGTGTGCCTACATGCCCCCCTTCGATTACCCTCCGCGTCGTATGTATTCTGCCCTGCACTTCTCCCCCCAAACAAAGCTAATGGCAAAGAGACCCCACACATCACTACTTCCAAAGTCGCACCTTGAATAATGGATTCAGAATCCGACAATGAATTGGGGCTTTGGAGCTTCCGACCCGTGCGCCAGTTTTTGCGTGCCTTCGATTCCGAGACCGACGCTCCTGAAGCTTCGTCCGCTCCTGATCCGCTCCTCTACAACCCGAAAAGCACTGTCCCAAAGAGTCTGGGTGATTTCGACAGATTCTTCTCCTTCTGCGGAAAACCACTGGAGATAACCACGCCGAGAAGCCACCGCAGATCCAATGACTCCTCATCCGCCCGATCAACGGGGTCTACGCCACCTTCGTCCGCTCCTGATGACGATGCTCCAGTTACGGCTGAACAATTTGACAACCACAACAGCAAGTCGAAGGGGAAGGAGGTTCGGTGGAAGGACCAGTTAGGCAGAGAACTCACAGAAGTACGCAGGAGAAGCGCACATGGCGCAGTTGGAGACTTTGACGCCGCTGTCATTGCTCGATTGATCGAGGACGATGGCTACGAATCTGACTCCGAACCATCTTCCAATACTCGGCGGCCCATACATTCACCAAATCGAGAGAGATCCGTACATTCTCCAACTCTCAGTCATCGAAGTGATCCTACAGCGTTTCTCCCAGCGTCTGTGACACCACCCAAGAGATCCTTTATCGGCCGACCTCCTCCTCCTATCCCAACAATACGAGTTGATCCATCAGTAATACAACCATTCTACACCCTGACTGTCAACGAACAGAAGGCCAAACTCGTCAAAAAATTGCTCAGAAGGTTCCCTGACGAGTCGGACATTTCAAACTCAATATCTCACGTGGGAAACAAAGACGATGACGGCATACATGTCTTCGTAGACTGTTCGAACATCATCATCGGTTTCTATAATCGATTGAAGTACAACAGGAAGATCAGCCCAGTCGCATATGTGAGACAACCACCATTTTCCTACCATTCGTTGGCTCTTCTCCTCGAGAGAGGGCGCACCGTCGCTCGACGAGTCCTCGTAGGATCAAATCCGCGACCTTATGCTTCAGAACGAGACTTGCCCGACTACATGCAGGAAGCTCAGATGTGCGGTTACGAGGTGAACATGCTAGAACGGGTTCAAAAGCTGAAGCGGCCAACGCTACGAAAGAAAAAGAATGGCTCCGGCAATGGGTATGCTACAACTTCAGGGCAGTCATCTGGTTCCGAGACAACCTTTTCGGGCATGCCTGTTGTTGCAGAGCAGGGTGTAGACGAAATTTTACAAATGAAACTCCTCGAAAGTGCGTATCCCAGTTCATTAACTATCGAATTGTCGAACATCTGGTGCAAAATTGGGCACCTACGCTGACCGTTACTTTCTAGGCTTGGTTGATACACACAATCCGTCGACAGTTGTCCTTGCCAGTGGAGATGCTGCTGAAGCAGAATTTTCTGGGGGCTTTCTCAAATGCGTCGAACGTGCTCTTTCCAAGGGATGGCAAGTCGAAATTGTAGCCTGGAGCGATGGGCTTAGCCAAGAGTATAGATCCCAAAGATTCGTAAACAGATGGGAAGGTCGATTTAAAGTGATCGAGTTGGATGATTTCTGCGAAGAGATGTTGGCTGCGTATATTTCCAAACATACCTTGGCGTTTTAGGGAGTTTACTTTGCTTTTTTCAAGCATATATAGAGTGCGGCGTTTCAGGGGCAGGAGAATCCCATCGATTTGGGCAAATGGTTGGGAGCGTAGGCTTGGGTCAGGCATTCTGGCGCATGGGTTTGGATGGCAGCATTGGTAATGAGTTTATGACTTACAATTAGCATAGCATCGGGACATGACCCCCCAGCGAGTTGGTCTTTTGAGAGCGCGGCCGATACAGTACAGAATCAGGTTATTCAGTGCTAATTACGTCTTGGTGGGCTATTTCTTGGTGGCGGAACTTGTGAGGTAAATAAGGCAGGGGCTATCAAGTCAATTCCGGGTAATTTCGTCAACAACACCTTCTATCGCAATATGGCCTCCGCATCTACTCATGGACGCCCCCTTCCGTTTGATACAATCCCCCCTATCCCAAGCCCCCCCCTCTCTAGGCCCTTGGCAATGATTCAACCACGCTCGTTTCCGTTCGGCCTCGGTTTTTTCACGAGTCTCCTCTTGCTGCTCTTTTTCTACGTTTCAAAGCTGTACTTCTTCAGGTGGGTGTTGGAGGAGAAACTCGATCCGAATTCCTAGCTATTTTGTGATTATATTTTGGGGCAATGTCCTAGTTTTCCCCGGACAATTTGTATCAAGCAATCGCTGACCGTTGGACTAACCAGGCAATACCCATATCATATTATCGGGCCTCATGCTAGACAACCACTGGCGAACAATATTGAGAACAGCACCCTGGGCTTCGAGAAAGTCTTTGTAGTTGGCCTTCCGGAGCGGAGTGACAAGAGAGACGCACTAGCCCTGACAAGCAGCTTGACGGGGTTCAAGATTGACTGGATCGACGGAGTCAGAGGGGAGACTATTCCGGACAAGGCTTTGCCCTTCGGCGTTGACAGGCTGAAGCTGTGGGAAACCAATTTGGGAAGCTGGAGAGGGCATATGAACGCGGTGCGAACGTGAGTTCTCTTCAGTTTAATATACGAAAGGAAGTATTAACCCATCTCTTTCAGAATCGTGGCGGAAGGAATATCCACCGCCTTGATCCTAGAGGACGACATGGACTGGGACGTACGCTTGAAGTCCCAACTCAAATTGATCGCTGTCGGTGCCCTCGATCTCCAATATCCGTCCACAAAGACGTCGCCGCTTCCAGAAAGCTCTCCATATGGCAATGATTGGGATATATTATGGCTCGGCCACTGCGGCGAGGTCTTCCCTGAGCTGCTCGAGGAGAACGCAATAGAACCTCCCACGGATCCTGATCTCGTGTCTGTCTTTCGGAAGTATACCATCTATCCAGACTCGACGGTGCCACCTCCAGAACATACTCGTGGCTTTCAAAACTTCTCTGCACATCCATATACACGCTGGGTCCATACGAGTGGAGGCCCAATCTGTAGTTTCGCCTATGCTTTGTCTCAGCAGGGGGCGAGGAAAGTTCTCTTCGATCTTAGCGTTGATCATTTGGCAGGGCCGTTTGACAATGCGCTAGCTGGGCTTTGCAGATGGGGAAGAGGGAAGGAGAGGCTAGGGATGAGATGCTTAAGCGTGACGCCGCCGTTGTTTGTGCATCACAGAGCAAAAGGGGCGGTCAATGGTGATTCGGACATCCAATCGATCGGCGCTGGGGAGTTGAGGGAGGTCGGTACAACTGAGAATATTGTCTGGAGTGCGAGGCGTAACATTAGAAACAGTTTGGTCGGCGGTATAATGGAGAGCCAGTTTAGCTAGGGAGTGTTCGAGGGTATACTTGTGATCACGACCGGTAAATTGTCCGAGCATGGAGCTCAAGGGGAGACGTTCGGAAAATTGATGGGCTAATGAATGCATAACTACATAACGTGCTACGAAATCAAGATGCGTTGCCTGCAAAACTCCTCTGCCCCAAGGAGCTGATTTCAGCGTTAGACTGTTGTGATGCTGCCCATACAATAGCCACACCACAGACCCAAGCAACTCGCGCGCCTGCCGTTATGCTAATCTAGTTACACACTTCACCACTATCGACGTCGGTCTCCCACTGACTTGTCACACTGGCCGAAACAGGAAAGTTCAGCCTTGGTAAAACGCGTTGCAGCTTCCCCAAAACTAGTTGCGATAAGCAACAATCTCATCAATCCACACCTCAACCCCATCAAAATGCATACCGCTAACGAAATGGTGTCCAATATCCGCGAAGCATCGCGCCTTCTCGTGCGAGAATTGGGTTTTATGTCCCCGACTCTAGCAGGAACAGAACTTCCTGCTTCTGCCGTTCATGCCATCATAGAAATCAGCCATTCCACGCCAACGACGGCTTCATCACTCAGCAAAACATTGAATCTTGATCGATCAAACATCAGCCGAGTACTGGCCAAGCTTGTGGAAGCAGGCGCCGTGATTGAGACACCAAATGCCTCGGATGGAAGACAAAAGATACTGTCAATTACGGACGAAGGCAAGGAAATTTCGGGCAGGATTGACAAGTTTGCCAACGAGCAGGTGATGAAGGCTTTGAAGAACCTGCCAGCTGGCTCAGCACCGGAGCAGATCTTGGGTGGAATTCGGGCGTATGCTACGGCATTGAGAGCGCAAAGGCTTGGTGAGGAGGTGAAGCCTGTCGAGGGAATGGCCATTATCAGTGGATATCGGCCCGGATTGCTTGGTCGTTGCTTGGAGATGCACATGCAGTATTATTCCCGCGCTGTTGGCTTTGGAGGCGCTTTTGAAGCTCAGCTTGCGACTGGATTGGGAGAGTTGCTGAACAGGCTGGATAGCCCGAGGAGTGAGGCATGGGTTGTGACAGATGGGACGAAGATCTGTGGGACAGTCTTCATCGATGGAGAAGGATTGGGTGAAGGCAAAGCTCACCTCAGGGCTTTCATCGTGGACGATACCTTGAGAGGTCGGGGATTGGGTCGGAAGCTCATTGGAAAGGCCATCTCATTCGTAGATGATCATGCCTTTACTGAGACGCACCTGTACACTTTCAGGGGACTTGATGGTAAGTCAACTTCTCTGAGCAAAACTCCCCACTTCGCACGTCCTGGGAGCTACCCATTCCCTAGACGTCTCTTGGGAGACTGCTCGCAATACAGCGCCTCCCTACTCTACATAACCTCCTTTGACACAATACTAATGCGTGCACTCGGGGTCGTAGCGGCGAGGAGATTGTACGAGTCTTGTGGCTTTGCCTTGGCAGAAGAGGCTCTGAGCAATAAATGGGGGAAGGAAATGATGATCCAACATTTTGTTCGCACTCCTTCTAGATAATCCGACTCCGGTACAGTAGTCGAACATTACCTTAATCCCCCATTGGGTTTGGTGTTTCTCGATGTGCGCCAGTTCGGGACGGCCCGGCGAAAGCCCCCAATGAAAATTTGCTTTGAACTCGTCCCTCTACTAAATTAGATCGGGGATAGTGCAAGGAACAGCCACCAGAGCTGCAAGGAAGAGGCTATTGTGGTTGCATCAGCCGGCGAATCGTTCGATTGCTATCGTGAGGGGGGTCTCCCTAGAAACTGATCAGGAGAAAGCAACCTCGCGCAGACTGAAAAGGCGACGTTAAACTTCCGTCCCTACTCCAATTCAAACGTTTGTCTGAAGTCGGAGAGCGTAGGACCTTCATATATTAGAATGTCTGCGAGATATTCGAATAGTGTGCGGTTTGAATATTGATGTGCAATTAATTGAGGGAATATTCTGCCGCGAAGGGCGGCTGGTGAGAGTGAGAAAGGGAGGGGGGGAAGAGATGACAAAGACCAACAAAGCTAAAACATGAAACCATAGATCGGAGGCCTGTGTCGTTGGGTTCCTAGCGCTTTAAGCGCTGCTCCTTGCTTCGGGAAAGAGGCCTGGGAACAACGCTGCAGCTTTCCAAAAGTTTAAGGACAGCTCTTGCACGATGGCTGGCCACACTCCCGTACTTTTCTCGCAGAAGCTCCTCCGATCCTGGTCAGAGAAGGGCACGGGCACTATTTTAGCGTTTAGCTTCGCTTTCGGGGGGAGGGGGGGGGGGCAAGCAGGCAAGCAAGCAAGGCAACATGCACCGCACTTCTCGATGCGCTACGAAACTCACTCACATTTCGCCCACTAATAAATCCAGCCCCAAATGATAGCCGACCCAACCTTCGCTTTCTAGAATGGCCTCCGCCTCTGGCTACTCGCTGCGCCCCATGAAGATGCACGTGCACGTGCACGTGCTCAGGAACAAACAATGAAATCAGGAACAAAACGAAAGGACCGTGCGCGGCCTCCACCCACACCGGTGCAGGGCACCACGCACCGCGAACCGCGTACCACACCTCGCTGCATCGAGGCAAGGGCCGTCCAATAGTGTTCGACAGACGGCATGGTGGGCTGTTAGAGGCGAAGTCAATCCCACAAGTCCAGTAGTAGTAGCGCAGAAGAGAGCAGCGCAGCGTAGAGCAGCGTAGAGCAGCGTAGAGGAGAGCAGAGCAGAGCAGGGCAGGGCAGAGCGGAAACGGCAACCAAACAAAGAGTGAAGTGAAGGTTAAAGTGCGAAGGGCTGATGCCTGCATGCCTGCCCCTCCCCAGAACGGTAATAGCCGCGCAGAGGTACAGAGGTAAACTAAGGTAGAGAGAGATACAGATACTGTACAGATACAGAAACAGATTCAGACTCAGATTCAGATAGCGATTCCAGTCCTCAATCCCCTCCGCTCCTTGTCCACGACCAAGTTGCACTCGCACGAGCAGGGTTACACTTCGCTCCAAATGATTGGCCCTGCGTGAGTGTTTCAAGACAAGATACCACCCCACCCCCCCTTCCCTTTTCCAACCCTCGCAATCGCTCCCGCCCCAACATACTGTAACATCGCATTCTCGTCGTTCCCTCCTCCATCTGCGCCTGGTTCCCCCGCCCCAGCCAGCTTCCTCGACCTATTCTCGCGTGCCGCCTGCACCTCTGCACCTACACCTACACCTGCACCTGCACCGGCACCTGCGCCTGCCGCCGAGGGGCCTGAAAGTTGTTGACCCGTGAAGGGGCCAACTCGCACCTTGCGACCAAGGCAGTCAGTCATCGACTTCCGCCCCAACATCCGGAAGAAACTCCATCCACCAGCAAGCTCTGAATCTCGACAACGCCCAGCTGAGGAGCGACAGCTTCCCAGCCTCGTCTTTGACCGCATCGATTCGATCGCTGGCCGATAAACGCTCCTTCACCTCCGGCACCCCTCCCTCCACACCATCAGCCACGGTAATCCAGTATCCCACCAACAACGCCGTTGATCTCATCTCAATAATCCGTGACAGGCGCGACCGAGCACCGCGAAACAACCTACATTCCCCAACATTCATTGCGCAAGCCGATTGCGGCAATGAGCGTCATGCTTCAGACCCCTTCGCGGGCTTCAACAGCCTCCTCCTCCTCCTTCCAGCCAGTCTCCCGCCAGAACACAATGTCGTCGCACGATGGGGGAAGGTCTGTCCGACAGTCGAAGCGTTATTCGATGACCACTCTGTATCTGTCTATGTCGGCAAATGAGAAAGACTTGGAAATTGAAGATGATTTGGCAAAGGGTATGGATTATTCCCATCGGAGGAGTTCGAGTACACCTGCTAACATGCCTCCAAGCCCAGAAAATACTTCGGGACCTGAAGTCCAAGATCTCCTCACAATCGAAGAAGAATTTCGTTCTGGAGAAGGATGTTAGATATCTAGACTCTCGTATTGCGTTGTTGATTCAGAATCGGATGGCCCTGGAAGAGGTCTGTAGCGAATTCCCAATTCCCAGTCCTCTGTACACGGCGCTGACAGTAAACAGCAAAATGAAGTGGCAAGCCACCTCGAAGATGCTGCAGATCTGCAAGAGGGGTTCTTTCCAAATGACGAAAAGACTCAGAAATACGGCAACCTACTCTTCCTCTTACAATCCGAGCCCCGACACATCGCACACCTTTGCCGTCTAGTCACGATGGCTGAGATCGACTCCCTCCTCCAAACTGTCATGTTTACAATCTACGGGAACCAATACGAAAGCCGTGAAGAACATTTACTTCTGACCATGTTTCAGGTACAACCAAGCACCCTTTCAAGCCCGGTGGGCAATGCTTACTTCGTTTTAACTAGTCCGTCTTGACATATCAATTCGACAACACCCCCGAATACTCTTCACTCCTCCGAGCAAATACCCCTGTTTCACGAATGATGACAACCTACACCCGGCGAGGCCCTGGGCAGAGCTACCTCAAGACAGTGTTAGCTGATCGCATAAACGGATTGATTGAATTAAAGGATCTGGATCTCGAAATCAACCCACTGAAGGTCTATGAGAGAATGATTGAGCAGATTGAGGAAGACACCGGGAACCTGCCAGCCTCTCTACCAAAGGGAGTTACTGCCGAGCAAGCCGCAGAGAATGCGCAAGTGCAGGCCATTATTGAGCCAAGACTTACCATGCTTATGGAAATTGCCAATGGATTCCTCACCACGATCATTGACGGGCTGGAGGAAACACCTTACGGAATTCGGTGGATTTGCAAACAAATCAGAAGTTTGACGAAGCGGAAATACCCAGATGCAAACGATCAAGTTATTTGTACCTTGATTGGGGGCTTCTTCTTCCTCCGGTTCATCAATCCCGCCATTGTCACCCCAAAATCATACATGCTCATCGACGGAACACCGGCAGAAAGACCACGGAGGACGCTGACCTTGATTGCGAAGATGCTTCAAAATCTTGCAAACAAGCCGTCATATGCCAAAGAGCCCTACATGGCCAAACTACAGCCGTTCATTCAACACAACAAGGAGCGGGTTAACAAATTCATGCTGGACCTGTGTGAAGTGCAAGATTTCTATGAGAGCCTTGAGATGGACAACTACGTCGCCCTTTCAAAGAAGGATTTGGAGCTCTCCATCACCCTGAACGAGGTTTACGCAACGCATGCTTTACTGGAAAAACACAGTGCCGAGTTGAACAGGGACGAAAATTCTCATCTGGCAGTCATTCTGAACGATCTGGGCCCCGCCCCGGCACAGTTACCACGAAAGGAGAACAGAGCAATCAATTTGCCTCTGTTCAGCAAGTGGGAGACAGCAATCGATGATCTGACGGCAGCGCTCGACATAACGCAAGAAGAGGTTTATTTCATGGAAGCTAAATCTACATTTGTGCAGATTATGCGTTCTATACCAACAAATAGTGCAGTTGCCCGAAGACCTCTTCGGCTTGAGCGAGTTGCGGACGCCGCGGCAACATCTCGCAATGATGCTGTTATGGTGAGGAAGGGTATCCGAGCGATGGAACTTCTTAGCCAGTTACAAGAACTTCAAGTGATTGACAAGTCTGACCAGTTCAGTCTCCTCCGAGACGAGGTTGAGCAAGAACTACAGCATCTCGGGTCCCTCAAAGATGGGGTGATCGTGGAGACACAAAAGCTGGAAGAAGTTTTCAAGACGATCAGAGATCACAACACCTATCTGGTAGGTCAATTGGAGACCTATAAGAGCTACCTTCACAACGTTCGAAGCCAAAGCGAAGGCACCCGGAGAAAACAGCAGAAACATCAAGTTCTGGGCCCATACAAGTTCACACACCAAGCTTTAGAGAAGGAGGGCGTCATCCAGAAGAGCAATGTGCCGGACAATAGACGAGCGAATATCTATTTCAATTTCACAAGTCCTTTGCCGGGGACATTTGTTATTTCACTGCATTACAAAGGTATGATCTTCTGCTTATGTTACGTACGGCAGGACAAAAATTTGACAATTCGTAGGACGAAATCGTGGACTTCTAGAGCTTGACCTGAAGCTCGATGATCTGCTTGAGATGCAAAAGGATAACCAAGAAGATCTTGATCTTGAATACGTTCAGTTCAATGTCCCGAAAGTTTTAGCTCTCTTGAACAAACGCTTCGCACGGAAGAAAGGATGGTGATATCCTGTTCGAAATGTGTGCCAGTCGGCATCAAACCGGTCCGACGTGTGAGGCGGCCGTTGCCGGCTTTAGGGGTCTTGAGATGACCGATGAAATACTTTTCTGGCGGGTTGGCAATGCCGTGTTGCTTCAATATTACATTTGGTGGTCGGTCGCTCGAATTGGCGTAAGTGGAGTTGTCGAATGGTTCGATCTATACCTTTCTCCCTACTTTTTGCATTGGTTCAAATATCCTTGTCTTAATCGATGGCGACTGTGCTTGGAAGTCTGTTACGTCGTCTTTGGACTGAGTGAAAACTATGTCTTGCTGGTCCGGGGCATGATTGTGGAACAATCTAAGACAGTACAGGATGAAATGGTTGGCTAATTGGAGGCCAAAGAGGCGGAGGCGTACGAGTTATGGGTTGGTGGACTTTATACACGGCTTTGCGAATGGTTGGGGGCGGAGGTCGGGGTTTATGCTTTCATACGGCATGGGGAACGGTTATGTGAAGTCTTGGGAGGATTTACGTGTAATATCATGAACGAGTAACCATATTGGTCTCGCGATGGGGAACTAGCCTTGAATCCGATGATTGGCCTCGCCATGTCTGCGGATGCCCGTTGCTGTCTTGATGGCGGTTTCCTCGCAACTTTTCAGCTGCAGACATTGTTTGAGCCTCTGTTTTGCAGAGGATCTATTTTGATTATTGGGCGGCACACTCTTCTGTAGTTCTGAAGAGGTTGGATTGGATCGTAAAATGTTGCTGAAATCCTTATGGGGGCTAAAGGCTAGCTTCCCCATGGGGATGGCATTGATTTTATCTGGACATTACGTCTTTCTCTAGCACACTCCGATGGAGGCATTCTCATGTGCAAGGAGGGGTAGGTTGGGTATCTCACATCGCCCAAACCATCGAAATTGAAGAGCCAAACAACTCTTTCCATCTATATCTTCCTGGTTGCCTCTCCGAAAATCGTACTACTATTTCAATCTGCATTGCCTTCCATCTCGCGTTCGAGCATGGACTCTGCCATTGTTCAGATCAAAAAGCCCGTCGACTCGAACGCTGATGTCCTGCTGCCTGTCTTTCGATCATCAGCCACAATCAGTGGGCTGGCGAGACTTTCAACCGGTTTGACCTGGGCTCTTCTCTCTAGCAACTCTCCCTAATCAATACGGCATACCACTAAAGTCGAGCACTCCAGTGCCAAACGCCAAACGCACTGGCAAGAATGAGTCTATAGTCGATTCGAGCAAGGACTATGATTCAACGAAGCCTGGATCGCCGCGTGGACTGGGCTTGAGATCTTCCTTAGCCCATTTGTTCTGTCTCTTCTCTATTTGAGGGAGAATAAGGCTTTGGGTGTGGCCATGACTTTGGGTAACTTTGTCCGTGCTGGGGAGGCAATCGCGACTTTGAAGGGCGAAACGGAAGGGCCCAATAGGAAACACCTCCCCCAACCATTCTCCTGGCCCGGATTGGACCTCTTGGCATCTTCCCTTCTTCTCGAGGCTAAGTTGAGAGACTCAGAGTAAATAAGAGATACTAAAAACATGAGTTATGAACGTTTTATAATTACTTATCAAATGTATTTAACTTTAAATATATAGAATAGAGTACGGAGTTATATTGCTAGGGCTAACGAGTGAGGTATTGCTTTCATAACTAAACCCGAATATAATAGTAGTACTATTCTTTTATTAATAAGCCCGCTCTAAGTAACTCAATATTATTAGGTTTTCTGCTTCTTTTCGAGACTAATTTTGCTTCAATTATAATAAAAGCAATAAAATTATAATATCTAATTAAATAAAAGGAAATATTTGAATTATTTCTAAATAATTAATTTAATTATTAAATTGTCTCTAATACTAATTAATAAGTAATATAATAAAAAAGTATATTTTAGTACTTTAATAGCCCTTTTATAATTCTGATTATTTATTATAAATATAATATTTAGGGCTTAAAAAGTAAAATAAAAGATTCTTTATAAAAATAATTTAAAGCTAAAAAAAAGAAAACTAGAATATAGGAAGCTATAAGGAAATATATATATCTTATAATATACTAGTTTATAAGGAATTTAGCTTTCTAAATATTTCAAATATATTTCTTTAATAAAATATAAGTAATAAAATATAAGTAATAAAATATAAGTAATAAAATATAAGTAATAAAATATAAGTAATAAAATATAAATAATAAAATATAAGTAATTATATTAAGTAATTATATTAGCTAATAAGATTAAAAACTAAATTATAATATTATTTTTATTTTTAAAATAAGCTTATTTTTAAGCTTTATAAAAACTATTAATTTATTTAATTTTATATTATTTTCTTTTTTAAAATAAACTAATATTTTAAATATAAATATTATATATAAAAGATAAAAATCTTTAATATATAACCTAAAAATATTTATTATTATTTCTATATAATTTCGAATAAATCTAATTTTTTATATAATTTAACTAATATTATAGGTTTTATAAAAATTCTAATATATTAATATTATTATTATAAAAGCTTTATAAAATTAGAGAATTATTATTTAATATTAAAGCTAGATATTATACTAGATTCTTATTTTAATTAATTTACTAAATTCTGTATTTTAATTTATTTTTTATTAGTTTAATTATAATTATTTAATATTATATTTTTATTTATTATTTTCTAGTATTAATAAAAGTAGTTCCGGGTTTATTTAACTTAATAAAGAATTCTAAGAATTCTTTTATAGCTTCTTTATATAAAAGACTAGATATATTTTTTTAAAGTTTTTAGTAATTTTTAAAAAAACAAATAATTGTATTTTTCTAAAATCTCAAATAAATTCTTTATTTAATTACTTAATTTCCGGTTCAAATAATTAGATTTCTAGTATTTTATAATAACTTATATTTTATTTCTGATTTTAAAATTAATTAAATAATTATATTTATTAGTTTATATTATATATTATTTCTATATTTATTTTATATAACTTTAAGTAAATTATTATAATTCATATAATTAATTTACTAATACTTTGGTTTTATTTCTATTTAGCTTCTTTTTAAATAAGCTAGCTTTAATAAAGAAATTCTAGTTTAGAGAAATAGAAGACTTATAATTCTTTTTAGTTATAAATAAAAACTAGTTAATAATTTTATATTAAAAAAAAGTTTATTAATAATTTATTTAATAATAATTAATATATAAATATAATCTTTAATTAAAGTACTAATTAATAATTTCTATTTATTTATTTAAAAGTAATTAGTTATTAAAAGCTTAAGCTTAATACTAATTCTTATATAAAATTTGCTTTAAAAATCGAATATAAATTAAAGTTTTTAATTTAATATAATTATTTAATATATTATATAAAATAAAAATAAAAGTATTACCTATTTAATTATAATTATATTTTATATAAAAATAGTAATTAGATATTTAAATAATTAATTTATAAATATAATAATTATATTATTATTATTTTTTATTTTTTAAATAATTCTTAAAATTTATAATAATATATTACTAGAAAGAAATAAAATAAATTAGGCTTTTTATTTCTTATAAATATAATAATTACTATAGTATTAATTAATATTTTTACTTATAAATAGCTAGTAATATTATTTTTTAAATAATTAATAAAGCTTTATATATTTAAGGTATTTAAAAAGAAATTTATTATATATTTTATAAATTAAAATAATTTATAAAAATAATTCGGGATTTATTTTATTTTTTATAATATAAAGTCTTTTATAATATAAAAAAAGATTATTTTATAATATTTAAATATTATTTTTATTTTAAGTTATTATATATAGCTTTTCTAAATCTAGTAATATATAATTAGTTTATAAAATTCTATTTACTAATTAGAAGCTATTATATTTAATAAGAGCTTTTAATAATAGTTTTATAAAAGTAATTATAATAGAGGCTATTAAAGCTTTTAAAAAAATACTTTTTTTTAAAGAAATTATATCTTTAATAAAAATATATATCTTTAATAAAAATATATATCTTTAATAAAAATATATATCTTTAATAAAAATATATTATATCTTTAATAAAAATATATATCTTTAATAAAAATATATATCTTTAATAAAAATATATATCTTTAATAAAAATATATATCTTTAATAAAAATATATTTCTTTAAAAAGTTTTTAATATATATTTAATTTTTAGAACTGAATTCCGAATTAAATAAGCCGACTTTATAAAATATTATTATAAGCTATAAATTATAGCTATAAATTATAAATAATCTCTAAATTAATTTTATTACTAAAAAGAAATATTTAAGTTTATAACTTCTTTTTAATTTGTTTTTAAATATTTATTTTATTTTATTTTTATAATAAAGTATTTATTTATTTATTTAATTTTTTTTAAAATAATATATAAACTTAAAATAATAATAAAATAAAAGCTTAGCCTATTTAATTTATTAAAAAAAAAGCCTTTTAATAATTATAAAGTATTTTAAAATATAATAATTAGAATAAATCTTAAAGGAAGTATTTTAAAGACTTTTTAGTTTAGTTTTTATTTTTCTAATATTTATATTATAATAAATATTTTATTATTATATATATTATAATTAAGCTTTATTAGAAATTATAAAACATTAAAATAAATTAGTAAATTATAAAACTATAATATTAAATTTAGTATAAAACTAATCTTTATTTCTTTTATAAGATTCAGGAAAGCTTTCTCTAAATAAAAGGCCCTAATAATATATATATAATTAGTAATTTATAAGTTTAATACTTATAATATAAATAATAATTAGTTATAATATTAAAGGGCTATTAATCTCTCTAATTAATACTTGTAATATTCGAGATTTATTATATATTTTTAAGTTATATATAATTCTATATATATTATAATTATATTTCTTTTCTAGGATCTTATTTCTAAGATTTATTAATTTATTCTAGTAAATATTTAATTAATTATTTAATTGAAATAAACTTCTAATATTTTAGAAAGTAGTTTTACTAATATAATCTAAATAATAGATATAAAAATCATTTAATTAAATTAGAACTAAATAAGTAAAAAAAAAGTAATTATATTTCAGATATAAAAACTAGCTAGTAATTATAATTTCATTTAAGATTTAAGTATTCTAATTAGCTTAATTTAAAATACTAAAGTATTATTTT